AGAAACGCGTGAGACCGAAGCAGAAGAGTGGAGCAGAGAAAGAGAAAAAAACCGGACCCGCGCAATTGTGCGGGCTGGGTCTGAAAGGGTTGGATTATCAGCCGCGTCGAATCTTTGCCGGCAATTGGAGCGATGCCACCGCGACAATAACGTGCTGACAATGACGACGGGGCTTCCGCGGAACTGCGAACAACGCAAGCGGAAACGTTTTGTCGGTGGAGAACGCTCAGTTAGATTGACCGCACGGGATCAGTCGCGTTTTTGCGAGAGGAAAATCTCTCGGCGATCCCAGTGTGAGGATTTATTGCGCGATTAAAGCAATACGAAGCAATCGGACTTGAATCTTCTTGATTAAGAAGATTCTTCTTGTTGATTAAGAATTTTAGTTCCATTTATGGATCCATAACCCAACTATATCAGTGTTGACTACACAGTAAGGTATCTGACGATAAGCATTCCATTGCGTTGAGTTTGATCTAATTTGCATACACAAGATATGGAATACTTATCGCCAGACACCCTGTATAGTGATGTTTGTTTCCTTTGTAAATTTCTTAAGAGCTCTGAATATTGACTGCGATGAGGCGATCAAAATAGTCAGCTTCGAGTCAATTGAATCGGGAGCTGGGGAGATCGACTCGCGGCACCGAGTAAGAAGATTCTTCTTGTTGGTTGAGAACTCTAGTTCCAAAGGCTATTTATGGATTCATAATCCAACTATATTAGCGTTGGACTACACAGTAAGGTATTTGACGATAATCATTCCATTGCGATCAGTTTGATCTAATCTGCGTACACACAAGATATGGAACGCTTCGTTAGATACTCTGTACAGTGATGTTTGCTTTCCTTGTAAATTCCTCAAGAGCTCTGAATGTTGACTGCGATGAGGCGATCAAAATAGTCAGCTCGGAGTCAATTGAATCGGAAGCTGGGGGACAACGAAGGAGATCGATTCGCGACACCGAGATAAATCCTCGAGCTTTCCATGTCGACCTTGGTGCGTTTCTTTTACCCTCGCCATCACTTGACATCGTTTTTAATGCGTCGCAGTGGCATTTCAATTACTATCCCCTGCTGTTGTGCTTCTGCCCGTCACCAACCCGCCACTATCCATTACGATATCGTGCGCACTGCTACGGCATCGTGACACAACATTGCGGCTGGTCACGCACACGTTTCCGTTTGCGAAATTCTTCCGGCGTGCTTGACATCAACTTTTTTTGCAATCAATCAGCAAACGTGTCCCGTCGATTGCTGTTGATTTGACGAGCGGACCGACGCGAGACGTTCGACTGTCGAGTTTAGAAAACGCACGCTAGAGAAAAACTCGTTTATTCCTTAAACCGAGGCTGCGGCGGAGGTTACTTGACGAGGAAACCGAAGACGTTCCTCTGCGCGACAAGTTCACTGAGGTTCTTCGTTCTATTTTTATCAGCAATCTAGTCTCTCTTTTTCATGTCATCATTCCGTCATCGACTATTTCGAGTCCTCGACATTTTAAAGGAGCACCGGCAGAATACAAATATAAAATCTCATTTGCAATCTTATATGTTAACGCAAGTGAGACTTGAAGGTTCGTCCGAGTCTGCACGCGGGATCAATCGCGTTTTTGCGAGAGGAAAAGCTCTCGGCGATCCCAACGTAAGGATTTATTGCGCGATTGAAGTATGCGAAACAATCGGACTTGAATCATCTTCTTCTTGATTAAGAAGATTCTTCTTAATTATCTTCTTCTTCTGTATTACGATTTCCTTCGCTGTCCCCGATTCAATTGACTTGGAGCAGACTATTTTGATCGCCTTCGCATTCAGATCTTTTGAGGAATTTATAAGGGAAGCAAATATCACTGTACAGGATGTCTAACGATAAGTGTTCTATATGTTGTGTGCAGATTAGATAACATGCAAAATAAATTGAATAAACTGAACATGCAGTGTGCATGCAGATTAGATTAAACTGAACACAATGGAATGCTTATCGTCAGATACCTTACTGTATAGTTAACACTAATATAGTTAGGTTATGGATCTATAAGATCCGAAGAGATATTTTAATCCTACTTTCTGACATTTGTATATTCTGAAGGATCAGCGTATGTGCATGGCATGATCAGCAATATATATGGAAATTTAAATCCTACTTAGCGTATTTAAATAAAAACAGAAAACGCACAAAATATCACTTGTAAGTTCTAAAGAGAACCTCTCAGCAGTGCTGGTAAGTGAAACGGAATCAAAGGATTGATATAGATTTCAGAGTATCAAACTAGACGTTGAATAGCACATTGAGGTCGAAAGTAGGATCAAAATTTCGATCCTGACACAGACGTATTCGTCGTGCCAAGCGTGGACCTGAAGAGAACAAATTCCTGAGGATTTTTTCAGAGTGCGAGCGCGGAAGTCGAGCAGTGTGAAACGATTGTATTATCACGTAAACGGATATACCACACAGAACCGTTACGGTTACTTGAATACCGATATACCGGGTGCACGGTGCGAGGCGAGCCTCGTCGCCGGTTGTACGGCTGTCGTAGGTCGCCGCAAAAGTGCGACGATGATGGGACTGTTTCGAATTACCTACTTGGCTGGTGTCACACCTTACGTGCGAACCAACCTGCTTCATCCGGCCATGATATCAATTACGCATTGAGCGAGCGATTGCGCAACATGCGTCTTCGCGAGTGCACGCAATTTGCGTCGATCTCTGGGCGAAGAAAAAGAGTGACTCTCAATGTTTTCGTTCTTCTCGTTTCTGCTTTATCAATTATTCGTCATTAACGGACTCAAGTCAAAAACTCCCTTAAGATTCCAAGCTCTCTCGAATCGGAATTTTTACCTTACATTCGTGTGCCATTTAACAGCTAGTTCGATACTCTATACCTCTTTTGATTCCGCTTGATCCACCAGCTTTGCCGAGTCCTTCAGATCTTTTGAGGAATTTATAAGGGAAGCAAATATCACTGTACAGGATATCTAACGATAAGTGTTCCATATGTTGTGTGCAGATTAGATAACATGCAAAATAAACTGAATAAACTGAACATGCAGTGTGCATGCAGATTAGATTAAACTGAACACAATGGAATGCTTATCGTCAGATACCTTACTGTATAGTTAACACTAATATAGTTAGGTTATGGATCTATAAGATCCGAAGAGATATTTTAATCCTACTTTCTGACATTTGTATATTCTGAAGGATCAGCGTATGTGCAATATATATGGAAATTTAAATCCTACTTAGCGCATTTAAATAAAAACCTGTCCTGTTTAAAACTTACAAATATCTAGGTAGTACTTTATGCATTTTCTGTCATTTAAAAGTGCTAAGTATTTAAGTTTTCACACACAGAAAAAAAGATCCGTTACATATGCTATATTAGACTCTTTTTCTTTGCTGTAGGAGTTAATTTTTTTGCTATGATAACAAGAAAATCTGTTCTTTCAACAAAAAAGTAGTTAAAGCAGTAAATTATGTTTAGTCTATCTGTAGTAAATTTGCTACGTTAGCCACTTTTCTTATTGTTGGAGCAGATTTTCTTGTTATCATAGCAAGAAGATAGGTTTCTGCAGTAAAAAAAGTAGCTAACACAGCGAATTATATTTAACTGTCTATATGTAACAAATTAGTTTGCTGCTGCAGCAAATTACTTTTTTCCGTGTGTGTATTACGTGCGTACGTATACTGGTCCTTCAGAATATACAAATGTCAGAAAGTTCAGGCCCAAAGTAGGACTAAAATGTCGAGTCGAGCTCACACATGTTAGTCTCGCCGGTTCCTTCTCGAGGCAACCCAAGCGAAAACACGAGGTAAGAGCAAAACCAAGCGAGGTCCAGTTACACTCGGGGGGCTCATGTGTTAAAGACACGCTCGGTATACCATAAGCGGAAACGTAATCACAAAGCCTGAGAGGGTCAGCAAGTTTATCGTTGTTGAGCGGAATTGGCCTAGGTAGGTGAAGGAAAATACGCGTGCTCTTCGCGCCTGCTTTTTGTCACTGGCGCGATCGTGGTGCAATTAAGGCCAAACGTGCCATCACCACAGTGTGCGTAATCGCCGGAAAATCACACGCACTTTTTGCACATCCCCTAGCCGAGGGGAAAAGAATGGGAAAACGACAGAGAAAGAAGAGGAGAGAGAACGCGCGCTGTGTTGTGTGTTGTACACAAATATCAGACGGTAACACATAAAACTTTCATGTAGATTAAGAAAGTGGACACAAAATTCCTGTACTATTTTGCGAACGATCACATTTTGAGTTATTCATCAAAGAAATTCAGTGAATGGTCACGCGCGATATGTGTAGATGAGCAATGATGGTGTCGTCTGTCGTCGTGTGCCCGTAGATTAGGTTAAACTAAACAAAAAAAGTCCTCTACCATTTTGCAAAGAACCACCAGTAGATGTTTGAATTATTAATTAAAGGAGATTGGCGGTGGATCGCGCTAATGTTCTTTAATTAATAGCTGAAAATCTACATGGTTATTTAGAAAGTGGTGGGGCACTTTTTCTCTCAGATTGACATACTCTATAAGCACACAACGGCACAATTCGTCCGCCGTATCGCGCGTGATAATTCGTCAATCTTCTTTAATAAATAATTCAAAATTTTACATGGTTGTTTGCAAAATAAGATCTGTTTTTCTTAGCTGAACTTAACGTGAGTGCACACTGGCGCAATAAGAGTGAGACAAATAAATTTTGTTTTACTCTAACTTATGTGCATCAGTAGAAGCAGTTCAGCTAAAAAGAACAGACTTTTTATAAAGGAATGTTGTATGCAGTTTGATCGAAGCTACATGTACACGAAATATGGGATCCTCTGCGTCAGAGAGACACTCCGTATACACACAAATAGATACTTTTTCATTTTAACACGATATAAAACTGAATCTATCGTTGCTTCATCGTTGCGTCGTTATTGACTCGCGTGAGACAGCTCGAGGTCGACTGACGGCTGCTTAACGCGCTCGTTCTCACTCTAATCTCAATTGCAGATGCTTTGGCAAAAGAACTACCTTGCCTTGGGACTGCTCGGCGTCCTCTTGCTGTCGGCGACCGCGGACAACAGCGTGCACATATTGTCGAAGTATGGCCTACAGCCGCTCACCTCAACTACGCTCAAGTGGCTGCCGGTGGGACACTACAACCCGAGCGAATCGAAGGAGATAGTCATCGGTGGCTTCGAGATGGTACCAGATGGTGGTGAAGGTGCGCCTTTTTCAACTATCATCGGCCACGCATAATGCGTGGTGTTATTACGCGCGCACACGTATCTTCCTGTGCACGCAACATTGTGTGCGTGAGACTTGCATCGTCATTGGCACTGAGATCCCGATACTAATTCATGTTACATCATGAGCTAGGATATATGTATTCAGAGATGTTGAATTCGCATTCGGAGAATAGTGCCTCTTTGCCTTTCTATTCAGAGTCGATGACTGAAAACATCGTCAATTGTAATTAATTGTATGCATGTCGCTAATCATTATGTACACTGGCGCATTATTGATGTATAGTGTTAGTTGTTGCGCGCACAACACGGGGCGGTTACAATTGATTAAGTCACGATGAAGTTGCAGATGAGCCTTACTTCAACCAAGCGGAAAAGTCGGAGCTGAAGATGCGGCCGCTCTACGTGTGCCGCGCGATGCACAGCAGCAGCGTGTGGGTTGCTGGGACGCAAAAGAGCAAGGAGAAACGCTGCACCGTGACGTTACACGGTAGCGTGCAGTCGTACTCCTCCAAGTACGAATTGCTGGAGAACATCGACGGGGCGGCGCGAATTGCGTGGGTTCGCTGGACGAAATTCTCACAGCCCATGCTAGGCGCGGTGTACGTCGATAAGATGCTGGTAGCACGATACAAGACGGACAGTGACGACAAGAAAAACACCACGAAGTCACGGTACACCCACTACATTGGCACGCTGAACTCGAACAACAACTTCGGCTCTATCATCTATGCGAACGAGGTGAGCGCCCCGGATCGAGGAGAGCAAAAAAGCGGAGGCTTCCATTGAGAATTGTTGGGACTCGCCATTTGCGACTCGCGTTCAAATCTTGCCGAGTAAAAATTCCGAGCGCGCAGGTGTTCGATGTTCTAACACTAAGAAAACTAAAGTCATAAATCGGGAAAACTTCTAATTTCTCAAGGCTTTACAATTCTTCGTTTCTTTGATAAACAGAATATTATTATGGCTCGTGGTATTGTTAACTCGCGGGAGAATTTCTTTGAAAAATCACGAAACAGCGCTTACGGTAGATACCGCTACTATTGCCTAAGAAATGACTAGTAATTTAATAACAACGTGATTCAGTCGCCGTAAAAGTAATTAATCCGGGCGACAGATTGTGCTCAAGACTCGACCCTCTTTCAGAACAACGAGGAGGAATCCGCCAAGTCCGGCGAGTTGCTAGTGGAGACCGAGCCGATCCGTTATGAGCTCACCGCGGTGAAGCTCAACTGGCCTAAGAAGCGTAATATCAAGCGCGAGCCGCGCGTACTCGCCGAGACGACGATCACCAACACGATGGAGTACGCAGCGAACGAAGCGGAAGCCTGCACGTATTCGTACAAGTACTCGATCTATTGGGGTCGCAGGCACGCTATCCTGAACGGTCTGGATACCTCGATCACGTTGCTCAACGGCACATCCCTGCCGAACGTAACGTGGGGTATGCGAAGCAAGGAAATTCGCGAGGACGCTTACAAGTGAGGATCTCTCGGACTTTAACATTAGCGGCTGATGATAGTGGTCAGCCTTGAGGCTGGTCAAGCTCACGCGATGCATAGAAACGCGAGTGACTTTTCTCTCTCTTTCTCTCTTTGTGATTACCGGAGATTAGATGTTCCGTTTCCGCAAAAACGTGAGAAAGATCGGCAAGAGTCGTTATCACACGTATAATGTGTGTCAGAATAGTAAATTTACATTTGGTACTCGATCTAGCGATTGATGTCAGAAGGAAAAGAGAATGCGTTCCGCTTCCATCGTGTAATATCGAGAATTGACACTTTCGCCGCGTGTTTAGCAGATCAAAGGAGCAATCGCGGAGATCTATCACGTTCACGAGCGGATATTCATAACTAGAAGAGAACGTATGGTTTACGACTTGACGCGGTGCCGGTGTAATCTCAGACGCATCTGTATAATTAGATATAATTAGAGCGTGCGGGGCTCTCTATTCCGCGACGTAATGCAACGTGTATGTCTCTCTCTATCTCTGTCTCTGCGGCCGCACGGCCACTCCGTCGCTTCCTGTGCTTCCATCATTGAAGCTCCGCGCCGTGCGGATGAGTCTGAAGTGCACTTCGCACGGCGACGACTTCGTCGCCACCCCACGCTCCGCGAGTACCCCAGAACGCTCTCCGCGCGCGCTTAAGTGATGCTTCAACGCAACGCAATTACGCCGCGCATCAAATCCGCGCGCTCCAGTTGCAACGCGCGACGACATTGATATCGCGACGAGTGCCACACGATAATTTACCTCTACATCCTGTCTGCACTTTATTACAATCAGCACTTCCCACCCCAACAAAATTAAACAACGTAAGAAATTCACCTGCTCGGCGCCGGGAAGCGGGACGGACGATTAAAAAAAAGTCGGTTGAGTCAGCATAATGATGACATGTTAATCGAAGCATAGGTGATAAAAAAGTCTATAAGTGCCAAGCGCTAAAAAATCGTAAGCGAAAAAATAGTGAGAACATTAGAATCTCATACACGGAAAAAAATATACTGTTCCACAAATTACTAACATCGTCGTAATTGGAGTAAATCTTCTTGATTCAACAAGTATGTACTATTGAAACCAATATATCATATATTGTTTCGATGACATAAGTTATGACATTAGTTTCATTGGCGTTGGTGAATCAAGAAGATTTACTCCAATTACGGTGATGTTAGCAATTTCTATTGATACAATGACATTTCTTTCCTGTATATTTGTTATATGAAAGTATTTCGATCCTCATATAAATGTATAAATTTAAAACATTATCTCAACGCAGAAAGTTTCGTGTTCAAAGTGATATGGTAAGAACTGAATTTCATAAGAACCAGAAATTTCGTTTTCTTCGACCAAAACAATTCAGTTGTGTCACGTTAATTCAATCAATCCATTTTCCTCGTGCACGCAAAGAACGAGGCGGGGAGAGTTAATTGGATTTTCAAACAAGAGCGGGACAACAGCACGATGTTTATACGTGTATCGTTGTTGCGTGGTCACGTTGTCGAAAGACACACATCTGATCCATGTCGAGCGAGCAGACTTCCGAGCCGAACTTGAATTTCCATATTTTCGGAGAACCGGGATCGCGTGCCAGAGAACTATGTGAATCGCGTACAGCAAGCTCGTAATCTTCGTTTCCATAAAGTGTGTTGCTTAATTGACGGTTTGGAAGTCAGGCTCTTTCGATTGCGGGCCACGATTAGGCTGAAAACTCGGCTGTGTATTAATGCGTGTTGTGTTTGTTGCCAGTGTGCTTGTCTTCCTGGAGCCTGGTACCGGCGTGAACGTCACACTGAGGGCCAACTACACGGAGATGGAGGTGCCGTACGTCGCCACGTTGGTCTCGCACTACGAGGATGGCGCGACGACGTCACGCCCGATTAGCGGCACGCGCCAGGAGGAGACCATGTTCGACATCGTGGTGGAATTCGGGCCGATCTATTTCCTCAACAATTACAGCCTGGTGCCGACCACTATGCCGCCGCCCACCACGGAACCGACCACCACCACCACGACCATCACGTCGACGATGACGACGAAGCTGCCGCAAGAGGTCAACTGGACGACCCACCGGCACCGGCAGAAGAACGACGATTCGGACGAGAACGATGAGAACCTGATCATACCGCCGAAGAAGTCAGACATATCAACGAGCATGCAGAGCGACGATGGCGGCCCACTCTCGCTCAAGAACAAGGTAGAGATGCACAGCGGCACGTGCGGTGTGTTCAAGTCGGGCTTACTGACGCTTGTCCCGATGCTGCTGCTCATCCTCCACAGGATCACGTGAAAGCCCAACACAGAACCATCTCTAAACGCTAATTCCTCTAATTCCCGCAATAGTAAAGATAATATAATCCAATAGTAGAGAACACATACACATACACACACGAAAAAGTACCGAAAACAAAACAAAGGTTAAAACAAAACAAAAAAAGCCAAAAAAAGAAGAATATTGTACGCGAGAAAAAATTGCTGTAATTTCGTACGTAGCAAAGTATTGTCGTACGGTGCGAAAGAAACCTCTCTATGTTTAAAAACATAAAAAATACCGCTACTAAACGTCGGCATCGCGGTACCGACGTATATGCTTGCCTTTAAAAAGAAAAACTCGATATTTAATATATATATATATTATACATATAAATTATATATACACATACATAACACACATACTACACGCATATACACGTACACATGTCCCTTTTAAGATAGAACAGAAAGAGAGAGAAAGGGAGATAGGGAGAAGTATCTTCGTGATTGAACAATGAGCTAGTCTCACGACGACACGAATTAAGTACAAGAAAGATCGCAGCGACCGATGTTGGTGGATTGACGCGGAACGTTAACGTTGCACAGCGTTATCGTCACACAGCGTATAAACGTAAACTCTGACATTCCGTCTTTTCTAATCCCGCTGTGAATCGACTTTCCAGCTAAAAATATGTCTTATGCCTTCGTAAAGTGTAATTCTAGATCACCTAGGAGATTAATCGCTTCGACAAATGACGGCACATTCTTTTTTGAGGGTTGTGTCTGGAAAAGAGTAAGAAGAGACAGAGAGAGAGAGAGAGAGGAAGAAAGAGCTATTAATTAACGTGGATAAATGTCTCGGATAAGCAGTAGCGTACACGTCGAGCCAGAGGGAGATGAATAGGAGTTAAGCGGAGAAAGAAAACAAAAAGACAGAGGAAGAAGATATATGCGAGTTAATTCAGCTACGATATATTTTTGAGATTGCCGATATAATTTTAGAAGATTGTAAAATTTATAAGCAAGGTAGCAAGTAAGGAAACCACATAGATGTAGGAAGGTGGATGGGTACACGTTCTCTCGCGATACTAATTAAGTTCTGCGGCTGTATCAGCAAAACGCTACAAGCTACTTGGTTGGTACGGGACGACAGATTTCGACAAAACGGTTTTAACAGTGTATGTTAAGGATGTTAAATACTTGGAGATTACGTATGATAAGATATTATTTTCGCGAATATAAGATATTATTTTCAAGATCTTTGTGGCAACATTATGTGTGTGCACGCGTTGACCCATTTTTTTTTCACGGCTTTAAAGTAGTTGTTTGATATACAAAGCAATTCGTGATGTACCCATCTATTGCCAGTGTAAAGTGATAGGACATGCAGATTTCCTAGACTACTGTTGAAGAGAAGATAACAGTGAGAGAGAAAGAAAGAGAGAACGAAGAGAACCATATTGGTATATATAACGTATATATATATAAATATATCTCGATAATTCCTCAATAAGAGTAGGATATTTTGGTACGTGTACGAAGTACGAAGTATTATGTATTGAAATTCTTAAGTTCGATGTCTGAAAGAAGACTTTTGTTCGTTCGGGAGCGATTGAAGACTACGAGACATGTCGTTTCCCACACGTGGTTGCGTTATCAACATTTTCATCCCGAAGAAGTATCCGTATGTATATAATATGTATTTCTATTGATCTTGATATAGTTGTAATTGTGTAGTAAGCTTATTTAACGGTTTATAGTTTTCCTCCATCGACAGCGACGTTATAAGTACAATTCTTTATATTTTATTATTAACCAATGAGATGAGAGAACCGTAGGTTTAGCGCGAAACACTTCATTTCGGACTAAAAAGAAAAGAAGGACGCGGATTGTGTCTTCTAACGTACGTTTATCGACGTAAGCCTAATCACGCTTTTTGTGATATCCAGTAAAACCTTGCAAATACAAAGAAGAAAAAAGGAAGAGAAAAGTTCTGTTGTATGATTCGTCATAAGAGAAAGCAATAATACGTTGCGAGATCGAGAGACTTGCGTGTATGAAGAGAAGAAGCGATGAGAAAAAAGCATTAAACGGACCCAAATAAAATTTATGTTGTCAAATTGCACGGGCGATATTTCCTCCTTACGAATAAGTTGACGAAACGAAATCGCGAGACATGCAAGTTCAAGAGAGAGGATGAAGCTGAATGCCCAGAAGCCGAAATCACAAAAACGTATTTTATGGTTGCTTCTTGATAATTCTATATGCCGATAGTAGGAAGACGAAATAAATGTGTCCTACAGAAAAAAATCTAGCTATTTGACTCCGCGGCAGAGCCAAGAACTGTTCTAAAAAGTATCTCTAACACAGATGTATTATTTGTGAATATGCTGCGCTGTATTGTACATTATCATGTAAATATAACTGCTATGTACATATAAAATGCAGATTTACCATTTGACATCGGTCTCCTTCAGTCGCAAATTCAATAGATTACTCGACTAGTCGTATGTATTAATATGATTCTGTACCTTCTTACTTTTTACAAGAACTTTGAATCATTGCATGACAAATGCATTAATGTCGAAAAACAATAAGTCCTAGAGTGCCTATCTCTTTGGAAATGTTAAAATTTTGAGACTTTCTATAGTTCGTTTTCATTGAGATATATGTATCTCTTGTTTCTTCAAATTTCATACAATTAAGAAGTATATGAAAATTAGAATATTTCCCAAATATAAGACTTGACAATATTATATAGTGTCAATTTTAACTAATTGAATTTTTCATCTATGTAAAACATATCTAAATCTGTGTTAAATTGTCAGACTTACCAAGTACACCATATTGTTGTGGAGTGAGTTTAACATCGTCGTCTGGAGCACCAGGCACAGATGAGATGAGCGATGCACGATCACTAATATGACTCTTAGTACTAGCTTCGCTTCTTCTTGCCCAAGATACTTGTGACAACACATCTAAACGTTTGGTGCAAAAATATCATTATTTTACTTTCTCATGTAATTATTACAACTTAATAACTTAAACAGATATTAATTATATCATTACAGATATTAATTATATCATTTTCAATTTCACAATTAAAAATTTATATATATATATATATATATATATATATATATATATATATATATAACATTGCAGTATTACCAAAATTAGAGGCCTTAGCACTCGCTAATCTATGTTTGTAGTCTCTATAAGGCCTTTTGGATGGAGGAGGTCTTCGTCGTCTCTTCAAAAACTGTGCCAGTCCTCCTAATAGTATTGAACCACCAGCAAAGCAGATAATAAGAATCTAAAAAAGATAAAATAAACAGACTTTAAAAATTTAATGAATAAGGAGACTCAAATAGTAATGACAAAACGCTCGCGTGATTGCTACACTGTTATATAATTTCTTTTTTCTTTTACTTTATTATGTAATGTATGTAAACAAGTAAAACTTGCCAAGATATTTATTTTAACCTCGAAAATGCGGTAGTTCACTCACCTTCTGCATGCGAGACACATGTATCGACGGTAATATCATTGTGCAACGTTGATGGAATGTTCCGAAGAATTGCCACAAGTTATCTTTGTACATTGTCATTCAATTTATTATAAACAATGCCAATACACCAAATTTTACGCGTACCGCTAACCAAATTCACGTGTGTTCCTTGAGACCACTTGAGACAGAATATAGCAGAATGAAGAGTGTCAAACAACGTAATGAAACAAGTAAACCTACAATTAGATTGGTCATAGACGAGCAACTTGATGAAATTTCTTTCAGTTACTAAATATCTCTAGGGATAATTCACATCTTAACAGAAAAATAGAAAACTAGGAAGCAGAAGCCAATCAGAACTCGCGCTAGTAGGAAGGCAGAATTGTCGACTATCACCTGATCACCACCGCAAGTTCTGATTGGCTTCCGCCTTTCTGCCTTTTCGCTAAAGTGTGAATTCTCTCTAAGGATAAGTTCGTTTTGCACACTGGCGTGCCGAAATCATTTTATTTCTATTGCTCATTATACACATTAAGGCTGGTTAACTTATGCCGGAACCGTAAAAAATTGATTAATTACAGTCAATTATTCTTCTATAATTCGACTATGATTGGTCAATTTTTTACGATTCCGACATAAGTTAACGGGTTACGACCATCATAAACCAGCCTTTATAGAATTGCATTCCAATGCAACACATCCAAAATACGAAATTATTTTTTACTCAATTCAATACTTAAAAAGTAGGGACTTCAAATTTTAAAAGGCACTTTTAATTATTTAATTATAATTATTTTTATCAAAGTTAAAAACCCATTGCAGAATTGTCCAAGTAATAGCAAATAGTATATTTCCTCTAAAAATAATTTATTATTCTCAACCTCTATCACAATACAAATATAGATTTAACTTTTCCTGTCAAGTCCTTTAAATTTTTATCCTATAATAGAATTTAAATTTGGCAGATTAAAATAAAATGATACAATAAATTTTTACATATAAGGGCAGAAGTAAACGAGACATATCAGATATTAACGAAACTGCAATACAATCACATAACATCATCCCAATCACAGGAATCAAAATATTCACCGTCTACTTCAAGTAATTCTTTCAACTCCTTTACACAGATAGAAGTAGATGCTACGTCCTTCATAGCGGAAGAATCCTTTTGCTCTTTACTGGATTGCTCTTTAAGCTCTTCAGGAGAAATGCTCACGAAAGAACTCAAATCCTGTTGCCCAGTTTTCTTCTGCACCATGGTATCAACATCATTTATTGAGAAATCTTGATCGAGACCAACTGCATTTAGAACGTTCATCTTCTTCTTAATTAATGGCCATATGTAATCATCCGCGGTGTCTCTCGCCACTAGATATTGAATTATGACGTTATCATTCTGCCCGATTCTGTGGACTCTGTCTTCAGCTTGACACAAAATCTAGAATAATTTCACATATTAGATATTAGAGATGATGGAAAAAAAGAAATTTGAACATAGCTGATAATCTTAAATATGAAAAATATTAATTACACCAGGATTCCAGAATAATTCAGCGAAAACCACAAGATGCGCGGCAGTTAATGTGATACCCGCATTTGCGGCGGTAATCGACAGAACTGCTGCTAAGTAATCGTCACGTTCTTGAAATTTATCAACTTGATATTTTCTGTGCTCTGAACTGGTTTTGCCATCGATCCTTATGTAACTGAAAATTGTCACGTATAATTACGATGATGTTGCATATATGATTCGTATAAGAATTGCAATTACTTTTTTATTAACTATCGCAATTAATATGAAACAATTCCATTGCAAACCATTTCTGATTGACTGATTTCAACGAATCAATTATCGATTAATTTAATTATAATATATTTGTTCAAATCAATTATTAAATTGAATTGTTTAAATGATATTTTTACACTTCTAATATATATAATGGATTGCAAAATGGTTTATATATAATGGTTAATTATTGGCCAATGTGTGTGTGGACTTGCTCCACAGCTAGAATACACATACATACATAGATATATAATGGTTATGTAAACATTTACTTACCGTATCTTCATTGATTCAGCAACGTCGCAGATAGCATCCAGAACATTTTGATGATGAGCATATAAAAGGCATTTTCTCTTATTCTCAAACAAATTCTTTATATATTCGCTGCAATGTAAAGTGAACGAGTTAATTCAACTGACTTATTGACTTACCCCTGAAAAAATAAGTGTGCTATAAATGTACCAAACCGCTTTGAGTCTTGCATCACTAGACTCATTATAATATTGCAGTAGAGCATGATGTCTATCTAGACCTGCAGCTTTTTTTTGCATTTGTTCCAACTTTTCTTTCATCTGCTTGGTGCCAGCTTTGATTAAAACTGGATCTAAGATAATCACCTGCCTAAAACAAACAATACCTAAGATACAGATACCTAAGATACAGATACCTAAGATACAGATTAAAAAATCCTGTATATATGATCAAAAATTTTTTCTAAAGTATTTACACCACAAAAGAGCATTTGTTTTTAGGACCTTATCTTAGATGGTAACTGATTTAATACATCAGCTTTCAATCTCCGAATCATGCAAGTCATTTTCAGCAACAACTGCAATTCTTGCATATTTGAAGAGCCTGTGAAATCCCAGCCAAATGCGGTCTTCCGTGCTGCGCAATATCGTATGCCATACTCTTCGTATCTGCAACATGACACTTTTATAAATTTTGTACACGTATGATTTTTTACACGTTAAAGTTCCTGGTCAATTGATGAAGTCGAGATGTAAAAATACACAATAAAAATTCTTGCCGAATACATAAACGTAGAAATAAAAAGATATATCCATAAAATGACATTTTCATTCGACCTAGCATATCTGTAAAATAGTTCAAACGCTTTCCTTTTGCTCTAGCAATTAATAAATTATCGTAAAATTAACGTGATACGTAACCTTTTGATGTACCATTCCTCATGAGTTTGTCATATTAATTTTAGTCATTTATTTTTTTTTGATTGAACAAAAGGAAAATATTTGGATTATTTTATACATCACTCAAACTTTTATGATCTGCGTTATTTCATAGATCCATCTTTTTACTTCTGCAAGAATTATTAGCGTGCATTTTATTCTAATGAATCATATCATATAATACGAAAGACCTTAATGAGACGTTTATACAAAAGTGCTCTCCTAATTATCTATTCACTTACTTCATAAAACGCGGTATAATTAGACTAATTTGAGAATACAGCTCGATCGGTCTCGACAAGGCTGGCGTTCCAGTGAGCAACATAACATGGCGCGCTTGGGCGCATATACGTTGAGCTGCTTGAAATCGTGCAGTTTTATTGCTCTTCAGAACATGAGACTCATCCTAAGATTTATAAAATAATAAGTAATAGTTCATTACTAGCTTAGTAAAACAACCACATACATACCAGAATAACAAATCCATAAATATGTTTCTCAACAATATCTATAGCTCGATTTAATAAGTCATATGATATTATAGTAATTTTTTCATCTCCAATATAGTCTTTTGTATTTGCAAAATGATGTATATACTGGGCGGGTATGGACGGAAGGAATTCGTAAATCGCTTCAGACCACTGGAACCTAAATAGCATTTTCATTTTATACAGTATTGTCACTGGTACTTTTATTATAGTATTATAGAATATTATACCTGACAGATGAAGGAACTACAATCAGAAGTGGCCAACTTGCTTTGTAGTAATATGCTATACCTAATGCCTGTATTGTTTTCCCTAACCCCATATCATCTGCAATCATACAGCGGCCACTTTTGGATATACCATAGCTAAAATTAATGTTTGATATATTAATATCTAAATATTTTAAAAAATAATGATATATATAACTATGTCAAGTAAAAATTACCATATGCCTTCTTGTTGAAACGGCATCAAACTATCTGTTAATGTTTTGTCAATTTTTGATAAATCTGGCTCTGGTGTTTGAATGTCTGATTTTAAATTTCTATTAAATATCTAAAACAACAATATATTTTAGAGTCAATATGTTCTAGATGCTTATATATATATGTGTATATATATATATATATATATATATATATATATATATATATATTTTTTTTTTTTTGTGTGCATAGATTGGTGTAGTGCATAGATTACCTGGAGAATAGTCTTAGGAATTCTTTCCACAGATATGTTAGACTCATGTCCTATTAATTTCTGCATAAGGTAGTCATAATCATTTATGTGAAAATTCCATATCCTAGATTTTGCATCTGAAAAATCAAATAAATATAAGTAAATATATAACATATACCATTAAAAATTAAGATTATAAATAATATTTTAGTTAATTATTCACAATTACCATATAATCTGCTAGGAACTGTTTTAAATGTTTCAATTATTGCAGGCACATATAACGATGTTTCTAATGCAAATCTGTCAGTGCTGATCATATAACATTTTCCTGTTACAGGTTGTGATTGTGGTTTATAGAAATTCCTGGGTTCTATAGGATTGTAACGATTGTTTGGCTTGCATTGTTTCACATTTGAATAATACTTATACTTTGTTTGTTGTTGATAAGTAGGATTACTCCTAGGTGTGTTATTTTGTGCCTTTAATTGGGCTTGTTCTCTTCTTTGCAATGCTAATAGGCGTTTTTTCTCAATTTCTTCAGGAGAATATATTTTTCCTACAAATCATTTGTCAAATATTATTTCACAATATTATTCTACAAAATTAAAATATTGTCTTTTAAAGATCATACTCATTCTGCCTAATTATGTTCTTCTGCAAACGTTATTTGATAAGTATAAAAAATAATATTTTGCGTTTCTTAATATCACATATAAACACTTATATAGATCTTATCAATTAATGCAAACATATCGTTAATATCACTACACTGCATATCACTTAATAATAGCGTAAATCATGTTTGAAATCTATTTGATCGCTATCAACACAAAATTTTTAAAGATCTTAAAGGTTTGTTTTCGAAGAACTTGTGATTAGTACAATAAGTTAGAGCGAAATAAGTACATTTTCTTTCACTCTAACTTATTGCACTAGTTCATCAATGCAACTAATGCAGGGTTCACACCGCGTCCGATATCTGATGTACGACGTCCGATATCCAATAGCAGAACAGCTTTCTAATAGAATTCAATTTTCCATTGGAAAGTTATTCTTCTATTGGATATCGGACATCGTACGCCGCATATCGGACGCAGTGTGAATCCTCTATAAGGCCTGGAACACAATATGCTGTGTGCTGGATATCGGAACGCAGCTGATAGTCCAATGAGAAAATTTATTTTTCGAGAATGAGTTCTTCTCATTGGACCATCGGCTGCGTTCCGACATCCAACTCCGACATATAGCGTATTGTGTTTCAAGCATGGAATATATCGGTTGTTTTCTAACAAGAAACACAAGTCGACACAAGTATCATCCTATCTTTGTTACTCACTAATAGCATGTTCGACTGGCTCTGGATTAACCCACTCTGGATTAACCCAGAGCCAGTCGAACATGCTATTAGTGAGTAACAAAGATAGGATGATACTTGTGTCGACTTGTGTCTCTTGTTAACCCAGAGTGGGTTAACCCAGAGCCAATCAATATGCTGCTTATGTCCCTTAAAGGGACGTCTACATTGGAAGTACGCAGTAAGAAGTAGAAAGTAAGAATAAGAAATTGACCAATTATAGTTGATTATTCTTCTCACATTCGACTGTGGTTGGTCAATTTCTTACTCTTATTTCCTACTTCTTACTACTTACTTGCAATGTAGACGTTCCTTAAGGCTTAAAGCTTACTACACCTATTGTAGGGTGCGTTTAGATTCCTCATCCGGGTGCACTCTATTACTAGAAACACTATAGTATATGTTACATATACTATAGCACTTTTAGTGCTAGCCGCATATACTATAGCATTTTTAGTGCTAGCCGCAGATTTTAGAACGCAACCGTAGATCGGGATTAACGATCGCGCTAGTTCTTAAATATTTACCTCTAGTTGTTTGCAGATAGCGCTGTGAAACTGTAGCTAGTAAATATTTTTACAAACATTAAGGCCCATATTCTGAATCCTCTTTTATCTATAAAAGTGCCTCTAAAAAAGGCTTAGGAGCCACCTGATTAGCTGAGAAGCTACTTTTAAGGCATTTTTATCGATAAAGAGGATTCAGAATATGGGCCAAAGTATTTTATTCTGGATAGCATTTTTCTATCTCTATTTACGTCATTGGCTGCGTTCAGAAAACATAGCTGATTAGTGAGCGGTCAGTGATTATTGGTCCTTACTGTTAGATCCTTAACTGTTAGACCAATTATGTTGACTAATTACTCAACCGTTGTGCAACAGTTGTGTCTTCTGAACGCACCCATTGTAATTTTGATATTAAACAATTGATGGCTCTATCGCAAGATGGACGATAAGTCGTCAATAAATTAACCTGTATCTGCATCTTTATTTATATTCTATTCGAAACAATTCATTCAACAAAGAATTATTTCACACTAGCTTTGTTTAAAATACGCCTTGTCGAAGTACCGTGTGCGGAGCAAAAATTTTTTCTCTATTAAGTAATTCAGTCAACTTACAGCATTCGCAAAATCGAAGTTATTACAGTGAATGACATAAGGTCAATCATATATAATTAAACCTAAAGTAACTCTAATTAAACCTTGTACGCTTCTAAACGAGGTGCTTTTAAAGTGCGTTCAGGAAGCTCGCTATTAACGCTATCGTATCAGGCTGTTCTTGTTGTGTATCTAAGGAGCGATAAAGATAGAAGAACGCGGTAGCATTGATAGCGTGCTCCCCGAACGCACCCTTTCAGTGACAGAACTACAATTCTTTTGTGTTAACAATATATACTAATGTTGCAGCTGAATCTTTAAGCACATTCATCATGTCAACATCGAAATATCGTATGAAAGTTCAAATATTATGTATGTATTTTCTATTAAATATTACATATGATTGATCAAGTCTATAAACTACATGTCAACTATTCCAGCTGATCAACATGAATTTGTGGTGCCAAAGAAAGGTATCAAAGTACCAACGGATATAATAAATTGGCTAAATTCAGAAGCATACTTTGTAAGACAACTTTTACAATATTTATTATTTGATACAAGATCTTTTTATAGTTATATCTAGAATATTTTAAATATCAAGTAATATTTTTGTATCTTTTTTCTGTAAATAATAAAATTTTGTTTTTGTAGGAATATTTAGGATTTATCTTGATATTGAGTGAAGCAGTTGAAGGATTATCTTTGGACGCAGAATGTTCAGAGTCTCCTGTAGTTAATACTATTGTACAGATGTTAAATAACTTTGATGAATGGATAACAGAAATTCCACCTACTGAACAACCTCAAAGATTTGGTAATAAATCATTTCGCACGTGGCACGAAAGATTACAGCAGGTTTGCCAATATTTTACTTAAAAGTTATTTAAACTTAAGTAATTTTACTTATGATTAATTTTTCAATTACAGAATGGAGCTGAAGAACTAAAACAAGTTTTGCCAGAAAAATTGCATCGGGCAGTCCCAGAGATAGTTCAATATTTATATGAAAGTTTTGGCAATCCAACTCGTATAGATTATGGCACTGGTCATGAAATGGCCTTTCTTATGTTTCTCTGTTGTATGTTCAAGATTGGTGCATTTAAGGAAGATGACAAAGTTGCTGTTGTCACAAAAGTCTTTAATAGGTACTCATTATTGTTATATAGTTTTCAACTTATCTCTGAATTAATAAACTATTTAAATTGATTATCTTACATTATGTGTTGAAGGTATCTTGAATTAGTACGTAGACTTCAGTTGACATATCGTATGGAGCCAGCAGGTAGTCATGGTGTTTGGAGCTTGGACGATTACCAATTTGTACCTTTTATATGGGGAAGTGCTCAATTAATTGGTATTAGTATTTACATGTATTATTATCCCTCTCTATCCTCCTCCCCTCTCTCTGTCTTTCTCCCTCTCTGTTTGTGTATACTTTTCATATAATAATCTTTAAAAATTTATATATATATATGTTTGGTTTAGAATATCTGTAATAGACACTTATTTCATACAATCTAATGTTTTAGGACATCCTCGGATAGAACCACGTCACTTTACAGATCAAGGTATTGTGCAATCTTACAGTAAGAAATTCATGTTCCTTGGCTGCATCGAATTTATTTCAAAGGTAAGAATTTATACAAAACGCATATTTTGTATTTATTGATATGAAAATTAATTTGTCTTGTTAAAATTAAAGAATTTACATTTTGATACTTATTGTTAGGTGAAGATAGGACCTTTTGCTGAACATTCAAATCAGTTATGGAATGTCAGCGCTGTATCTTCATGGTACAAAGTAAATATGGGTCTCATCAAAATGTACAAAGCAGAGGTAAGTTACAAATTTACCTTTTAAACATACTTAGCACCACAAATTTTACCTCGTATAACATGTGAGAAAATTATAGATAAAAAGCCATTATTATTTATTATATTGTTTTTCAGGTATTATCGAAGTTTCCCGTTATCCAACATGTCCTTTTCGGTTCTTTGCTGCCGTTAACGCCAATGAAAGCTCGTTCGAATTATAAAAAAACTTGTCTCAATGAACCATTATCAGACAAGTCGGAATAACGAAATTATATACTGAAGAGATAAATGATAAATATGTTTGTTACTGTGTGGTTCGTTACCATACTTCCTAGTATTTATAATAAAATTGTTCTTATTATCTCTTCCTATAGTGCTTCAGTGAGCTTTGACTAATTTTCTCTGATTTTAATCTGTTGATTAAATGCATATATATTTAATATATACGTGCAGAAAGAAATATCTGTCACAAATAATATTAAAGTTATAAAATTTAACAATGTAATGCAAGCTCTTAAAAAAATTGTGTATTGTTACATACATAAAAAGTGTATATTATATATTTCTATTTGTCATTTAATTTGTATCTTATGTGAACATTGATCAATATTTCAATAAAGCTAAATGATTTATATTGTTTTAAATTATTATAAAACTATCGCATCTTTATTAAATTAAGAATATTAATGAATTGTGTTCATGATGTAAAAAATAATAATTCTCAGTTTAGAAATGGCGACAATATGTTAAGCTCCAATGCTATTTATAAATTTTAGAGAATGTTATTCGATTATATCCGAATTCTTATGTGTTTTTAATCAATGTTTGTATCCATAGGAACTGATGAAATAGACCTAATGGTCGGTAGGTAACCCTAACCTACACGTATCATGTTTAACCTCGTAAGACTAATCGAACAAATAAGATCCTATTATATATTGTAGAAATTTGTGCAAACAATAAGATATAGTATAATTAATCATAATGCCTAAGATATTAATTTTTACGTTATTTTTTATAAACTTTTACGTCGCATTTTGCCAAGATATTGATATTGATAGCAACGGATATATTGTTTACTGCCCTTGCATGGGTAAAATTTTAATTTACTAATCTGTAATTTTATTATTTCATATCAATACTAATAAGTCTTACACATTCGCAATTCCCATTTCAGGACGTTTCGGCAATCAAGCGGATCACTTTTTAGGAGCTTTAGGGTTTGCCAAGTCTTTAAATCGCACCTTAGTGTTACCACCATGGGTAGAGTATCGTACAGGAGAAACGAGATCCGTGAGTGATATTTAAATCTTATTTACAGAAATTGCATATATACTCTTATGTATCTAAGATTAAATTAATTTAATTTCTAGATACAAGTACCTTTTGATACTTATTTTAATGTTTCACAAGTACAAAGTTGTCATAAGACACTACTAATGGAAGACTTTATGAAGGATGTTGCACCAAGGATATGGCCTCCTGAGGAAAGAGTATGTAAGTTCTAAATATTAATTCCATAAAAAATAAAACCAATTTTTTTATCTTTATTATTTTTTTCAGCTTTCTGTTATTCTCCTCGTGGCAAAGAAGGAGGTTCCTGCAAGGCAAAAGATGGAAATCCGTTTGGACCTTTTTGGGACACATATAACATAGACTTCGTCAAATCAGAATTTTATGGTCCACTCCATTATGAAATGTATCATACTGACATGAAGATGCAGTGGCGCAAACAATATCCAGCTGCAACTTGGCCAGTAATGGCATTTACAGGTGCTCCTGCTAGTTTCCCAGTACAATTTGAAAACAAGAAACTCCATGCATGCCTCAATTGGAACAATGATATGCTGAATAAAGCAAAAATCTTTATAAAGAAAACATTACCAAAAGGAGCATTTGTGGGTATACATCTACGGAATGGATTTGATTGGGTAATGTGTTTGCAGTATTTTTCATGTTGAGATAATCTAACATAAAGAAAGAAATGTTGCTACAATTTTCTTTTACGATATAAATGAAAATAATGAAATAACATGATAGAAATACTCTGCAAAATATTTTTTCCTTTGTGTAAGGCAGAATGAGTCTAGTTGTCACATTTCTTATATACTAATAAAAAATATGCAATATTTTTTAATATTGCATTTTTATATAAATATAATCTTTAGATAAAAGAAAAAATATTCTTATATATATATTCATACACAAAAAGTTAGTTATAAATATGACTCTATCCCATAGTCAGAATTGTCACATATCTTTCATGTAAAGGAAACAAATTAATCATTTTTTATATCCAACTAACATAATATAAATAACTTATACTAAAGAAAAAATAGGCTCTTCTATTTATTACGTGAGATATGTTTTGTGATAACTGATCCATTATGTGATTTTTAGATCTAGAGACCTTTTTCTATATTTATTCCAAGAAAATTGAGATGTGCGAATATTCTTATTATCCATTGTATTACCCATTAACATTACATATCCAGAAGATATTGATTTTCCGTTCACCATGTCTTTTTCAGGTGCGTGCCTGCGAATTTATTTCGACCACACCTAATCTCTTTGCCGCTCCTCAGTGTCTTGGATATCGTAACGAACGTGGCAAAGCAACCTCGTCTATGTGTTTACCGTCGTTTGAGTTAATAGTACGTCATTTGAAACGTGTCATTCGCAATGGTAACGACGTGAAATCGGTGTTCGTGGCATCTGACGGGAACCACACGCTGGATGAACTCGGGAAAGCTCTGGCACGTATGAAGGTAATCTCTTACGTCTACCATGTCGATACTATTACATTACCAATCATATCTCAACATTCTTGATTGTTTTATAGATACCAGTATTTCGACAAGAACCGCCGGCGTCGCCTCACTTGGACCTAGCGATTCTCGGACGAGCGAACTACTTTATAGGAAATTGCATTTCCTCCTTCTCCGCTTTTGTAGCTAGAGAAAGAGAAGTCAAGGGATTCCCGACTTTCTTTTGGGGTTTCCCCAATGAGAGGTCTTCCATATCCCATGAAGAATTATAATGTGACACAGGATTGCGAGTAATTATTTTCTCAATTAATTATCATGCTTCATTGATAATTGATATTTTTACAATTCTGATACGGCATTTCGTTACATTCGTGTTGAGCACGAGTGACTGAGAATATTTAAAATACAAACATGGTGTGATGATTTTTTTACATGTATATTCAACTAAGTTAGTAATTTAACATATATCTATAATGCATATACAATAATTATTTAAAAATGTATTCCCCATACAAAATAAGCTGAGTAGTTCATCAGAGCGGTATTTCGCTAATTACTTTTAATGTCTAATACGTAATCTTCGTTTTATAATAAAAAATGTATAAAACCAGTTCGGCTCAAATTACTCCATTCTGCTTATCTTTGCACAGATAATAGCGTATAAAAAATAATTTAAATCTATATTGATAAAAGACTTCCAATCGTGACGAAAAACTCTGAATTTCTCGATAATATCTAGTATCGATATTATTCGCTTCCTATGTCTCGCATATCGCACAGTGTCTGCTTTAAAACGTGAGCGAAGTCTTTCGTATTGGTCTCTGCGCACGATTTGAACGAAGAACAAGCGAATAATATATCCTTCGCTCGTGGATTGTAGCAGCAACCGTAACCGTCGGGAACGACTGGTCCGTAGCACATAAACGACGCCGACTTATAGGGCACCTGCGGATATTAATCAACATGATTGTACCTCGATGAGAACAATATTTCACTTACAAGGAGGTGACTCACCCTGGGATTTCGACCCCAATTTTTTTAATTATTCTGGAGATGAAAAAAAGATACATGTCCCGGTGTTTGATAGAATAGGCTTTAGTTTCGGAGTAATAAATTTGTGAAAATTGGCCATATCCGAAGCGCACCGCGGCGCGCCATATGAGCCTTCCCGGTTCTGTACTTCCAACCAGTGCAGTTGGCTTCGTGAGTTAGGTGCTTGCTTCATAATTCGTAAGATCCAAGTTCGCTCACGGAGGTGAGCAATAATTTTTTTTTTAATGAGTGGTTTTATTTATTTTTATTTATTTTGATGATATTGATATAGTATGCAAATTTTTGAAATAGAAAATTTAATTTAATATCACATTCTATAATATCACATTAATTTAAGCTTTAATATCACATAAATTTAATATCACATAAATTTAAGCTTTTACAGATATGATCAAGTACGCTTGATATGCATCGAAATTAATTCCTGAAAGAAATGTGTCTCGAAACGTCAACGAAATATGTTTCCCCCCGGACTTACGGAAAAATAAATGTGTATGTGATACTCCTTCATTTATTTATTGTGCAAATTGTAGGAAATTTATATGCTTTAAATGTTTTTATGATGTTTATCATCCAAGTAATTGTTCCGCATCGAAATAATTTAATTTTGTAATAAATCCGCAATACTTAAATAATTGAATTTTGTAATAAAAATATTCACATTCACATTTCAGATGTTTGTTTATTTTTCTTCTTCTACGATTAATTATTTTAAAAACTAGAAATTTAAAATACTGTTAATATTATTTCCAATTAAATTTTAAATTTAAACAATTTGAAAATTTAGATACGTTGCCTTTATATGTTATCCATTACAAATAACTTATATATTATTATTATTACTTATTTATTATTTCAAATATTATTACTTGAATTAAAATCCCCTTAAAATTAAATTTAAATTAATGTTTAGAAATGTGATATTAAATTAAATTTTCTATATCAAAAATTTGCATACTATATCAATATCATCAAAATAAATAAAAATAAATAAAAACACTCATTAAAAAAAAAATTATTATTCACCTCCGTGAGCGAACTTGGATCTTACGAATTATGAAGCAAGCACCTAACTCACGAAGCCAACTGCACTAGTTGGAAGTATAGAACCGCGGATGTGCATAAATAATTAAAAAAATTGGAGTCAAAATCCCAGGGTGAGTCACCTGGTCCTCCCCTTGTTAGTTATAACATGACATTTTCAAGGTGACACTCAATTACCTGGCTTGATGTTAAATTGAAATATGTGCTTCTAGTGTAACCAACATCTTTATACAATTCCGGAAGCTCCATACCTTCGCTCTGCGCTATCATTTTCAAGCCGAACAAATGCCGATCGACACCTTGGCCGGTTGCAGCCTGCAACAGCAAAAAATTGCAAGGTTGGGTATTGATGTAAATTACGATATTCCATAATGCTGTTATAGCACTATAACCATATATTGTTACTTATTAAAAGTTAAACTTATGTCTACGGGTAGACAACGTCAACTATATAATTTACATAAACAATGTCTAATCTATAGATGTTGTTTAAAGAACGTATAGCTCTCGCCAAAAAATTGAAAGTTTATATTTTTATTTAATTTTTAAAATACTGATATATATAAATTTATAAACATTATTTCCTAATCAAATTAGAAAACCGGAATTCTTTAGGTATATTCTTACTTATAGAATTAAATCTACCAATTTATCACACAGTGAAATGAAAAAATTGTGCAATTTCTTCCAGGGATTATCTCACCTGTCCAGCGTAATCTTTATGAGTATTTATAGCCTTGATCATCATTTCCTTTTTTTGCGCTTTAGTCTTGCTGCCAGCGTCGTATAATATCATCTTCGCGAATTCGATGGATTCAGTGGAGGTGGACCTAATGCATTCGGTCCTGGCGTTTATGAATCTTCGTAACCCCGCGCTTTCGTAATGAGCAAACGGTTTTTTGTACAAGTTAAAGAAAGTCACTTGCATCGCAATCTGTATAAAACTATCAGGACTGAATTTGATCGCTTTTATGGCATCCGCACCGAATTTATCGAAGGTAAAGCATTCCATGTCTATGTCGTCGGAGAGCCTGGAAGATTACACACATTTTTGCACATAGTTTTGTTACGATCGCAAAGAAGTAATAATGGATAACTTACTTATCTACTGTAATCGTAGCTTTCTCAATTGCACGTTCTATAGCGTCGTTGATTTCGAATTTTAAAAGTTCTGGTCTAGGGAAGTCCTTTGAACATTCGCTCTTTGCATCATTTTCCCTTGTTGCTCTAAAAATAGATGGAGATTATTTTTTATAACAACCATTATACGAAGCAGCTTACACATGCTGCGTATCAAAATGTAACAGTAATGCATATGCATTACATATAATTATCACTTACATATATTTCAATATATAATCATGAAGAACAGCAACTGGAACACCTTCGCATGGACTATGTTCGTATTCCATGCCGACATAACCGTCCGCTGATACTATATACTGTAAAATATTTTTACTGTAAATCAGGATTGAATGTTTACGCGTGAATTATTATACTTTACATCTATAAACCACATAAATTATGTATGAAATTTGATCTATACAGACAATGAAATCTATGATTGTCGTCTAAAGAATATATCGTATATCTCTGGTTATATTTCTTTTAAACATTATAATTTTTTATATTATCCAAAACAAAAAGATACAGTAACTGTCTAAACTTAATTACTCTCTCTTTTTTTGTATATTTTAATATAATTTGGAATATTTTACATAATTTATATTTTTTGCATGAAAAACGACCGTATATACATAGAAAATACATAAACAATCTGCATAGATGTAATCTTGAAATCTATAGTGCAACAATGCTGCAAATTATCTCAAGACGAAGGTAACATTTTATTCATTCTATTGAGAACTGATTTAATGATAACTCACCTGCACAATCTTGTCGTGCCACCTGTTGCCCGCGTTTACGCGACTATTGAAGCCTGTCATAGTCTGAACTGCTCTAACAGAAGCATTATTCTTTTCTTTAAATGCTTCTTTAGGTATATCTTTGTCCAGACACAATATAAACATAGATGTCTCTATATTCTTGATTATATTTCTATTATTACCTAATTCTGAAAGTATACAATGTTTCAGTAGTTAATTAAAAGAGTAACAGAAAGAAAAGAAAAAACAATATACCTAAGAGTAAGGTACTATCTATCGTCCAAGTATCTCTATCATTGCCAGTTAAAATTCCTACAGGCTTTCCTTCCACATATGAACGACTCGCGATGTCTTTTATAGCAGCTACAAGTTTACTCTCACTTAAAATGTTATCGTCTTTATCGATAACACAGAGTTTAAAGAACTACAATGTAAACAGAATATGAGCAGCTGTTTTCTTCTTCAAGTGAAATAGTTGTACTTACATGATTATTGCTCATGACTATTATATGCTTAGCCTCATCTGTATGCAATAGCTTGTCAACCATTTTGTGAGGTTGTCTATGTGTACCAAGTATCATACCATAAGGCTGCATGTCAAGTGGATCATTGCGAAGCATTTCTTGCTTCATTTTTCCACTATAATGTTGTATATATATCATGTATAAATCTTGAGCAAGAGGATACAAGAGATATTATAAACTTACCTTTTAACAATCTGATTGTAATCACACACTCCAGCAATAAGACGTGCTGCAAATATATATACATCATCTGGTTTTTTGAAGATAATTGGTGGTCCAACAGTACCAGGACTAGAATTCACAATTGCTGGAGCACGGTACCCTAGATATGCAGCTTCTAACCACCATTCTCGCATCTAGAAATACATACATACAGATTATTTATTAACTGTTTATATCTGAAAGAAATATGCAGGTGCAATAATTACCCAGTTATCAGTATTTTGATATCTTTGTAGTAACTTAGCTTGCAACTGTGGTCCTACACCAGAGTCACTTATAAATTTATATACAATTTTTTCTGTATTTTTATATTCTGTACCAGTCAATAATGGCTTTAAAGATCTATAAAAGCAATATGTTACAAATAATGATGGTAATATTTATGAACAAGACTGTATACAAAGGAAATACCTCAAATAACGCTCTGCAGTTTGTTTGAGATCTGGTACAGGTTGCTTGGGCAATGGTTGTTTATTTAAGTTTAATGTTGTTATAGATGATCCATGTAGAATTGGTGGTACCTTAAGTAGCCCATTATAGACCTGTTGATTTAATTAACCTGTTGATATCCTTTTTTTTTTTTTACAAAATATATCTCCAAATATATACTCACTGCATATTTTGGTATATTAGAAGCTACTTTGTACATTGCTGGTTTTTCTAAATAACTGGTGGCTAATCCCATTGCATTACTAAACAAAAATTTGAAAATAGTTTTAATTATACAAATGTAATAACATAAATATTATAGCATCAAAAACCAAATTGAACACAGCTTATTAGGCACAGAACGTATCTCACTGACAGAGGGAATAAAGGTTTAAAAATATCTCTGCCCAGTTATATATTCACATCACATATATATGACATAAATCACCTGATTAGTGCACGACTGGGATAAATTACCTGTGATGATGAATGGACCCCACAATCAAAGTAGATCACTATAAATTGTTATATCACAGATAAGGGCAGACATTGAATCGATCATTCGCAATGATTCGGATGTTTCATGTAGTATATACGTGTCATCCCGAGTACTTAAGATTAATAAGCATCAATTTAATATAAATACGTACGTATCCATATGGAGAAATTCGCTTGCAGTTCTTCTAGTGAAAGGGTCTATATGTTAAACGAGTACACCAAAACTCAACTACTGAAATATAACTTTTATCATAATCTGAGGTATTCGATAACGTTTGATACGAACTTTCTCCTAGTGAACTTTGGACAGCGTTGGAACGCTCATGAATTTTAATGCGGCTATAAACGAGTTCATGTTTTTTTTTCTAAATACACAATATTCAATATATAACTACGTCATGCATTTTTACAAAATTAAGGCCTGAGTACAGACTTTTCATAACGCATAATGCATAAACAAATCAATCAATCAAAGTCCTTTATTTCCATTTTGAGGATGGAAGTGAAGAACTGTCATATTCTTATCGTATACTTTTTAAATTATATTGGCTGCGTTCAGCAGAAAAAGCTATTTTGCAACTTTTATAAAATTTGTAAATCTGATTAGTGAATAATCTTAACCTTGGCTGGATCTAAGAGCATATACTAATCAAATTCACGAAATTTAATGGTCTGTTCCTTTCAACTGCACTAATGCACTAAGTTAGAGTGAGAAAAAATATACTTATCTCACTTTAACTTATTGCACCAGTTCAGCATTAGCTGAAAAGAACAGACCATATAGCAATTGTACAGGCAACCATTTACTCATGTCGATAAAACAATCTTAAAAATAACTTAATATATGGATATTTCAAATATAATAATCGTAATCTTTATCTCCGATTATCTGATCAATAATATGATGATAAATTATTTTCATTTGTATTTCATGTAATATACAATAATGAAATTATTAAAAAATTACAATTTTTCAATTTTCGCGCACTTTTCCCTGTAGCATTCATTTCTTCGCTTACCAAAAGATAGCGCCTGTTTCTACTGTGTTTTTGGAGATGGCTCTTCTATATTTTTGTTATTCACAGATTGTTCTGGACTGTGTTAGATATTGGTCATCAGTGTCAGTGGTATCTATCAAATTCGATATATTATAACAATTTTGAAAACTTTCCGCAACATTTCTGAACAATTTCCGAGAACCTAAGCAATGGCGGACCCAAAATATTCTGAATTAGCTGGAAACGTAAGTTTTTTTACGTATTACTTTGGTCGTATTTTTATATGTCACATAATGTCACTGACATAAGTAAAATACCTACATGCAATACTATGTTTCGTTGTATATTTGCAATAAACGTTGCAGACGTATGATCAGGTTGACGATGCTAAACTTGTTTACGAAACAAGTGATCTGCCAGAATCAGAGCAAATGCCGATGTACTGTGAGGTAAAGTATAGATCTTGTTGCTTTATATGTATGTGTGATAAGATATTTGGTATACTAATATGAAATTTATCTACTTAGGATGAACCTGACAGCTCCTGCGTGGAACAGTTACATATTAGTGCTAAAGAAGCATTCAACAAGTTTAAAGGCAAACAAATTATTGGAAAGAATGTCGATTTTTCAGATCGCTTATCATACAAGCCTAGAACAGGATACAAGTAACTTTAAATTAAGCATTGATTTAATGAAATGTGTTACTTCACAGAAGAATATATTATCTAAATATTTTCAGATTTGGAGATTGGGATTGGGAACTAGTTAGTCAAGGTGAAAAGGAATCTCCTCTACAGAAGTACCAACGATTGCAATGTGAAGTTAAAGAGTTATATGAAGAAGTGAATGAGTTAAAGGTACATAGTGTGATCTTACTGCTAATAAGATGCATTGTAATCATTTTGTAGTTTTGAATGGCATTTATATATATATGTTGTGTTAATGTATCTAGGAAAAATCTAAAGATGACCAAGAGATCAAGTTTGCAAGTGAGATTATTTCTCAGACACAACAGGTAGAAAAGCAGTTAGTCTCCTTAAAACTAGAAGAATGTTTAGGACCTGATGTTGTGGCAAGTTTATCAGATCCACAAGGCACTATGCTTAAGTATGACATCTAAGAATTATGATGTTAAATTTGTAATTTTAACTCTTCATATACAGGATGTTAACATAATGGTATCTACTATTTTTTATCAATTACAATAACAAGACAAAATTTTAACAATTTATCAAAAATATAGTGGATATCATCATAGTGATATATCTTGTATAGGATATTAATGTCCATTATTCTTTCCACTAGGCAATTGATATCACAGATAGAGTTATTTAAGCAAACCAACATGCCTACGTCTAAGACATCTTCGGAAGATACGAAAATTGATGAATCAGCTGAACGAGGTGTTCTGAAGTATCAGATGATGTACTTACCAGAAAAGGCAAGAATGCAAGAAGTTGCCAGGATTGCACAACTGGAACAGAGACTCTGTTGCATGGAAAATCTCATAGGTACAAGTAATGACAAGCTCTCTAAATTTTCACAGGTATGGACCATCTTGTGTATGCATGTTTTAAGTAGGATTCTTTGCAAATTCTCTTTTCTTTTTTTAGTATTTAAAATCCCAGGGCATAATGGATGCTGTACAGCAGCTAGAAGCAAAGGCTTCGTTGTTGGATGTTAATCAATTGGATACTATTGAAACAAGATTAGGTACATTGATTTACCGGATGGATAGCATTGCACAGAAAAAAGCGGCCACAGCACAAGATTCGGAACAAGAACAGAAGGTACAATATGTTGTTTAAGATTTCTATATGCTAGCCGCGACCACCTTGACATCAGAAGCGAGAATATATACACATTTTTGCAAAATACATAGAAATAAAGAAAATGTATCTGTAAAATAACATTTGCAATTAATCGAACATATATATAAAATAGTCTGAACATTTTCCTTTTGTTCTAACAATTAATAAATAACAACTGTAAATTTAACGTAATAAACATAATAATGAGAAAAGGTAAGTTAAAATGATATATTGAATATTACGTTAATTTTACGATAACTTATTGATTGTTAAAAAAGAAGGGAAGCGTTTCGCGTGGGCGCGACTATTTTATTAATGTACTCGATTATTTGCAAGTATTATTATATGGTTATATCTTTTTATTTCAATGCATTTTGCAAGAATTTTTATTGTGTATTTTCTAGCATCATCATTAATTGAGAATTATACAGTGAGGGAGTAGAAACTTTAATTGTTGAAATCAGTGTTGCAATATTATGCAACATTATCTTGCATGTAACATACTTATGATTTTTCTATAGATTTCAGAGATGTATGAAGTAATGAAGAAAATGGACACTATGTCACAAATTTTGCCGCAAACCGTAAATAGACTTGTAGTGCTAAGCGAGATTCATCAACAAGGTAAAATAAGATCTGCATTTGTTTACAATTATAGAAAATTCTTTAAAGAAAATATATTAAATATTATTATTCTACAGCTGCTAATTTCAACAAAGCTTTAATGAGATTAGAAGAACTGCAAGCAGAAATCACGTCAAACTTGGAAAGTAATAAATCTCTGTTGAAGGGAGTACAGGAAAGCTTTGCCTCCAACATGGAAACTATAAAAAGTAATATAGCACTGTTGGACGAGCGTGTTAAAAAACTTAAGAAGTGATTAAATGGATGTATTAAATCTAGTTACGAATACTTTGCTAGATCGATTCCATTTTCTCAAATCGCTTTATTTAGAACACTCATGCTCCTATGAAATTAAATTATTGTTTATTATTTAATAATTTTTTTCGAATCACGCAATTGTTTTATTCATTAATTCTTTTTTAATACTTTGAGTACACGAATACTCTATTTTTCGCAGTGGTATAGTGTATAAAATATGAGCCTATTATCTAAAAGTTGTTTTGGTATAAAGCACAAACGAGATATATCACCATATATACACACACACAAACACACACACATATATATATATATATACACATACATATATATAACATGCGAACTAAAATGAACTGAAATTCTAATAAAAAAAAACCTGCAAATTTTATTTAATGTTACATGATGTGGGTGAAATTCTCTGGCTTATATTAAGTGTAACTTAATCAGTTAATTCCTGTACAAAATAAAATGTATCAATTAAAAATATAAAAATTCAATACAATTTTGGTATAGGATGATAAGATTGAAAAAACTGTATTCTTTTTTTCACATCTGTGTCATACTTTTATTTAAAAACAATTAGAATCTTAACTTCTGGAAAAACCACTTATTCTTGCCATTTTTGTACCTGAAAGTAATTACAGAATTAATTTTCAAGTAAAAAATGATACATAGATTTTTCAATAATAATAAGATGAATTACACACCTCTCTTCAAATTTGACGCGGGTCTGGAAACGAACCTTCTTGCGTTTCATTGGATCCTTGAGGTCTTTGGGAGCTACTTTATCCAATTGTAAGTCTACAGTATATCTTGTTGGCATTAAATGGTTGTAATTTAAAATCTGAAATGTTTAATGTGAACAATAAGATATAAGAATACAATAATCACATTAAAATAAACATTGATAAAAGATATGAAAGTGGTAATTCCAATTAATGTTCTATCAATTTTCAAAACTTTCCCTGGACATGATGGATACAATTGTTACTTTCTATTCCTAGAAAACCCCAGGGACAGTTTCTACTGATTAGCTTAGATTCCATCAGTGAGCCAAAAATGACCTATTTTTATATCTTCCTTTTCTATGCAAGACTTATCTAAGAACTTCATGATTGACTAAGGAAATTTACCTTGACAAAAGGCTTGATTTTGGAACGTTTATGTAGCTTTCCTTTTCCCATTCTTTTGTGGACTTTGCGAGGATATCGATCAATGCCAGCAACCATGGCATGTCCATACTGCTTTTCAGTGGTACCATCATCATAGTTGCGCATAACGATAGCTTTTCTACCCGCGTACCGGCCACTAAGGACCAGCACGACTTTTCCTGTCTTCATAATTTTCACCATCTTGGCGATGTGTGCTGGAAAAAAAGGAAACACATGAGCGATCACAGTGCAAGCATATATTAATGTATGTCCTAGCCATTTTTTCTTGCGTGCGTAATTAAAGTTAGCGAATGATTCTTTGTGAAAATTTTTTGAAAACGAATTATATTAAGATATCTTTTCCGTTAGCGATATAAACACTTTGTGGTGGTAGATGTCACATAACCTTCTATATTACATGAAACACAAATAACAATAAATACACGTAGTTTGAGTGAAGAATGTTACTGGTGCAAATATCACAATAAACGATAAAGTTGCGAAAGATAGGGACGATTGAAAATTAATTATGATACTAACAAACGCGATGTGATGTGTGAGGTTAGCTTGAATTTTGCGCGTGGATATTTTTAATGGACTCGAAAAACTAAAGATTAGCGATTAGAATGAAAATTACGAAGTGCACTAATTAAAGATATAATGCAAATTCAACGAGAAATTATTCTAATTTCAGGATGTTCGCAGATTACTCTACGAAACCACGAGTACTACGAACCTCACGGCTTTTCACACCGGAAAAAAGGATGTTGCTTGGCTTTTGAGCGTCCTTACGAATCAGCCGGACAGATGTCGTGCCGAACTTCATTTCCGGCGGTAACAGCGCGCGCTGAAGTCAACAGTTTAACGGCGTTAACGTTTGACGCTAACCTCTGCCGATCTCTTTGATTGTTTAATTATACAAACATTGAGTGAGTGGAGAAGAAAATGTTAAGGAGCAATTAGATCAGGTAATTATGTTTAGTTTGGGATACTCATAAATAGTAACAACATATTGCAATGAGAACAAAAGTAAGACAAGATCAATTGTAACCTAATCTTTTATTATTAGATAACGAGATGTTTGCACGATATATTCTGTTTTATTAATTAGTATTTCTCTGTATTATTAAAATTCTAACATTAATGGAATAATGTCAATTTAAATGTAATTTGTGCATTTCTCGATAATTCTCTCTCTCTCTTTCTCTCTTCCTCCCTCATTTTATACTTACTTAGTAAACATCTAAGTTTTACTTTAGATATAAAAAGGTGTAAGAAAAAATATAACTGCGAAAAGAAAATTGATGAGATCAAAGTCGACATAGAAATAGATCGAAAATGGCGCCATTGCATTTCCACGATGTCAAGCGGATATCGCATCGAATTGAAATGTCAATCGTACCCAATTTCAAACGAATCACGACTTCCGACATTTATCTGTTAATAAAGACCTTTTATTGGAGGTGATTGAAGGCAAACCGAAGTAAGAGGTAAAATACGAAAATACATGTGACAACATACATCCGAAGTGAGCTAATACAGCATGTTGCATTTAAACTTAATTCTTTTATCCATATGATGTCTGATATTAAAGAAAAACAAACGATCGTATTGATTTTTCAATAGTGACACACATACATCATTGTATTAGAACCACACCAATATTATGATTATCAAATTGATGTTATAAATCTCATGTATGCCAAAATTTTTGATAATTGATATTCAAGGTCAGTTAATAACTTATTAATCAGTTAAGACTTTAAAAGATTGTTTTTAACTCAATTTAGTTAATTTTTAATGAATTGACTTTTAACTTAAACCAGTTACTTTAGACTGCATTAACTCTAATTTATCAACTTCTTTTATATAAGTTAAAATCTATTGATAATTTCACAATCATCAAGTTGCTAGCAATGTAGAATAAGAAAAATAAAAAATGATAGAACAATTTATTTTGTCACTCTGAGCACCAGTGTTCTTTTCTTACATGAATGGACACAAAAACAATCAGTATTTTCTTTAATTTTATAAAAGACTACCTTTTCATTAAAGTTAATGAAAAGCTTGCTTAATGAAGCTGCTTTGCATAATTAATTTTTAACTTTAATAAGTTAATTTAATATTTGATAACTTTTACTTGAATTAGTTTAGTAGTTAGTTTTTGTTTAACTTTTAAAGTAAATTAAATTAAAAGCCAAATTATATATATTTTGAAGTTTTATACACACACATACACACACACACACATATATAGTTAGTTATATCTAAAAATTAACTTTACTCAATCTTGTTGACATTTCTGACATATATCGTCAAATATTGTGCAAAATCATGCTGCTGGTGTTATGAAAAATACATATATCTCAGATAATTTTTGTAATTTATCACTATTCTTTATTACTGGTTTTGTTTAATGGTTCTTCTTTTCTTCCGCAGCTTCCATTAGAAACGGCATAAATCTTTCTCCTCTCATGGCGTCTCCTGAAGAGCGTGGGTCGTCGCATTTGCCTCGTTCTTTTTCTCTCTCTTTCGTTCCGCCCGCAACAAGTGTTCCTAATCGATATCAGACACCCTGCAAAACCCTTTCGCGACGCAACGCAAAGGAGTTGCAAGAATTTTTCATTTTTGCTATCATCGACGATCATTCACCTTCGCTACGCAATTCTGGTATACCTTTATGTCTCTCTAAAGCTTCGTAGTTTTGAAAGGAAACAAAAATAGAATATAAGCAATTCAATGCGATCTCGTCGTCGACTGTACTCGACGCGTCACCGGCGAACGATCCTTTCTTTCTCTCTTTCTCCCCAACAATGAATTTCCAACACTAACGCAGAATGTAAACGTAGGATGTCGCGTTGCTGCATTGTTCACACTAGGAATTTTGCCTTCTGGCCCTTCAATTCGTGTGACGTTATCATTTATCCTCCCGTTAGATGTTCCTCTTTATTGTCGACGACGACGGTGGCTTCTCATTTCTCTCTTCCTCTCCCTCTCTCTCTCTTTCTCTCTTCCTCGTTTCTCCCTCTCCCTACTCTGACTCCCTCACCCTCTCTTTCTCTTTCTCTTTCTCACTATATCGTTTTATGTCTTTGTCAGCCGCTACCCGGCGCGGTGCAATCGATTTCAAATCCGGCGCACGCCCTGCGCCTCGCCTGCGTCGCCTGTTGTACCTTCTCCTTATCCTTCTTCCTCGGCGTTTCTAGTCAGTGCTATCGCTGCGGCGGAGCCGGCCGTCCATGGGGTTCGGGAGTTCATCTGAACCAGCACCGCCGAGTGGTGACCGTCAGTTCGACAGCAAGAAACTGTGGTGGTTTCTCGTGGCGACGTGTACGATGTGCAGGGTGTGAAGAGGCTGCGCTGCGTCACGCCCAGGTAAGAACAGAGTGTATTCTGTGTTCCATTCTGTGTACGCATCTCTCCTTATTTATTTCTCAAAGGTGAATTTATGTGCAGATTGCGTGCGCAAAATACTCTTTGTAACTATCATTAGGAAACGAATTTATGTTGCGCTCTCGAAATGGAGGTCTGTTCATATTTTTCAGAGATATCAAGATTTTACTTGAATTTATTATTATATCATAATATTATATCATTATATCATTATATTAATATCATTATATTAATATTTATTATTTATATCAATATTTCATTTTTTTGAATTTGTTACTTTATATCAAAATTTCCTTTGATTATTTATTATTTTTACAAAATATTAGGTGTGGCTAAGAAGATTACGTTAAGACACAAAAATTTCTTTATTTTCTCTTTACCGCGAAGTCGAATGTGACAGCAATCGCATGCTCGCCGTATTTATATTACATATTTAAATTGAACACAAATAAGTGCATTCCCCATCGCGTGTTTACATTGCGAGTGATAACCTCTCGCGTTAAGCAAACCGAACCTGCGGTCACATTTAACAAGTGCAAAAATATAATATAGATCATAAAAATCCTTATCGTCGAAGCCTCCGGTAAAACTGTGCTTTCCTGCTTCTGCAATATCTGAGAATATTCCGGGAGCTTGGGACTTGAAATCGGATGGCGCAGTGACGCGCAAGCTTCCTCAAGGGGATGTTAATTTGCCCTTGATGGAGGGTGAATGTGACTACAACCTGATGCTTCGTTATATATAAGCGATCGCGGAAAAATGGTACTTCAGAACTCAATGGAGAAGCGAGATATTCCAAACGGAAGTTAAAAATTAAGAAAGAATAAAGAAATCAACGATGCGAATTATCGTTGGAAATTTCAGCTCCTTACTGCGTCGCAAGGAAGATCTGTTATATATAACTGAAAGAAACGATTCTAGCTGAAGAATTCGATGCTTCTTCTTCGAATAGCAATAACTCGGACTCATTGAACGAATTTATAGTATATTTCCATTGTAGCTAGCTCGCTGAGAACGGCGTGAATTATTCTACGTTGCAATGCCTTTTGTTAGATTCGCATTCGATCCGCGGCCACTGCACTCCAGGGCAATGCACTCAGAACAGTACTTACACCAGCTCTAGAAACTGTTGCTGGAAGTTACCGAAGATACTTCCACATTAAAGCAGTCGTAGCAAAGTAATCTGCTCGAACGAATTCGAATCTGAACGCTTGACGTGGAAATGCAGATATACTTATTCGTATGAAACTTAAAAATATTCTCCATATCCGTGTCGACTGTTAGATAGAAGTATTATGTAATATAATATTTATTATCTAATACAGTAAAGTATCAGACGATAATTTTTATTAAAAAAAACTCACATTTTAAAATAATCTTGGTATTTGTGTTGCGCGCGTTATTTACTCGTGGAGATCGTCAAACGCTGATGTTGGTTTATATTTTTCCGTAGAGTACGAGGCGCGCCTGACGACGAAGATAAAATTATCGTTAAACACGGAAAAGAGCGGAGTGACGTAAAGTGGATTCACAATTGCAGGAACATCTATGGGCCGTAAACGGTGGTGGGTTGGAAGCTTGAGGCTGTTGGTGCTTTGTATCCTGCATCACGGCGTTCTGGCTGATGGCGACGTCGGTGAGTGCGACCGCGCGAGAATATTACTAAATATTACCCCGCGACTACGATGAGATAACGCGGCGCTTGACATCGAGAATGTATTTACAGTATAGTGAAGAAAGTACTTGCAATTTCAGTAGTGACATCAAAGTTTCTTATGCGAATCATATTTGTGATATTATATATGCAATTCAATTGAAACATCTAACTTCAAATTTAGTGTTAGATGTTTCACTTGAGACAACCTAGATAGACAGAGATGCTGAACATAGCATGCGAACACACAATGTATACTTTGTGACGCTATTGCGACAGCCACAACGTATTTAAAATATAAAATATTAATTTGTCACGTCATAATTTCAATGAAAATATTTTCTTGTCACTACAATAATTCTGAATTAATTAAGCAAATTGCGTTCTCTTCCCGGCGAAATAAGCAGCAATTTTCATGGCATAAGAATATTGTCACAATTTTCATAGCATCAGAGATGACATTCTTTATATACCGAATAAATTCTTGCTGTATGAGAACGTATCTTTGCGTACTTGTGCTATTTACTAAGTAAACAATATGCCGAAATATATCTACTTGGGACACCCTATCTCTTTTACGGTTCCAAACTACAGAAAATGATTTTTCTCGGCAAAATACAGAAGTATTTTATTCCGATAGAAACGCTTTGCAGAAATATTCCTCTCTCCTGTGTCGATATATCTCAAAAGGACGTGTAGATATTTTTTTTAAAGTAAATGAAGTCATGGCGTTATACTTTCCATGTAGAGAAACTGGAAAATATAGAGAAATATGAGAAGGAATAAAGGTGATGTTCTTTAATGAAGTCGAAAGCCCGATTCTCTCTCGTGAAAAATATAAGTCGCGAGTTCTGTTTGTCTGTCTGTCTCTGTATTCGGTTATTTCAATTTCAAATCCCGCTAATTGAGTCCACGGTTACTCTGTTGAACTTCTGTTAAAGATTGCAGATTCACTCCTCCCTGAAATATGCAAGCGATAAATTTTAAGTTTCTTTAGAGCCGATAAACGATAAAGCTTCTTCAAGGGACAGTAAGTGTGTCGTGAAACATCTCATGATGAAGACCATCCGCTCGACATGTGACAAATCCTTTGTAACAGACTCTTCGCAATCAAACTAAATCTTTTCACGCCAGCAGTAACTGTAAAGATATAAAATAAAACAATAAGGAATACAGAATATCTTACAGATACAAGTAGCAGTCTTAAAAGAATATAGATTCAAATTTACAACGAGTAAATGAAATAAGTTCCTTCAACGATTTACAAATGAGTAAATGAAATAAGTTCCTTCAATCATATGCTTTAAAACGGCACAACAATTTGCTCAACATACGGCGTCGCATTGACAAGTCGTTCTATAGGATATCTCTATCTTTTTCTGGAAGTTTCTCGTTGGCGACTTACACCCACATCGTTCCTGGTGCTTCAAACACGAGAGAGAATAAGTCTCGTCTGCGTTCGATCGACAATTCATATCTCAGCGATACATAAAGGTACCTGAGATTGCTCGCGGAGGTGTTAACATCGATCGCACCGATAACGGTTGACGCCCCGTTAAGTTACGGTACGATACTTTCCTAAGTGCCACGCCATATGATCGCACATTCGTGAATCGGTTAATCAACTTATTGAACGAAAAACGTACGAGATGAGGTATAAGCGAGCTTGGCTGGAACTCTAATCATATACAAGAATCAACGTTTGCATCTGCCTTTTCACAAACACGACTACGACAACAATCGCGAATTCATTTAAAAATTGCACAATGCTACGTAATGGAAGGAGAATTTAATTAACTGCGATGCGGGCAAAGCTGGAAGTGACCTGAAGGGCGTGACTAGTGAAACTTTAAGACCGTACTCTGACCGGACATTAAACGTTAAATGTGTGCTCGTCCGATTCTAAGATTCATCCGTCTTGTATGATGGTCACGTACGGTCAGTATTTCAGCTTGAAGATCAGACGGTCGTATTTAGCGTTAAATGTGCGGCCGGAATACGAATTTTAGTTAAAAGCAATTTTAGCCGGTCGAACTGTGTAGATCGAAAAAGAAATCAATCGATTAATATGATTAGCATTGACCAATGTTAGCGCGGCCAGTCTTGAAAAGTTCCGCGAACATTTTCAGCCCGACGTATCTGCCGTTTGACGTCACTGGCGAAGAGAGAAAGAGAGAGCTTTGTCACCAGTGCTATTGTTCTCGGCGAACTTTTTACGGTGAACCGGGATTAGGGTCGTCGATCCTCATTGATTTTCCGTTGTCGCTCTCTCTTTCTCCCGGTACTCATCGCACAGATAGTAGATATAAGCTCACTCCGTTGCTTTCGCAAGTCATACGCCAATGTAAAGCTCGCCGTAAAGCCAAGGGATTACAGGGGGATTTTGGTATCGCGCAACATTTGGACAATAATCGCCGCTTCTGTCAATTACAGATTGTAACGGATGAGCTTTGAAAAATATCACTCGTTTCGATTAGGAAGCATTGATCGTGACCAATAGCACTTCGCAATTGACAATTGCAAGCTCGTCAAGCAGCAATTGAAGAAAAATTGAAGAAAACTTCGACGAGGGATCGACTGAGAGATCAATTCCGAATCGAGGAACTTATAGTGGACGACTTGATAAGGAGTTGTAGAGAGTTTTGATACGCGCCCCCGTGTCGAACGCGCGAAAGCTTCCGGCAACTATTCATATTTCCGTGGAACATTGATGATATTCGAATTCGGCGCCGATGAAAGCCTACTTTCACCGAAGAATGAAGAGAACCACCTCTCTGTGAACACCGGCTGACGGAGAAGAGTTCGATTTTCGCCCACGGCCACACCACCCCGACAGTTATCGAGCCGTTCATCCTACGCAGCCACCGCCTTCGCAAGCTTCAACCTCTCTATCGCGCGCGCGTACGCCCTCTCTCTCTCTCTCTCTCTCTCTCACGCGCTCATGCTCTGGCTCTCGTTCTCCTCCTCAAACATTGCGATTCTCCGTTTATTTATCTCGCATAACACCTCTTATGTCGTCCATTCCGCGCAACCTTCCCGCCGCCGAGGTATACGAGATCCACGTGTGTGTCGGTACCCGCTTGTATTTGTGGATACGTAGACGTACATTTTGAGCTTTTGCGTGCACTCCCCGAGAACATAATACACATATACATATACGTCCATGAGTCACCTGTTCGAGGGATCTGCCCACACACGCATGCAACTCTTCTAGTAAAGGCATTTCCCTTCTTGCGTAAAATGTCGACTTTATTCAATGAAAATATAAATTGAAAGAGTATTATATTCTTGTGATATAGTAATTTATGCGAGTCGATTATTTCTATCGATTAGGGACTAGATGTTAATGCTCATACTAGCGAGAAGAAGCTACACAGAAAAACACATACTGCACTCGAATAAATATTTGTTTGTTTTATTACTTTTTGCATCCGCAAATCTATCATAAGTTTGTTGTAAGCATCAAATTTATTCAAAATCCTAACAAATTTAGTATTTCAACCAAAAATATTGAATTGAACAAAAAATCGGTTTACTTGCTACGTAGAATCGCATCAACTTTCTCTTCAATAAAGTTTTACGATTCTCTTTTAAAGAGAATAAATTTTTCTTTTTAGTACGATAATGAGCTTTTCTAAAGTTTTTAAAGATGAGTATATTTTAAAAGATTATTATCAAGAAAATATACTATAAATATACCACAAATATATATCATTGCTTTTTTTAGCTGTAAAATTCTATTTTCCTGTGTGTGCGATTTGTAGTTCGCTGAAAATATATCCCAAAAGTTAGCGTGACTATATGTACTTACAGCCTACGCTTGTTGATGGCGCCCGGCGATTACCGTAAATCTTGCACGCATGACCACGTGTGTGACCCATTAACCGCTTCATTATGTGCAACCATGCGGTCCTTTAATCTCTTATGTATGCATCTTGTCTACACCGCATATCACACCGATATCATCGATTTTGGGGAAATTCAGTTCGATGTAATCATACAATGAATGCACAATGTAAGATAATTTATCTTTGGAAGAAATAAGGGGGGGAGCGAAATGTTGAAATAAAAATTCATATATATACATATATATATATATATATAGAGAGAGAGAGAGAGAGAGAAATGTTCTCATTTCTTTTGGGAAATATGACGACAACGAATACAACCACGCACTGTAGAACACAACTGTGTCATTGAAGCGAGCGCTTCGTTTTGAATTTTTCATAACAACGTTAAATGCACACGACTATTTCAGGAAACAAGATCAGATCTGTCCCTGAATATTCCTAGAGCGTGGCGTTATATTTATTAACCATACAATATTTCACAGCAACACTGCACGGTCGATTGTTTCGTGCGAATGGGAAACTAAATCAGGTTACACACCTGTGTTAAAATATTTGTGCAATCTAACGAGTTATGTGTAAGCACACTCGAATCTGCATATGACGCAGATGTCTGGAACTGTGCACACGCGGGAGAGGAAATTTAATTATTGCAGTTTGAAACTATTTGACCTTTGTCATATATGAACGATTTCTCTCAATATAGCGCGATTGTTCTGTTTCCAGGATGCCTCTTCAGCAGGAGCATATGTGATCCTCAAACGGAAACGTGCTTCGACGGTAATAACTTAACGCATTTAATATAAAAATGTAATAATTCTTTTATGTCAGCGTCGTTCCTCTTTTTCAGATTTGGCATTCGGAAGATGCGTATCCCTATTCGCGAATTTAGAAAACGAAGATTTATACCAGTAAGTTCCACGCGCGCGTACGATAAAAATTGTGCCGTCAAGATGTAACTTACAGTATTTATAAATTATTCCCGTTGAAGCGTCGCTCTTAAGCGCCGATCTGATATGCATGAGTGCATAATATATACGCGTAATATATATGAACAAGCAAACTCGGATCTTCGTTCCGACCGTTTAATTTTATCGCCGGCTCGTCAAACGGTCTCACTATTTCGTTTGTCGTCTTTATCATCGTCGTCCGCGCAACGTTCTAACGATCGGCGCGTAAATTATGACGCAATAAACGCCTAATCGAACGTGTATACAAGCATATATTCTGTCGCAGATATAATCTTGGTGCCGGCGAATTGGAATTACTGGGACTGCAACTGGAAGGACTGGAATCTAATGGCTACGAATGGACGCATCCTTTTACACAGTGTATCATACAAACCTCGTTATACAATCTCCGACAAGGGTATGTCGTTTCGCTGGCGAAGCTAATGAGCCAAGTCGTTGAACAATCGCATTGACACTGCAATTGTTATTTAATGAGACGAAACCTGATGTTTTTCAGGCGAGGTGATTTCCATAATCTTCATCTCTGCGAATACTTGAAGAAAACGCGCTTCGACGAACAAGATGACCAACTAATGGGCAAAGTTAGCATAAATCGTAACTATTGCCAAGCATTGCCCGTTAAGGAGGAGGTTCTGATTTATGCTGCAATTCTAAGCAGAATCGTAAGTCTCGTAGTTTGTTCTCGTAAAATTCGTAGGAACTTATGAATAGATTTACAAGTCTATGCAATATCATATGTCGTACAGTCATTTGTAAATATCGTAAATTACATGAAATCGTAACTATTGTAGATTACGAGTAATTGTACGACATATGATATTACATAGACTTGTAAATCTACTTATAAGTTTTAACGAATTTTACGAGAACAAGTTACTTACGATTCTGCTTAGAATTGCAGCATTAGATAGCCGAAAAAAATAGGTTTTTACAAATTTTTTTGTATTCAAAAAAATAAATAAAGGTATCAATATAGGGTTTTAACTATATTATTGGTTATTGTTTTAAATATAAAAAATTATTTTTTCATTAAAAAAAAAGTTGAAATTTCGTCACCCAGGTTTTTTATGTTGAACGCAATGTCGCTGGACAACAGTAGAGCTCTGATGGACAACAGTAGAGCTCGTGTAATAATCTGAAATAAATAAGATGAGAAGTCTATATCTTTATTCACTTCTTAGAAAAATATTTGCAAGAACTTCTTATTTTACAGCTATCTAAGCCAGAGCCTTCCCTCGAGCATCGAGTAACAATAACATTAGATTAATGTAACAATTTTCCACTCAACAATACAATCATTACGTACAACATGTGTAATATTGCATTGTTAAAAGGAAAATTATAACATTAATATATAATTATGTTACTGAATCTCATTTATCGATATGACGTGGGCATATGTTTAATGCGACACATTCCTCCGATAACGACTAATAGCGATTACCCCTTGAAAAATACTTATATCGTGGCCGCAATAATACTTCCAATAATATCGCTATCGATTTCCTTTTCAGGTGATTCCTACGGTCGCCATACTGAGAATATCTGCGGACAATGAGAACCCCGAGAATAATTTGGTCGACCCTTTACATCGCTCCGCGGATGTTGAGGACAAGTATGAGATCTTGCCGGTTTTCTACGACGGCGAACAATCGCCACCGTATAGCCGGGAGTCCGCTGGACGTGTCTACGGGTCTGAGTACATGAACTGGCCTGTTAGCGACAGAAACGGTCCGACAGTCAACGACGAGAAACATGACGAATTGTATGAAAAGTTGCGCGACGGACACTCGACGTTGGACAACGTGGACGAGCAATTGTATCCGCCTAGGGCGCGTCGATACACCTTTATCGACTACAGAAACGGTGACGATATCGACCCGCTTGAGGATGCCTTGAGAGACGAGAAGTTGTCTGACAACGACGAGAATCCTTACGGGCAGCTTTTGCCCGTCGATGAGCTGGAGTTCTTACCGAACGAAAAGTCACCGGATTATACATTACTGAATCCCCCTTCTAGCGACGAAAGTGATGAAAGAGAAAATGAAAAGGCTTTCTCCAGGAAGTACAAGCATCTTAGGAAACTGCCGTCTCTTGAATTTCTCGACGGCGCTGACCCGACAGATCTGGATAACGTGAAAAGGACGATAATCAGACGCGATGAGAATCTTGAATATATGGGCGACGAAGAAAACTCTGCGGAAATCGAGAGATTGCCTGACGATGACGACGACGACGCCGCTCCCTTGGAAGTAAGCGGCATGTACACTGAGGGTGGAGTTGTACGACCTTCGAAACATGAGACTAAATCAGATGGTAGGTTTTCATCGCTCGGATAGATTGTGACTGGCACACGAAAGGAAAATTTCAGTTCGTGTAATTGGATGGGGACCATCAAAAGAAAAACTCACCGACGAGAAATAATATCTCTGTTATCAACAATATTTAATACAATATTTAATGTGACCGACAGTATTTGTCTGAACATTCAGTTGCATTAAAACTCGGTTGAGAAATCTGAGAGCAATTGTCTAAGCAGAAACTTCCTATAGAAATCTTTCTGTTTCCCTATAACCGAGTTTCTCATTTGGTCCCCAAGTAATAGAAAACTCTTACCAACCGTTTTTCCTGTGTGTTAAACGAAAATAAATCTGCTGCAGGAATTTCGTACGACGAAACGATTGACGACGACTTGAACGAGCTTTTGTGGAGACGAGAGCTGGCCGGTTTCAAACGCAGAGAACGCCTCGACGTTAAGAAACCTGGGCCTCCATTCTCTACGAATAATTACGCGTTTAAAACTCAATCTCCGCCCAGTAAGTTGCTCGTCGAATATACGTAATGCATATATATGCACCGTTTAATTTCCATTTGGCTTTTATTTCATAGTACTTTCTAGAAAGTAAAATCAGTAATTATAATTTAAATGCGTTGATTTACAACATTTGCGCTTTTGCAGCTCCCGCCGACGAGGAAGATTACTCCGAGACAGATAATCAGGACGTAAGTGTAAACAAGTTGGCACTTCAGCTGTTAAACTGTGAATAATTGCACATCAGCGTTGTGTTATAGAATAACGAGGTGTACGCGCCGTTAACGAAAAAGGAACTACGTGGTAATATGTACAAAATGAATGACGAGCCTCCAATGACATACAAAAACGTCGACCTAGATTATGTTTACATCGTATTCGAACAAGAATTTCACAAGTGGATTGACGGAGAACACGTGGTTACTAAGGTAAGAGTAATACTGAAACACAAGTATAGTAAAAAAATTATAGGTAATTCTCTATTGACAGTAAAATTAATTATAGGATATGTTAGATATTACTTACAGACGGTACGTCAAATATTAATATAAACTTATTTTATAATGGTGAATTTCTGCAGGTTGAAGAACTCTTAGAATTACCTCCTGGAACTCTGAGGGATATACGAGTAGGTCGAGCGGAAGTGACGTTCAAAGTCGTTCAGAATGATAAAAACTATAATGCTACAGACGTTGTAAACAACATCGGTATAGTAATTTACGTATTCTACTTATTTTTATACGATTCCATGAATTCTAAAACTATGTGATTGAACTGTAAATTCACTTATCTGCAAAGAAGTAAAGTCTTGTTATATTTCAGGTAACATACGTGGCAAATTGAAGGATGCATTGGGAGTCGAAGTCGTTCGAGCGGGTATAGGCGACAAGGTTATATTACAAAAGCTGTGTTTCTCTTTCTACAACAAAAATAAAATTTACAAGAGTTCGGAATATATAATATATTATTTTAATCTTACCACAAAACCAACGAATATATTTTCTCGTAGGCTAAGTTACCAGCCACTCTGGAGGTAGCCAAACAGAGCGAGATGAGTTCCAGCTTGTTCGGGGCACTGGTGGCTGCTGGGGTCGCGGCTGCGATTGCAGCGGCGGCGGTTACACTGATAATCGCGCGACGTCATGCCAAGTATCGAGCAAAACTAGCTGGGCTAGCCACCCCGGATCCGGAAGCATCGAAGGATTATCAAGATCTGTGTCGAGCAAGAATGCAGGCAAAGCAACCGAACGAGAAGGCAGAGTCGTCGCGCATTACCAGCTTGTCGCGTGAAAACGAATCCAACAATTTGCCCTCAAATCGGTCCAGCACATCCTCCTGGGGCGAGGAACCTACTCTCTCCAATATGGACATATCGACTGGCCACATGGTTCTCGTAAGTCAATGCAAATCCGTTCTACCTATTATTAAATTGCACAATATATATATGTACACAGAAAAAAATTAGTATCCACTTAAAATTGATATGTTTAAACTAACTAACTATCTGTGCTCGACACAGATCTTGATAATCCTTCGATGCTTCCGGATCCGGGCTAGCCCAGCTAGTTTTGCTCGATACTTGGCATGGCGTCGCGCGATTTTCAGTGTAACCGCCGCCGTTGCAATCGCAGCCGCGATCCCATTATTGTTTTATAACAATCGTTGTTTCGTTGCATATAAGCAACAATATATGATTTTGTTTGAAGAATTTTAGTTATGAATTTCAACAATGTTATAATTTATTTGTACATTATAATAGTCTCATATAAAAAAGAAATACAATATAATTATTTTGATAATAATAATACCTTCCGATATTTAAAAATATTATATTCTCAGTAGAATATTTTGTATTTTCCATTCATAAAAATTATTTTTGATCAATACGAATATATTTTTTTAGGAGAAATATACATATATGTAAAATTCATTAATGCAAGTAATTTATTTTTACTTAACGCTATGTAACCTAATTTAAATTAAGATTTACACGTCAAAAATGAAAATATTTTCAAGACAAGAATGTTCTTTTTTCTATGTGTGCGACATAATCATATTCACAGAGTTATATGGAGGATCACCTGAAGAATAAGGATCGCTTAGATCAGGAATGGGCAGCTTTGTGCGCTTACGAGGCCGACCCCTCGTCCACGGAGATCGCAGAGAGAGAAATGAACATTAAACAAAATCGTTCTGGCGCGGCACTTCCTTACGATCACTCCAGAGTAGTCCTAAACGATCTCGTAAACGCCAACAATTCCGACTACATAAACGCTTCCACAATCGTAAGTACTCCAACATGACTCTCTTCTTCTTATTAATCATTACGCTCCATCACATCATGTTTCAATAATGCGAAACATTCAATGTGAATCTTATATACGTAAAGTAAGTTCTAAGTATGCGTAAAGCCGCAAGTGGTAACTGGTATCAAAATAAAATGAATATTTTCGTTTCACGATAACATTGCTGAACGTTATGTACGACATTCGTTTTCCGGCTGCCGCACTGCGATATATGTAGAAGTCGGTAAGTCACAAGTCGACGGGCATGCCAAGTTGGTTGATCGTTTGAAAAATCGCAAAATCAGTACAACGCAACTTGTTCCATAATCGTGTAAGGCCAAACGCTTGCGGTAGATATATTCTTAGTGCACTACATTCGTAAAGCAGCGAACTAAACCCAGCATGTTTATCAATGAGCAAGCCTTGTATCTTTTAACTATACAGCAAAATGTATGATCGTATTATGTTCACTCAATAATCGCCTCATAAGTGAGAAACTGAGCCAAAAGAAAAATGCAGAGTAACAATAATAGAAATTTACAACGACAATCGATACAGCTTCTTCACCTTGCATTCAATTCACTCTCCGACGCAGCAGCATAAACACGAAAAAAAATATACAGGGTATCTCAGGGATCTGTATGAGATTCGAAGAAGATTAAAATTTGAAATGTGCTTTAAATAAAAAAACTAGGATTTCAGAATAAAATCCAAAAAAATAATCGAAATTATCTCGTGGATTCTGAGGTACTCTGTATAAAATGAATCTACATGGTTCATCGCAAGATTGTTAACAAATTTTCCAATAAGAGACCGTAATGTAATGTCCGCTTATTTTTGTAGACTGATCACGACCCACGGAATCCGGCTTATATAGCCACACAGGGACCGTTACCGCAGACCACGGCTGACTTTTGGCAATTAGTTTGGGAACAAGGCAGTGTGGTGATCGTGATGCTGACGCGGCTGACTGAGGAGGGTCGCGCCATGTGCCATCGTTACTGGCCCGAGGAAGGATCCGAGCTCTATCATATCTACGAGGTGCACCTCGTGTCCGAACATTTCTGGTGTGACGATTACCTGGTACGCTCCTTCTATCTGAAGAACCTGTGCACCTGCGAGACCCGCACTGTCACGCAGTTCCACTTCCTGTCCTGGCCGGAGAACAACGTCCCATATTCTACGAAAGCTCTGCTCGAATTCCGCAGGTTAGTTCACGATGTAATTGCGATTTTATTAAAGATAAATATTGACCGGAACATGAATGTTCCTTTCATTCCATTTCGACAGCGTCATTTTGTCGAAGATTCAATAAGAAAAAAGACTTGGAATTTGTTAATAAACTTCGCTTGCTTTCTAGGAAAGTTAACAAATCCTACCGTGGGAGATCGTGTCCGATAGTCGTGCATTGCAGGTGAGTATTTGAGTTCAGTCTAAAATAGTCCAAGTTAATCAGTGACAACCCGTGCGCTTTTATATTTTTTCATATTGCAGTATAAAAAATTTGTAATCTTGTTTTTTTTTTTTAATTTTTATTATATTACTATAACTAATATTGTTATTATAACATTATTATTTATTATTATAATTCCGCAGCGATGGAGTTGGACGAACTGGTACTTATTGTTTGATCGACATGGTCCTAAATCGCATGACGAAAGGAGCGAAGGAAATTGACATCGCCGCCACCCTCGAGCACATCAGGGATCAGAGGCCTGACATGGTCGCGACAAAGCAGCAGTTCGAGTTCGTTTTGATGGCGGTAGCAGAGGAGGTGCATGCGATTCTGAAAGCTTTGCCCGTAGCTTCGAGCGAGAAATCTAATGCGGCTGCGGGGAACAATTCTTCGCCGCTCGCGAAGTCGGACCAGTGAAACTAACAAGACGCGAATTCAACCCTAAACAGTATAAAGAAGGCTAGACAAAATTCCTTTCTTCTTTAAAAGACTAGATTCAAAATGCCCTCATTAATTCTAATCGTTTTATCAAGAATTTGATTTTATTCTGTTATTTGCGAAATTGAATTTAATTTTCGTGTGTACAACTTTGAACTTTCGAACGTATGATTTCATGGTATGCGCGATCTTATGTGTGTTGTCGCAATTTTTAGATAATCTGATAAACTTCTCAGTTATGCCGATCAGCTATTTTGTACTCTTCAGGGTTAAAGTCGCGATCGACGCAGACGAAGAGGATGAGACGTGTAGCTGTTCCATTAATTTCAATGTGTCACGGGAAAGCCGAATATTTTTAGCTGTTTACTGCGATGTACTACTCATTAGAAGGTAAAGCTAATTGGTTTTCTGTTGGAATTTTCTACACGCTTGGTACTTCCCGATGCATACATACACACACACATACACATACACGTAACACAACACATACATTTCGCCCTTCATTAATTAGAGTGCACTGACCGGAGTTGCGAGCTTCTTTCGTATTCCAGCTGTTCCTCTTCGCGCAAAGAGAATGACGATCGATCGATTTACTCCTAGCACGAGAAATATAATATAATCCACAAATTATGGTTTGAGTATGATCAGTAAAGAGGGGATAAAAGAGGAGAAAAAAGAAAAGAAGCGAACGCTCGAGCGACATATATTATGAAAGCTTGAAGTAAATGTGGTATATGATTTTTCGTTTATCGCTACTTGTACAAGATGGTACCGTTTTTATTACATCGATTAAATCGTACGTCCCTTTCTGCTCATTCAGACGCGGCCTATTTTAAGGGTCAAGTACCTGTAGAGAATGGACAGACGACAGGCAGGCGAGCAGGCAGGCACGGTTGCTACCCTACATTAGCGTAATATGCATACATCAACGATTGAGCTATACAGTGACCGTACTGTGCGGTCGATTGGTGATACGGCGAAATATTTTATACCAGTGAACTCGCGTCTCTATTTAACAGCGCATTTATCAGCGTTAAACTTAGCCGTTTGAATCGAATTCTACATTCGTTTCACGCGAGGATTAATGCAATCGTGTCTGGCACAATCGTGTACGCGTACGATTGTAACGTTCAATATGCAATACGTATAGGCCAGGATTTTCATTGTCCATCGCGGACATAGTATCGTCTTTCATATTGTCTTTCGTACATGGACGAAAGCGCGTCTATGAAATATCTATGAAAACCGTTTATCGGATTTTAATATTTTACCAGAGAAGTATACGTATCACTGGCTGCACAGCTCAGTCTAGTTACCTGATTTGTTTGCACATTATTTGCGTATGCGTATGCACAATTTGTGTGTATATACACACACAGCGATTGAATTGCATTAACTTTCCTACGTGCCCTTCGACTAACGTGCTTTAAGATAGCTTTAAAGGAATGAACGAGACCTTTTTCGATTTACTCCACTAAATAATAATTAACGTGACAAAAACCAATCAGCTAAGTCAATTGCATAATACCAAATACGTATGTAACAAAGTGAGCACGGGTCACTTCAGCGAAGTCCTTTACAGCGCGTCGAAACGGCCACTTTGTTACAGTCTTTATAAAAGAATGTTTTTGATGTTCTACGTATTATATATTTACTTTATAGATAATTTTTGAATAATTTACGATGATGTCGACTTTTGTTACACTGTAAAATTATATTCCAATCGTCAGGAACGTGTTTAAAGTGCGCAAAAAAAACGCAGATTAATTGGATAATTTATAAAATTTTGTCGACCAAACGGCGCATGAATTTTATTAAATATAAAGATCTAGAAGCATTATTCTGCGTGCACAGTTTGTGTTTTCAATGAAACTTTGGACGGTGAGTATTTGAGCTAGAAAATGATCTGATCGAATATTATATTTTTTAGAGACGTTATGAGAAAATCGATAATGCGTATTTGATGTTCTAAGGAAAATCACATGCGCGATCGTTTCATTGAGAAATTATATAGCTTGATGCATAATATTAAGTGGTGTAAATTATATATACGTAAAAATGCAGGTTGAGATACATAGGCGTGCCGAAGTTAGGAGGAATTTATTGCTGCTTGGCGATTAAACTTGCATTATTGCGTAGGCCAATAACTCGCACTTGCGTACCTCTCCGCGCTTCTATGGTCCGACTGTATCATTTTGTTCCGACAACGCATTCTATATACGTGTCCATAACGTTTGCTTATCTCTTACCGAAAGAAATATCAACTTTTAGGTTTTTTGATTCAAATATCTTCTTGAAAAACTTGTCTTAAATCTGAGATATCGAGAGATCAGCGATATGATTAAGAAGGATCAAAGTTTCGCGAGCCTATATAATCGTTTCGTAACAGCGAATATATATCATTTCCGTGAAGATTTTCTCTCTTTGAGAAGCAGGAAACACTGATGTACCTTGAAACTGTGTCAAACTTCGCTTGATCACCAACTGAGTTTGATTAGCCTTCTTTAGTAGCACCGACTCACAGAACAGATTCTATATTTTTATGTAAAGGAATGAGTCTATATATATATATATATATATATATATACATATATATATATATAAATGAAAAATAATATAGTTATATATAAAATCTATACTATGTTACCCAAAAATATAATACTATACATGTTGTAAAATAATAAATCGATCTATGTTCAAGCCATGAGAACGCGTGCTTACATTTTCTCTTGTTTATGTTTCGGGATATATTACGCAAATAAAATAAAAATTACATTTCGTTTACATTTAATATCTTTACCCACACAACACAACAAATCAGAACGTAAAACGTCTAATGCTGCAATTGTAAGCAAATATATGAGTAAATCGTAAAGTCGTAGCTTATGAAAAAAAAATCGTCTTATGAAAACAAATTACGAGTTTTACGATTTTGTCTAGAATTGTAGTCTAGAAAGCGCATTCTACAATAAGTTAGTCATGTAGTTTATTGTAGAATGTGCTTAAAAGACGTCTTACGTCCCTATTTTAAACGTGTGGGTAGTTTTATTAATTTTAATTACATATTAGAAATGCCAATTATAATTCTCTACTCGTGATCTTCGGGCCTTCGATTATACATTATAATTATTAATACTTTCAAAATCAGTTAACATTTTTGCTAAATATATTGTATTACAAAATCGAAGTATTTAAAAAATTAAAGTATTCATTGAATAGAGTATTCATTAAAGATGCTTGAAATACGCCTTTATTAAAATTATTCAAATTATTATCGATTATTTAAATTATATGTCATTCTATATTGTGCCAAGTGCTAGACAGTGTTTCAGGAAATTCCGGATCCCAGAAACCTTAAAAAGTTCACATATATAGTATATAATGTATATTATACAGTATACAATAACACACACGAGAAAAGAGAAAGGAAGAGAGAAAGAAAGATGACAAAATTTAATACTATACCTTCCGGTGTTTTTGGTTTCTCAAATTTCTGTCGATGACGCGAGCATTGATTCTTCCGTTTTTGCAATTCTTCTTTTGACAATGATAGATTTTTGTAGTACTACAAGTCAAATAGAATCCACAATAAATTAGTTGCTTTTAGTTATATGAACAGAATTGCTACATGCATGCATTCTATGCAGGCTAGAAAAGTTAATTTTTTTTAACCATGTTAAAAAATTCAAAGTGAAAATAGCATTTAAATTAATTTAGCTTACGTTAAAAATCAAACGAAAATTAACTTATTAAAGTTAAAAATTAATTTTACAAAGAAATATATACATAAGGAATATATATTTTTGTATAATTATATTTTTGTATAACTATTGACACTCAAAGACAAAACAAATTGTTCTGTCATTTTTTATTTTATTATATTGTTAGCAACTTACGATGTTATACATATTGATGGATTATTTGACCTAAGAAGTTGATAAGTTAAAGTTAATGCCTTTTAACACACACAACATATAACTAGTTTAAGTTAAAAGTTGGCTCGTTAAATTTAGTACTAAATTAAGTAAAAGTTATGAACTTTTTATCTTAATTAATTTTTAACTGATTAATTATTTATTATTCAATTCTGATTCTATGTGATTAAGTTGTATTTACATATTACCTCTTCACATTCCCAGCAGTCCCAACCGTTCAATTTTGCTTTATCAGCTTTGCGTCGCATGTTAAGTTGCTCTGGCATACATTCCTTTTTAGTTGATGATCTATGAATAATATTTTTATTAGGTATGCAAGAATGATGTTGCCGCGTTAATACATATCAAGAAATACTCACACATGAGTTTTATTCAATGTTTTTTTTACAGGCGGTTTGTTCTCTGTATCATTCAGAGTGAAGTCATCTGTGTCATTTTCACTTACAGTTTGTTCTGCAGGCAGATAAAAGGTTTCCTCTTCATCATTTGAGTTTTGAAAAATATTCTGTACATTATATTTTGCTGTTTGGTCTTCTCCTTGATTGTCAATAGACTTTGTACTTTTAATATCTGCTTTACTGGACTTATGTGGTAGAAAAGAAATATTATTGATATCAATTTTATTTTTAAGTGCATGAAACATAAAAAGTCCATTAATTCTATCAACCATTTTAGACTCTTCAACTAAAGATTTATTATGTGTCATTTGTGCTGAAGTAAATGTAGGTGAAGAAGATAAATCAAAATCTATATCATCTGTTGCTGCCCTTGGTACAAAATAAGATTTAAGACTGTGATGCTTCTTTTTATCTGGAAAATTTTTTATTGTTTGTTCTGGAGCTTTCCTCTTAAGTTTTAAGCAATGTTTAGATTTAAAGTGAATATCAATCTGTGTAGGACCAATTTCTGTTACATCTTCAAAAGTTTCTTTTACTCCTGTAGCATTATCTTCAATAATAATAATTTCTTTGATATCTTTGGTATCTTTGATTTCTTTGATACCTTTGATTTCTTCGATACCTTTGATTTCTTTGATATCTTTGATTTCTTTGATATCTTTGATGTCTTCTTTAATGAATTCTTTTATATTTGAAGTATCTGAAAGATTTTGTTTTGCTTTTTGCATTGTACCAGCTGGCTTAAGTTTATTTACATCAATAGTATGTTGGAATGGTATCTCTTTGTCATGTTTGACAGGATAAAACGTAATTTGAGATTGCTTCAGCTTCTTGCCATTTGGTAAAAATGTAGTTTCCACATGATATGTTGTACTAATATCTAATTTCCCTTTATTTTTGGAAGGAGCTTTTTCATTGTGGAACATCTTCGTATCTGCTGTTGATTTGCTACACACTGATGCTGCTTCAGATAATTGATTGAATATCTTTGCAACAGAGTTATTAGTTTTAGAATGTGTCTTGGAAATGAGCGGACTGCTTGAGCAGACTTCACTTAGATCGCATATATCATCAGGTAGATCATTCTCAATATCAAACATATCATCGGAATTGAACATATTTGATGAATTTAATAATGAATTGTGATCACCTTCTTTTTTCTCCTTCCTTCTTTCTTCTTTCTCCTCAATAATGGGTTTCCTCCTCTTTCTTTGTTCTTCTTCCTCCTCAATAAAACTATTTAACTGGCTTTCAACTTTTAACTCGTTCTTTATCTTTATACAAGGCTCAACAGTCGGCATTTGAGACAAAGAAGACCTAAAATTAAATAATAGCTTTGATTACTATTTAACCAGTTACTTTTGTTATGAACAAAAGTGAGTTTGTTTTATATTTAATAAATACAAAATAACATAAATTTTATAGTAAACTTAAAAACGTACTTCTTATATTGTTCATATTTCTCTTGCAACTCTATATAATCTTCCCATAAATCTATAAGATATGAAAGAAATATTTTTTTATATATTATGTATTTACATCATTTATGTTCATTTCTACCAACTTTGGTTAACTTAACTGGTTGGTTATTCCAATGGAATTGATCAATCACATTTCTCGTTAGTCAGATTTGATAGATGCGATTGGTCAATTCCGTTGGAATAACTAGCCGGTTAAGTTAACCAAAGTTGGTAGAAATGGGCATTATTGGGTTTGTTCAGCGAACTCAACAATTGCACAACAGTTGAGCAATTCGTCAATGTAATTGGTCTAGATTTAGGGATCTAACAGTAAGAACCAATAATCGCTGATTGCTCACTGAGCGCTTTTTCCGTTGAACGTGCTTATAGTGAATGTATACTGAATTCGCATATTTCCTAGCGATTAATTTCAGAAAATTCCATTAAAGGCGCAAATAGTTGATCGAAAATTAAAATTTTTTTCGTTGTGATTTTATTCCTATAATCGATTATAGATGAAATTGCGATTCTCTCTCTCTGTCTCTCTCTCTTTTAAAATTGTTTACTTAATTCTAACAATTTTCGTTAGAGATTGCGAAGTCTGAAACATGTTTTGCGTTTTATGTTTAGTTAGTAGTTTTATGTTTTTGTTTAGTTACTTTCATCTTTTTCAGGGTACATTCAGGGAGCACGCTATTAACGCTACCGCATTCTTCTATCCACTGAAATATATACTACCTGAGTTGCATTCCAAAACGTAAAAAATTTTCACCTTTAAGGGACTTAGAAAATTTTCATACATCGAAACTTTGGACCGCTGTAATTTCTTCGTTTTTGATCGCAGCTCGAAGATTCATTAGCATAATCGATAAAACTTATCAGAACTCTCAACAGAATTGCGATCGAAAACGAAAAAGTTACAGCGGTTTAAAGTTTCGATGTTTCAAATTTTTTTTAAGTCCCTTAAGATAAAAATGGAGTTCCGATAGCCCTCCGAAGAGTTATATCAATTATCTTTAAGAAATTTTGCGCTAAGATTGAAGATAAAAAAGTTATAGCACTTTAAAGTTACATCATCATGAAGTTGACCCCCCCGTAGTTTCGTGTTTTGACCGCTTTAATCAACGGAACTCTTTTTTATCAATAGAGAACTTTAGAACTCTTCGGGAGGCAACCAGAACTCTACTCACTTTTTTCAAATTTTGAAAAAGTGAGGGCAACTTCACGTTTATGATTGGTCAATTTTTTACGATTCCAGCATAAGTTAACGAATTACGGCCATCATAAACCAGCTTTAAATGCGTAATACCTCGAGTTATTTAGACAAAGATACACCGTCCCTACACAACTATCTCTTTCTCGAGAATAAAGAAATGAGCCTTCCAGTATGGTTATAGTTCAATCTGCTACAGCAGAAGTATGGGAATACTTGGTCTATGTATATACGTCATTATTTTTAGTTGTAAGCTTGATTTACAATATGCTCTTTGCGTTCTGTTGCTTTTGTCTTTTTCTGGCTTAAGGTTTGAAGCCTGGGCCCTTATTCTTCAAATAGTTGCGTATACGTAAGTTTTACTGCAGGTTTAATCATACCATAAAATAGCTGCGCAATGAAAATTACGTATATGCAAAAATTTTAAGAATATAAGCCTTGATCTACAATATGCTCTTTGCTTCCTGTTTCTTTCTCTTTATCTCTTTCTGACTCAAACCTTAAGCTTTAAGCTAGAAAAAGACAGAAGACAACAGAATGCAAAGAGCATATTGTAGATCAGGCTTTAGTCAGAAAAAAATAAAGAGAAAGAAGCAGAAACCAAATAATACATTATAGATCAAGTTTTAGATATATAGGAAAGAATGACACGATAACATTAACAGCGAGCTCCCAAAACGCACTTTTAGAGTTCTTGCACAATGGCAAGCAATAGAAATAAGCATTAGCCAATAGGAACAGGGAATAAAAATAATTGACCAATTCGAATTCCTGTTCCCTGTTACCTGGCATTCTGCAATGTTTCATTGTAACGTTTCTAATGGTGGACATTTCAACATTGCTGCAATCTTGCATCAACGTTTCGCAACATATATGGAATGTTACAATGTTTCCATGTAATATCTATGCAATGTTCCTGCAACCTTTCTGTGCTGTATGAGTCATAACACTTGAAACATCTTGCAAAAATATCTGTAAATTCCTCTCTGTGAGTTGATTATTTTTGATTTATGAATTTTTACAAATACGAATCTAAATACTTTAGGAAATTTTCTAATAGATTGCTGCTCTTTAAATTCACAGTATTTTCGTTTGTTGCGAAACATTGATGCAAGGTTGCAGCAATGTTGAAATGTCCGCCATTAGAAACGTTACAATGAAACATTGTAGCAACATTACGGTGGAATGTAATATAATAGTTGCATTGAGCAGAAGCAGCTTTCCACTGCACTATTAATAGTTTTGCAACTGTTGTAAGAATTTCTGCTGAAAGACAGCAGTTAATGCTTTTCCATCATGTTTATTAAGTGGCATATTAAAAGTATGTTAGAGAAAATAGCGACTGCTTAGTAAACATATTGGCGTAAACCACCAATGTCGTTCAGTAGAAAATCTTATAACAATTGCAAAGCTGTTGGCAGTGCATAATAAAGTTAAACTGCATTTTTTTTAAATGTACAAGCATAAATTCTTTTCTTTTTAGTTGACTTAGCTGCACTAGTTCAAGAAATGTACACAGACTAAAACATGAGAATTTTGTATATATGTTTCATATGCTTCAATATGCATGCATATTATTTTAACTAGCAGAATCACTTCCCAGACAGTAATGTCCAAAACTGGGACATAAGATGTCTTATGTCTAGACGTAAAGTCGACTTAAAGACATCTTATGTCCTAGTTTTGGACATGTGTGCTGTCTGGGTTCAGCTAAAAAGAACAGACCAATAGATAATGTGGTATGTAAACGCTATGAAAGCATAATAAAGATATAAGAAAATATAGACATAAATAAATATTTAAATTTCTGTGATTAAGATATAAAACGCTTATATCATATATGTATTATACATAAATATATTATAGCATTATAGTTTTTAATTATTTGTAATTCCAGGTAGCAAGATGACGTCTAAAGACGTCATCTACCTGGGATGTTTCTGCAATGTTGTTTTAACATTTCGATGGAATGTTATAATTCCATGTCTATGTTATGTTTCTGCAATATTACATTGAAATTTGAAATAATGTAACGTTCTTGCAACGTAACTGCAAGCTTCTGTGCTGTATGGGGGCATTATTTCTTTTAAAACAATTTTGCAATAGTTTGCAATATCACGTTAAGAAATAACATAATCACAAGTTTTTACCTCGGTATTGTTTGAATGCCATCTTCAGGCAATCAATATAGCTGTCCATCGCTTTTCTCGCAGTTTCATTCTTTGTTAAATTACAAAATTCTAGAGACATTTTGTTAACGAACTTTACTTCGAAGCAAATGCAAATCTTTACTGATTTAATTCTTGCTGAATATTATCTACCGAAATTGAAAGTAAGTCCGTAGATGCTCACAAAACCGTACAAAATAAATTCAACTTGTATAACTTTTCTGAATTATGTATACATCCGTTTGTTACCGTTACTGTCATATGTAGCGACTGGCTGCTTTTCAGCACGTACACGATTAGCAACCATAGCAACGGCAGTAATCAAGTCTCGACGCATGCGCATGAAAGCTCCCGTGTGAAAATTCTTAGGGTGCGTTCCCACTTAGCGCTTCGCATCGTCTGTCGCGAACCAATCAAATCGTCCCATTTTATTATCTAACCTTAAGCTAAGTGGGAACTTTAGAGCATATATATATGAAGGGCGAATTGCGTATGCCTCCTGCAGCCAAAAGTGCTCTAAGATCTGTGCGAGAGAGAAAGGTATACATTCCTATTTCTCCTTTGCGCGCATGCGCCACATGTGTCAGTGTTGTTGGACTACAAAATTATTGATTTCAATATTTTTTTACTTGAATTCTATCAACTTTACCGAAAAATAGCAAGAGATAAAAATTGTTTATTTTCTTCTCATAGAGCTCGGAGAATTTTTTCAGAATTTTATATTAACTTTTTAGTACTGCATTTCTTGTTTTCTTGCATTTTCTTGAAGTACTAGAAAGTTAATATAAAATTCTGAAAAAATCTCAGAGCTCTATGAGAAGAAAATAAATAACATCTGTCAACTCTATAACCTAACCTAACCTGTTAACTTCAACGCATGCGCACAGAGGAATGTACAGCTTTCTCTCTCGCACACATTTTGGACACACTTTCGTACCAGCATTCCCCCTCCATATATATATGCTCTAAGGTTGCAATCGACTTGTAACTAATGTAGAACGACCTTAACGCGCAACCTTATATCACGTGTATGCAACATGCTATAAACCATGGACTTGGAACGCGATCCAGCAACCGCTACAAATGCTACGCAGCGTTTCTCCCTCTTGTTCTATTCCTCGGATTCGAATGAAGAAAGAGAAAGAAGTAAAAAGCATTTGCAGCGCTCGCTGGACCGTACCCATAGTATACATGGGCCCATATTTTGAATCCTCTTTTATCTATAAAAGTACCTCTAAAAGAGGCTTAGAAGCCACCTGATTGGCTGTATAAGCTATATTTAAGGCATTTTTATCGATAAAAGAGGATTTAGAATATGGGCCATGGACTCTGAATGCCCTATGTTCTCTCGTCTAATAAAGTGAAGCCAACATCTAGAAAAAGAACGAAAATAGAGGGGCTATAGTTTTCTTCCTATTTTGTCACTTTTTTGTCGCGCGTGCATCCATTTCTCGTTTCCATAATATAGAGCGCAACAGCACCCCGACTAGACTGGCAAGTAAACGTCTTACTTAAATCTTATTGCACACTTTGTCTGTGCAGAAAGAGGCAGAGAACAGAAGAGCTGTACCATATATGTAATACTACTATACGGCGCATAGAAGAATTTTTGTTATAAAAGAGAGTGAAAGAAGACTGAAGGATAGAAGATAGACGATAATTGGCTCACTAGAAAAGAGTGTTCTATGATCGCAATGCGCAAGCTGGCGACAAAATTTAAACATATATATATGTAAACATAGCGAGGTCTTTTCAACGTCGATCGACAAGTCATTTCTCACTGGAAATGTATTAAAGAAACTGAGTAATTGATAATAAATAAGAAAAATAAATATGGAAAGTGTCTATAACGTTGTGTGTGTGTGTGTGTGTGTGGTATGAGATTAGTTCGATAAGACGTCAGGTCTAATCGTATTGGTTTAGACCGTGATGGAAAGGTAAACGTTACGTATGCGTTTTGTACAGACAGAACACTGATATTGATACAGAAAAAGACAGACGAGCATTGTCTGCACCGTATTGTTGCGGTACCGCTGAGAGCTCTACGCGCCATATATTAGCATTATATATATTGGCCATATTATTGACTTCTCTTTTCTGACTGTATGCGGAGTTTATGTATATTATGTCTATGGTCTCTTTCTACATGTTGGGTTCACTTTTCTGACCGTATACGGAATCCATGTGTACTACGTCCATGCTATAGATAAAGTCAGGACTGTTTTCTCTGGGGGTTTTTCACGAGGGCCTCATTAAATTTGTTAAGTCAGAGCTCGGCACATTTTGCCCTTTTCGGCCGGGAGCTACGCCTTCTATCTCCCCCTTGCCGCGCGGCGGACCTAAAAAAAGTGACGGTCGTGCCTCTAAGTTTGGAGCCGCGACCGTCACTTTCATGGCCTGCTGCGCGGCAAGGGGGAGATAGAAGGCGTAGCTGCCGAGAATCGGCCGAAAAGGGCAAAATGCGAGCCCTGTGTTAAGTCTATAAGAAAAAAGTTATATAATTCATATCATTGGATTCTCTCTTTCTATCCCGAAAATAAACTTACTTATTAAAGTACTTTTATATTTGCATATATAGGTAGCAAATAAATAGATGGGTAGAGAGGTGTCTTCTGAGCTAAAAGATTTCATGATTTTTTTGTGGTTGTCATCTTTATTATACCCTTATTATATTATTATAGTATGTACATTGTACATCGTGGATACGTTCATAATAAATAAGCGCTAACATCTTATATAAAAGATCTTAAGCAATAAATAAATATTCACATTTTTTAGCAACTTTTTTCTTTTCTTCATCATCGTCGTCACTAAACGCCTTCATCATCCTCGTCATCGTCATCGTGTTATTTAACGTAAAAATAAAAAAAACTTCCTATTACTCTGATTACAACATAACATAATGAACCCTCATAAAACATCTTACACGATGAACATCGCAAGCGCAAATCCTTCCACTTACATGTATATGAAACCTCACGTATTTAGGAATCAAAAACAAGCGTCAGAAATCGAGCTTCGCTTTGGATTTAAATTTCTACATTCTCACGGTATGTATATATATTTATATATATTTATATATAAGTATAATGTATGTATAAGTTTATATACATATGTGTATCACAGATCTTTTATAATGATGCAGGAAAGAAACGTTGGAGAACACCGTTCGGCGCGTGTCACCGACCGAGGATGATTTTGTGAAATAATCGCGTATCACGTCCAATTAACACGTTGAGTGCCACGCCACCCACATCTGAATAACAGGCGAGTTCCCACACAAACCTGTTTGGTGGATGGTGATTTTACTTGCCAAATTAGAAATGACTTACTAAGATCCGTATTAACAGTCGTCACTTAAAATTTGCCTCAAGTGAGGTACATAAATTTAAATTTAGAGATAGATATGAGTTTTTAACTGAGTCGCGCTTACAAATGTAATAACGTGTATACTGTATGATTGAAATAAAAATACAATCATAAACAATAAATATTTATATTTTTTAGTATTCTTTTTTATTACCATCACTAAACGTTTCAACATCGCCTTCGCAATCATCTTACTTTATGTAAGAATAAAAAAAACTCCCTGTTATTTTGATCACAACATAATAAGTCTTTCATAAAAGATCTTACACAATGAAGATCACGAACGCAAGTCCTTCCACTTGCGTGTGCCTTGAATCTCACATATTTAGGGATCAAAAACAAGTAATCAGAATCTTTAATCGCGACTCAATTAAAAAACTCTCAACTCTAAAATCAAATCTGAGTCTCTCACTTGAGAGACGAGTTTCACATAATAACTATTAATATGGGTCTGAGAGTATCTCACGTGAGATAACTTTCAAGTGACGACTATTAATGCTAATTTAAATATCAGTGTAATTTGTGCGGTTGAGTCAGCGCCGTAGCACACAGAAAAACGATAAGCAACAAGCGAATCAGCTAATCAAATTCGAGAATGACCGAAAACTTATATTAAAATATTCGACTATAATCGATCGACTCGCTTATTACACAAGCCTTACGTCTTTCTGTGTGTCACGACTTCTAAATAATCTAATTCTGTATAAAGTCGCGCGCAGAGAATTAGGACCTGCCGGGATTCGCGCACCGGCGTGGGAAACACGCGGGAATCCAGCATGGCAGTCAAAGTGTTGATCCAATGTGCACTATTAACATTTACATCATTGTTTTCGAGTAGGAAGAGATGAGAGAGAAATTGTATCTCTATTAAGTATCTCTGATCGCGCGCCGTATCATACAATTATACACTGAGCGTGCACTTATGACTAACGGAGCGATAGAGGCGGTAATTATCGACGACGGCAGCGATATTCTGCACGAAGTTTAAAATATTTGTCGATATTACAGTTAAAAAATATCCTGCGAAATAAAATGATAAGTAGGAAAAATCGACACAACTACTGTACATTATTAAGACTCCTGGTCTCTCGCCGCGGAACTCCTGAATGATGAATTTCCTCGCTTCTCGGCGAAATCATAAATCAAGATAAGCCCGACGAGAAACCCGGCCAAGAGCCTTAATCATCGGCGATTCTCGTTAGTTATCGCGAGCGATATTTCTGGACGATACTCAAGCTCGATAGTCAAGCCGATACAACACGAAGTATCGCTACAAATCAGACACGATCGCGATAACCACCGCCCTCTCCCGGGTCACTCTCTCTATCACTAGTGTGATTTAAAAAATAGTTGCGATTTAGAACCCTTTCTAATGAGAATCTTACACGCAGAACACGGACGTATGATCGTGTTCGTATTTCACCGCGACATGCCATCACCGAATCATTATGAGCTAAACGCCGACTGCGAGGAAGTTGACGGGTGAAAAAGACTCTGTGGCAAGTTGGACACTGTTTTGCCGGACGATCGGCCGCCAATCGCGAACACAGCAGGATTGTACGTGTCCAGACCATAGCACGACATGAGAGCCGATAATGCATTCCGGATGCCGACTGTGGCCACCTGCGACCATCTGCCTCCGGAGGTGGAGCTCACGGCGTCATCGCCGGCGTACACCGCGTGTGCGTCGAAGTTAGCTTGTTGCGACGCGCTCGTATCTATAAGAAGAAGCGAGAAGAAGAAGTAAACAATACATATACGTCGCTATACGTCAACACGAGAGGAAAGTAGAGCGTGTCGTGACTCACCTAGGAAAGAAGACGGATTCAACACGGGCAGGTGAGATTCCAGCTGTCCGCCTGGCCTGGTGTTCGCAGCTAGACGAAGCTCCGTGTGCAGGTCGCCCAACAATTGCGTTACCTTGGGATCGCACTGCAATCGATATTGAGTTATTACAGTATATGCATGACGCACTTCCCGAGGAATAGTAAATACCCGAAGGTCCTTGGAGATACATAATAAACAAATGAGTAAAAAAAGCTAACAAGAATTTGAGTTTTAGGCGTTAGTATGTGTATCAGTGCGCGAGTTTTAGCATTCTAAAATTCGGTATCTATGAACGTACAACCAAGTGTACACCAAGTGTCTTGCTCCAGTTCGGACTTTCTGCAATAGTACAGAGTTGTAAGTTCTGTATTTTTTGGAAATTAGAAATTTTGGACTTTGTACATGCACATATCTGCGGCTCTTCTTGGTAAGAAGTAAACTAATACAGGGCCTGTTTAATAAGTACCTCGTTGTCCGGCCGAAGCGACAAAAGATCGTCGACGCGAATCGGCTTTCCTTGATTTAAGGCGTTCGTGAGGAACATCAGTCTCCGGGCGAGATTATCTTCCACGCACATTTCTAACGCCTGATTATCTCCCTTCAGATTCGACGAGCGTGGCTTGACGGGCGGTGGGCTGTTATAATAGTACGACGATGGGGAGATGTACGGCCCGCTCTGATTGAACATGTCCTCGCCGTAATGAGTATCCGCACCGAGTCTGGTAGGATGTGAATTATAGCCTGCTTCCATTTTTAATCGTTTAGAAGACCTGTAACAATATAGATGTAAATTCAATAGATGTAAATATACATAGATATGAAACAAAAACGGACGTTCTCCATCCTCCCAATGTACACGGTGTGTATGTGATGAATTACAATTGAAACAAAATTAGCAATGAAACTTCTTCAATTTTAAACTGTGACACATACGTGAAAAAGAAAATAAATTGTTTAATAAGAAAATTTTATAACCATTATTTGTATATTCTATTACAAACAAATTATAACAATTTATTATGCTCAATACATTAAATATAAGAAATATAATGAGAGCATGCAGTTAATAAGCTAACAAACGTTTTTTAATGTAAGCCAGCTTGATGCATTGGTAAGTTACAGATATACATGCATATTGTGCATGCATATATATTTATTAATGCAAGATATATAATCGTGAGACATTTTGCTTGTTATCGTTAATTTTTCACTAACGATCCATCATTAAGCGCACGAAGAGTATTTCTTTCTCTCTCTCTCTCTCTCTCTCTCTCTCTCTCTCTCTCTCTCTCTCTCTCTCTCTTGTTAATTTAATGTGTCCCTGCATATCCTATGTTAAACGATAGACTATTGTGAAAGGCGGTCCGATTATTTCAATTAGCTAAGCTCAAGCATATATGAGTGGTTATATGATCCATATACTCTGTAGACATGAATCGACAAAATTGGACACTCTGGGCGTGAACATGTATTAATAGATTAGAAACTTTCATTACCTATTATATATTCTTACAAGTGCTACAAAATTTGTCCATCTACAATTCAGCCACAATTATATTATCTCCTGAAACATAATTTTCTCCTATTAGATATTATATCATACATGCCAATTAGGCTGACTATAAATAAATCTGCGTTTAAATTGTTATTTTCTACGTATTCCACAATATATTGTGAACAATAATTACTAAAATATAATAATAATTCGCGTTCTTCTTCTATAATTATTCTCAACTTCTCATATAAACGTTTGCTATATATTCACAAGATATCTTGAATCATAATTAATAATTAAAACATTATAATTAATGTTTTATATGTTACATAATTTATACATGTGCATATCAAATAATATTTATCCAGTTTGCTATATAATTAAAATCAAAATTTTTACCATAATTAGTTACGCATTTATAATATACAGACAGACATGTTAAACAAATTTTAAAAAATTTACATTATATTTGTCTTATTGATGAAAACATTATCAATATGAACAATATTAATATTGAATGTTATACTTGGATGAATATAATTTTAGTTATGTTTCTTATCGAAAGTATAAAGTCTTACGCGCGTATATTATGTTAGATATTAATAAGTATTAAATATAAAAACATTTTATAAGCGACTATCAAATTGTCGGACTCCACGCTTGTCATACATTAATTAATAAAAGTCGTATGTAAAAACATGTTACATATTTTTTAAACACTATATTTTTTAAAGTATTTCTTCTTTACACTATTTTGTATAAACATATTTGTACACAAACATAACTTGATTATGAATATACTTCCCATTATAATGCACTTTCTTCTGCATTTCTTCAGCTACAAGTATAATACAAGTGTGCTACATATATACATAAAACAAACATAAGATATTTCTTATAAAGGCGTTCTTTTTTTCAAATTTCCTTTAAATTTGTAACACATGGCATATTTGTAAGATATGAATTTATATTTATAGCACGAAGAGATTGTCACATTATACCGCCTTTTACTGATACATCAAAGGCTTTATAAACATTTGCAAACATTATATAAAGATTAAGGCTTCATTATTTTCCTAATAATTTTTTTTAATTCTTTCATAAACACCTAATTGCTATACTCTTCCATAAGAGAAATGTAGAGAAAAATTTACAAATATTGTCATGTAATTGTATCAGAAGACGCAATAAATTTTAATACATAAAACACTAAGATAATTTTTATTGTTAAAAAAAAGGAGCAACTTTATGATTGTACAATACAAAAAGAAGCTGGTATATAAAAAAATATTTCTGTGCATAAATACTAATGAAATATAATAGAAATGCATGAATGTGCAAGTACATGATATATATTGTATATCATAAATATATACTGTATAATCTTGCCCAACTTCTTTTTGAAAAAGTTCTACCTATATTAAAAATATTAATTTATTACTTCAAATAGAACAAACTGTTTTAGTATCCATTATGCTATTTACTCGGTTGTTGTACTTGTTATATTATCAGAAGTTCTATCTATATTATCAGTGGTTCTATATTTATATATCAAAGAATGTAACATAACAAATCACGTTTATTTCTACGAGAAATAATAAATAACGAAGCACGCTAAACGTATAAAAGCACTTGTGGAATAAGTAGAAAAAGTAACATACATTTTATTATTACTTTAAATATATATATATATATATATATATATGTATGTATATATATATTAGAGAACATCAAGCACACTGGTAAACAAGTAATATTTTCCAAGTAATTTCCGTATGTTGCCTGTTGGATGGCTTCTTTGGAGATACGATTACCTAATTTATACATAAAAATAAAGATATTAAAAAAGAAACTAAAATATTGAATAATAAAATGTTTTAATAATATTAAATGATTTCGTTCATTGTGTATCCATAAAGACATTAAGTTTAATGTCTTTGGACACTTAGGTATGTACAACATTAGTATATTATTCTATATCGCTTATGATGTAACATTACGCTAGAAAATATCTGAATTATTGAATTTCATTATAAGAATGGCGAGATACCATATTTGATACATTCATTCTACAAGAGAATGAAACGAAGAAAAAAACGAGAATAGTGTAAATATTAATATACATACTGATATGCCATTCATATATTAAAATTCATAAATGTTTTTACACATACACGTATATACACACACACATACATATATACACATATATGTTTTATCCGTGCGTGCGTGCGTGTGTGTGTGTGCGCGCGTGTGTATACATGTCATATATATATATATATATATATATATATATATATATATATATATATATATATATATATATATATATTATGTATGGCATATATACATAAACATACATACATATATATGTAATTACTACATTATAGTACAGTTATTAAAGGGATGACCAAAATATATAACTGTGAATTTTTGAATAAATTGCAAACGAACATAAATAGAGCTATTAACGCAGAATTAAAATTTTCTACGATATACAATAACATTTTAGTCTTGATCTCCTTCAATTCTGCCTCTTCGTTCTTCCTACAGCACTTGTATATCTGCATCTGGTTTCCTATTTACACTTTGTTTGATAAAGTTCTATTCTCTTTTTCTCTCTTTCTACGAATATAAATCAAATAAATTCTTAGAAAAGTACGAAGAAGTCACGTTGACGTGACTTCTGTTATTTATTTACAATCAAGATACTACTTGTTTTCACTTGCAATTGAGAATATATGTGTGTGTGTGTGTGTGTGTGTGTGTATGTGTGTTATAAATATATGTTTTGTGCGTGTGGATATTGATATATCTATAGGGAAGAATTTAAATCAATATACAAGTGCATAAATTGTATTATTGGGTGTCTTTGTCATTTCGATTTAATGGTATGCGCACTCACTCTGGCATACCTTTTCATATATGCGTATCTATTTTTTTATGTGTACATATGCACATTCTTATATTATATATATGTACACATCTGTGTAGCTTAGGTCGAACATTATTAACGAATAAGAATCGATACCTAATTTCTACAATCGTCTTCAGAGACAAATGGTAGACTGGATCACAGTGATAACGAGAATATACACTTTCTCTCGATGTTTTATATGACGTAAGTTTTTGATCATTAAGGATCCATTGGTTAAGGGCATTATGATAATACAGTTATTATGATATCATTGTATACGAACGTGTGTGTAATTATAAAAAATGATTCGATGTCGACAGTCAGGCGGGTAAGTAGTAATAAGTAATAATAACATTTGTCATGAGACAAAATATTGTCGCTATAGGATCATCTCTCGTGTGTATGACCTAATGATACATATATTTAAAAACGTTTCTCTCACACACAGTCTATTCAATCGATTGTAATAAACAATCTCTGCTGCGAAGCCACGAACACAGAGAACGATGTTTCGTGTTTCTATTTTCCATTGTTCTGCATTATTGCCGTCGTCGTGTTTGAACGACTGTGAACGAAACTAAAATTAACTCGTTGATTCATTAAGTTAGGAAGGATTGGCATGCAAACGAGGCGCTGAATACACACGCGCACATACGCTCCCAACCATACATACACAGATGCTACTTCAACCTCGATTTCGCTCTTGTAAATTCTCGTATAGTTAATTCATAAACAATGCATATCTCGCTAAGATAAAATAAATGCGAAGCACAACTGCGGTAACACAGCCATCTACGTTTATAAGCTACTTAATTTCTTATCAGCGCTGGGGCATGTCCTAGTTTGTGATTAAATCACACTACGGCTACTCACCCCCCGACATCTGATAGATCATCCTTGTGAGGGCCTCCTTTATTTGGGAACGGAAGAAGAGGCATCTTAGTGGTAGCGTTATCTTGTTGTTCCTTTAACAAGCGTTTTCGCTTTTTCCACCAAAGTTCATGACAATCCTGCCAGGTAGGAAGCTGCGGCGCTGGCATTCTAATTTATCGTAAAGATAAATATGTATATATATGTATATATGTATATATGTGTATATATATATATATATATATATATATATATATATATACACACATATACATTCCATTACACAGAAGTTAGAAGAACCAAAAAAGTAAAATAACATACTGTTCAGGTTGAACGTTCTTCAGCCAAGCACTTTTGAGTGCGTCCGCTGCTGTTATTCGCTTCTCGGGATCTAATTCCAACATTTTATCCAGGAGATCTAAAGCTGGGCCTGGCATAAATGAGAAATCCTCCCTCAAACGTCTTCTATGTGACTTTTTTGGCTTAAGTGTATGCCAATGTGGCAATTTTATCACAGAAGGCCAAACAGCTGGAGTAGGTGTACCACAAACTCTCGAAATCAATTCCAGCTGCATCATATCTACATTGGCCTAATGTCACAAATTATAAATATTAATAATTATAATGTGTGTGTATATGTGTATATATATATATATATATATATATATATATATATATATATATATATATATATAATCTTTGAAATTCGAGAAATGAGTACTTTACTTAGAATAATGATGATTACCTGGAATAAAGGCTTCTTCCAAAACAACTCTCCTAATATACATCCGCAACTCCATACATCGATTGCAGGTCCGTAACGTTCCTCTCCCAACAACAGTTCAGGAGGTCTATACCACAGAGTAATCACCTTGTTAGTATATGGTCTTTGTCGGTCCTCCGCGTTATAAAGACGCGCCAACCCAAAATCAGCCAGTTTAACTTCGCCTCTGCAAAAATCACAAGATCAGATAAAAAATTATTGAAAACATTAATTACTCATTTCTGATTGAGGTTCACGTACTTGTTATTCATCAGTATGTTCGAGCATTTAATGTCTCTGTGCAGAAAATTCTTGCTGTGGCAGTAATTTAAACCATCTAGCAACTGTTTCATAATACTGGCGTTATTCATCTCGTTAAAATCCACCATACCAGACTCCAAAAGACCCATTAGATCGTGGTCCATGTATTCAAAAACTAAATAAAAGGAACCTTTATCCTGAAACACAAAGGATAATTATAAAATTTTATAATTTTATGGCTATTATGGATCAGATTAGTTGTGAGAAAGATATTGGGGCCGTGAGAGTACCTTTCGGAAGTCCAGTGCATCTTGCTTATCAGTGACAACTTCCCTAAGATTAACGATGTTTTTGTGATTTAGTTGACGTAGAATCTTGATTTCTCTAACCGCCGTAATAGGGAAGCCCTCTTTCTCATTTTCCAACCGGACTTTCTTCAAAGCTACAAGCACGCTGGACCGCTTATCTCGCGCTTTGTATACTTGTCCGTAAGTACCCTCTCCGATCTGTGTGATAAACTCGAATACATCCACACAGCGTTCACCCCAATCCTTGCCACCGGAGGCTGATGTGGGAGTATGACAGTTTCGTGAGCCACGTCGCTTCAGTATTTTTGGTCTCTTCAGTTTCGGCTTCGGTGCCATTCGTTCCATCTTCAAGCGCGGTGGAGTTGCGTTTGGATCGTCCTCGCCGCTTAGATCTTCTGATCCAGGCACGACTACGATTTAAGCAGCCGATTGATATAATAATATTAATATTATTTAATATTATATAAGCAATAAAACGAGTCGAAGAGTAAAAATTACCTGGTGGCATCGGCAGATCCTTGATGCTCTTCTTCTGCGGCAGCTTCGACGTCGAAGTTGGGAGCTTCATTTGCATTTTACTAGGCGGACTAGGAGAACGACTCGGCGGAGAATCGATGCTCTCCAAGTCGTTCTGATTGATTCCAGGTGGTAACGGCAACCTCGACAAGCTTTTCGTCTTAAAGGCTACTATCGGAGGCTTGGGCGGGTCCACTGATTTGAGAGGCACCAGATTGTTGGGAGCATTGAACTTGGACATGATCGTATTCGGCGCCGGCACAGGAATCGGGATAGGCGGTGGTGGAACAGACATGTTCGGTAGAACTGGTGCCGGTGGAATTGGCACCGACATAGCCGGCACAGGTACAGATACTGGTGGCAATACTGTCGACGCGAGCTCGGATTGCGGCAGTGGTGGTGGCGGCGGCGGTTGTACACCCGTGTGCGCCGGGAAGTTTGGACTATGGGAGGGTGCGATCGGGCAATTGTTAGCTACCGCAGACGAGGTGGTGGGCGAGGTATGTACAATCACGTTGGAAGTCAAATTTAACGCAGTTGTCGGGGCCGGCGGTATGGCTGGCTGGCTGACTGGTAACGGCGGCGTTTTGCCAGCCAGACTATTGTCATCGCTTATCGGCACGGGAATGTCGACGACGTCGACAGACTTGACTGCCGTGTCTTCACTGCCGAGCTGAACGAGCTGGTCCTTGTGATTCACCGGTTTGTCCTTGCTATCAGTGGAAGCCTTGTTTTCTATAGACACGTTACTGCTGTCTTTCTCCTCAAGGCCCTCTATGATCTGCACATCGTCTTGGGTAACGGCCTTCTCCTTCGCGGCTTGCAATTTCTTGTATGCAAGTTCCCTCATGTTCCGGTCCTTCACAAGCTCCGCGAATAGGCTAGTCTCACTGATTTTCGCTTGTACTCTGAGATTTCGGGCGGTGATGCTCGACGGACTTCTGGCTCTGGACCTGTGAGGGGAAGGAGAAGGTATTCTCGGACGTGGGCTCTTTGACTTATGTTTCCTTGTCGACTTGTGGGTTTTGCTGGGTGAATGCGATTTCTTCGGGGTACGACTTCTTCTGCGTGAATGTGACCTTGAACGAGACTGCTTTCGCCATCTACCAGGACTACGAGATCGTGATCGGGAAAGAGGTACATGTAACCTAAAATCAAAGAGACTGTCAAGTAAATGCATGTCGCGCGAAAAGTATTTATTATTTGTTTATTTATATTACAGAGAGAAAAGAGGATGATATTTAAACGAGTTTTGAAGTCTAACCTGCTACTGGTAGGACTTCTAGTGGATCTCGATTTTCGCTTATCTCTCCTATCCTTCTCGTGATGTCTATGACGTCGATCAGAGTCCTCTCGTCTCCTCCGTTTAGACGGTGGAGAAGTGGTCGTCTCTGTTCGTCGCCTGTGACTCACAGGACTCGGGCTGAATTCGCGTCGTCTGACTGTGGCAGGACTTGGACTATGCCTGAGTCTAGTGTGAAGCGCTGGAACAGGACTGAAGTCTCTTTTCCGTGACGGGCTGTGTTCTCTTCGTCTCGACGGCGGGCTCGGGCTGTGAGGCCTTCTGCGACCAGAACCAAGTGGCGCAGATGCTCCTGGGCTGACACTGCTACGTCGTACGTGTAGGTTAGGACTATGTTTATCCCGTCCACGGTCGGGACTGTGTTTCAACGAAGCTTTACACTCCGGCGTCGTAGCGCGTGGCGGTAGCAGCGGAGTATGCGGCGATTCCGTCTGTCGCATCGATGGTAGAGGAGGCGGCGTAACATTTCGTGGCTGCCTCGACATCTCCATCTCCACGTCGCTGAAACACCTTTGCTCATGCGGCGTCGCCGGCGAGATCGGCGACATGTTATCCTTCAAAGGCAACGGCGAATCCGACCATTTGCCGCTAACTTTTTCACGCTCCGGAGTTATAGCGACCTCATCAACTGTCACACCTCCATGCGGACTTATACTACGAGAATGCCTCTTGGACTTTCTCTTTTTCTTCTTGCTGGAATTAGATAATGGACTGAGGCTCTTCTTCTTCTTCTTCTCGCGCTTGTGCTTCTTCTCCTTTCGTCGAGTATACCGTCTCGGCTCTTCCTCATATTCGGACGCGTGCATTGTCGCTGATTGTTCATTTGGCGAGTAATGCCTGCTCGAGTGTCGATGTGGAAGCGGCGGCGATGACGGCGACAAGCTGATTGGTGACACTGCGATGGTAGTGCGAACTGGACTACCACCATAATATCGCCTTTGAAGAAGTGGCTCAGGTACTTCACCGTCCGTGTAACTATTGCCGCGGCTATCCTCCGATTGTATCTCGCCGGCTTCCGGCTCGGACAAATCTTCGCTACTCACATCAGAGTATTCTACCAAAGGTTTAACAACGGAGGATGCAACGGTCGGAACATTTTCCGTGGATTTATCGCGTGAACGTTTCTTCTTTTTCTTGCTAGAGCTCTTGCTTTTGCCATGTCTCCGGTGTCTTTTGTCGCTGTTCTCGAAGCTGTGACGGTTTACGTCGCTACTTGTGCTGCCTCGTCTGCGCGAGCGAAATCTCCCATTGTGATCAACTTCTCGAGGCATGTCACCTACTGAAAAACAAAAGTATCGATAAATAATTCATAAATACAATACAAACGCATTGTTGGTATAGTAACAATTGTATAAAAGAAGATAGACTGTTACAGACAAGTAGAATGAAATGATTGCACCTTCAACACTTTTCATCTTGTGAGAAGAAATAACATTGTGTAATGAAGATACTGTTTATGAAGAAAATATATTATTGTTTTTATGTGTACCATCAAATACTTGTGACCACATTTTATATAATTATAAATGTTTAATGGGAGAACATTTGCATATGTTGTATAAAATGTAATCACAATATATTGTATAAACATGGTTTAATGATACATGTGCATAATGATCATATGAATAAACAATCGTATAAAGAAGACAGACCATTGCAAACAAATAGACAAAATAGACCAATAGGCAAATGAAAAAATTATAAGTGTTTTTTTACCTTTTTTATTTTGTAAAAAAAATATATTGCTATGTGTTTATGAAGAAACATAAGAAACTGTTTATAAGAAACTGTTTTTACATGCACCAATAAATACTTAAGCCTAATTTACAATATGCTTTTTGCGTTCTGTTTCTTGTCTTCTATCTTTTTCTGGCTTAAAGCTTAAAATTTAAGTCAGAATGAAATAAAGAGAAAAAAGCAGGAAGCAAAAAGCATATTGTAAATCAGGCTTTATGGTCATATAAAACATAGCTATAAGTATTTAATGGTACATGTAATAACAATCATATGAAAAATACAGACTCACAGACAAATATAATAAAACGAACTATGAGCAAATATTCTTTCCACCCTCAATGCTTTCCATTTTATAGAAAAAAAAATATATCGCTGTGTATTTATTAAAGAAAATATATAACTATTTTTACATGTACCATTAAATAGTCATGATAACTTAAAAAGTACGTAAAAGTAAATGTAAAAAGTACATATATATTGTTCAACCATTCAACATTCTAAATGACAATAATATTTTGTTCTCAAGTTCTCAGGTAATTCTACATCTCTGTACTTGTTGGCAACCCTCGTCAGGATTTGACGAGCACGGATGCAGAGATAAACGCACATGTCATATCTTCCTACGATCCACCCTGATATCGATGAAAACGGTCAGAAATAATAACGCTATTGCTCTCGAACGTGCCTCACACTTCGAGGCCGATCGTCATGAATATATACAATCACGCACAACACAGCCACGCGGGTATATACACACACAGGCGTGTGCGCTCGTTCACGCACGCACACACGAAACGCGAGAACGTAGCGATATCGTGAAACGGCGCGATTACCTCTCCTGCGGAACGGTCGCGCTATGTTAATTCGTTGTGCCGTGCACGTCGGAATCGAAGACGGGCGATAATCGGCGGTGTACAGGTGAACACAGGCTCAGAAGCAGTGGCAGACAAGGGTAACGCGAGGTCACGAATTTCTCAGACGAGCCAACGCGGCCGCCATTGCTCTACACAACGGCCCGCTGGGACTCGCCCAGTTTCTTTTTCCGGCGAACGACTGTTCCGAGTAAACACGAGTCGACAGGAACACGAGATTGTAAAATCGTGTACTTACATGCGATTTATATCCTGCGAAGTCGCGGTAAGCAACGGTGTCCTTCGCATCAGGGCCGAAACCAACACGTAAGGTCGATGAGAGGTGCGTAACGGTGGTTACGTCGTCCCGTCGTTGCTTCCTTCGCGCAGAGCCGAGATTTTCAGCACATAATTCGCGGACGAACGTAGCGCGTCCGGCCAGAAATTTAATGCTATCGTGACTGTACGGCTCTCAGACGATCATATTTTAATGATTCCAGCAGTCGATCGCATCATATCTCATGTGTTTTCTATGGATTGAATGTTGGCTCGCTCATAAAAGCTAGCTCGACCGAGTGGAAGCCATTAACCATTAGCACGTCATCATCGCGTGACGTAATGTATCCACCATGGCGCTGTTGCGACTGCGGTGAACATCGGCAACGCGGCGATGCGTAATGCAGGATTCACACCGCGTCCGATGTCCGACATACGACGTCCGATATCCAATAGGAGAAGAGCTTTCTAATAGAAAATTCAATTCTCCATTGGAAAGTTATTCTCTTATTGGATATCGGACGTCGTACGTCGCATCGACGCGGTGTGAATCCTGTATAAGGCCTGTTTTACAATACATCGTATGTCGATGTCGGACGTCGAACACAGTCGATGGGCCAATCAGAGGATTTGTTTTTCAAGACGAGTTCTCCTAATAGGATCATTGATTGCGTTCGATATCCGACTTCGACATACGATATATTGTAGAACCGGCCTTCGGGTCTTCGCACACAATTGCCGTAACCGTAACCATAATACGTAAACTTAAGCTAAAGAACCAATCAGGGTATTGCTATAGATTTATATACTCTAAAAGACTATAAAAGTGACACCAAGTTTTATCTTACGCAGAAATAACTAGATTTCAATCGGTTGAAATTTTTAAGTTTTAAGCGTTGCTTTCCAACAAGAGACACAAGTCGATACAAGTATCATTCTATCTTTGTTACTCACTAATTGTGGAACAAAGAATGATATTTGTGTCGACTTGTGTCTCTTGTTGGAAAGCAACCAAGGTCGTTCTACATTAGTTGCAAGCCGATTGCAAGCAGCGCAATTCTTATTGCGACAGCCAATCAAAAGCATCAGTAGTGCTATTGATTGGCTGTAACAACAAGAGTTGCAATCGACTTGCAACTAATGTAGAACGATCTTTAGTTGCAAGCCGATCGCAAGCAGACCTTTGAGTATATAACCATGGCTAGCCGCTATCTTATATCTGCAGCAAAACGTCTGTCAACATCTGCAGCGCCGCCAGGACCAAACAACAGCGTATACGTAAACTATCACATACTTGTGATTTCTATTTTACCATGTGAAAGATTTCGTGTGTGTGTCTGTGATCATAAATTGCAGTTATCATTAAAATGCATGAAAAATTATTATGATATTTCTTTAATCGTCAATAACAAACTTTTTCATTTTTTCTTCAAATAAATTATATTAAAAAAAAAGTTATACAACTTTGTTATAATATAAAAATCAACAATTTTTAAAGTAACAAGAAAAAAATCTGATTTGCAAGGAAAATATAAAAAAACAAAATAAGATATTCATATAATTTCATACAAATTTGTATTTATTATATTACATAAAAATATATAATATTTATATAATATATTTATATAATAAGAGATATATAATATATGAATAAAAAAAAAATATATATATTAAAAATGTTTATATAATATATATGTAATATTATAAAAAGAACGTTCAACATTTTTTAAAACATTATTTAAAATACCGTCATTTGAGGTAACTTGGAACACCGGGGTAACTTTGAACAATTTGCAACGGCTTTCAAAAACATATGGCATTATTAAACGGATAGAGATAGAACTTTCATATCAGCGATATAAAAGTTACCCCAAATGACGATATATTATTGTCCTTGAAATAAAATATTTTTTGTCAATTTGTCTGATATATTGACATTTTTGGCTCATTAATTTTCCCTCATAATTTATAACAATTTTAACATAATTTTCTATAATTAATTTTGTTATAAAGTATTTGTGGTTTTCAAGAAAGTCTAATTCTTTTTATTACTTCTACTATACTATTAGGTCTTTCCAATACGTATCACCATGTGATACGCGGATATTAGAAGCGTTTACGTTGCTAACTCTGTTTACTCTGGTCTACTGAGTTCCTTCTTTTGCCGTTGTTTGGTCCTGACGGCACTACAGATGTGTTGTTATTGGTATTCCTGGCCACTACAAATGTGACAGCGCTTATGACTCCTGCACACAGGACACGGTAATGCTTGCCGCGCGGCGAAGTCCGCGCGACAGCCAATCAATATGTTGTTTTTCCGTAAGAGCTAGAAGGTTATTACGGAAAGCAACATATTGATTGGCTGTCGCGCGAACTTCTACCGCGCGGCAAGGATTACCGCGTCTTGTGTGCAGGAGCCATTAGAATCGCCGCTAGCGGTCCATGGTTATATAGTCAAAGAAGCAGACGCAAATCTTATTGCGACAGCCAATCAGCATTAATGGTGCTATTGACGCTTCTGATTGGCTATCGTAACAAGAATTGCAATCGATTTGCAACTAATGTAGAGCTGCGTTCGGAAACATCACTCGGAAACATACTCTCTCTCTTTTTATCTCACTCTTGTATTTCGCTCACTCCAACGCCTATCGTCTAGTAGTGTGTACGCAGTGTGTGTTTCCGAACGCAGCATAGAACGACCTTTAAGGTACCTTTATTGGGAGCATCAAGCATCGAGCGTTAAAGCGGTAGCTAATCAACGTACCAGTTTTCGCAAGAACTACAAGTATACTTCTGGGACCTGATACGTTGATTGGCTAACGCTTTAACACTCGACGCTGGAACGCTCCCATGAATTGGCAACTTTATGCGTATCGAGCATAACATAATTTGATTTGACCTAGGTTGGTCTAATAAGACGAAACTTAAAAAAAGAACCAAAGCGTGAGAGAAACGTAGAGATAGTATCGCTCTTTAGAATTACTAAGAGATTACCTGGAAAAGATGGGTGAACGCTACAACATCCACAGTCAATTGGAACATCTGCAGTCGAAGTACATTGGCACAGGACACGCCGATACGACCAAGTTTGAATGGCTTGTGAATCAGCATCGTGATTCCTGCAGCTCGTATATGGGCCATTACGATCTGCTGAATTTTTTTGCGATCGCCGAGAACGAGGCCAAGGCGCGGGTTAGGTTCAATCTTATGGAGAAGATGTTGCAACCTTGTGGACCGCCGCCCGAGAAGCCAGAGGATTAAATCGCGCCCTCATTGTACATTCTTTATACGACGATACAAAAACTCTAACGCAATATTGCATCATATATATATATTTTTTTTTTTTACAAAGAGTTGTGTGACTCAATCGTGTGATGTTTCTCATTGTGCTCCCTCTTTTGATGCGTGCATACACAACGTGAATGCCTAACCTAACCTAACTTCTCCAATAAATGACCCGAGCTGTGTTCCACGCGCCAGTCTACTACCTAACCTAATTTTTATCGTGCATTTTGCATCAAAAGAGAAAATAAAGAACTTTTTGTATAAACTTGTGTTATATTACTTGAATAAGTTACCACATAATACTATATAAAGACAAATTAAAGAACCAAGATGCCTGCGTCATGCTCCACAAATTGCGGAAAAGATTCTATTTTAAAGGTAAGAAATTGTTCTTACAATGTTGCACAATGTATATAATTATAAGAATTAATTATGACAAGAACAAGTACATTTCTAGAGGCCAAAAACTGGTGATACTTTGTGCAAAGAATGCTTCTTCTTAGCATTTGAAACTGAGATTCACGACACTATTGTCAATGGTGAACTATTTAAGCCTGGTGATAAAGTTGCTATTGGAGCATCTGGTGGGAAGGATTCAACAGTACTTGCGTATATTTTAAAGACTCTGAATGAAAAATACAAATATGAATTAGATCTGTTTCTTTTGTCCATTGACGAAGGAATTACTGGTATAATAAAATTATCTCATATATGTAACATCTACAAAATATGACTTAATATACATTATATATATAAAGTCTATATTATATATTTTATAAAATACATTATTTTAGGGTATAGAGATGACAGTTTGAAGACTGTAGCACAAAACAGAGATGATTATGGTATTCCTCTTAAAATATTATCATATAAGGAGTTATATGGATGGACAATGGATGACATTGTTGCAGAGGTAAAGTATCTGATGGACTTTACTATGTTTAGATTATAATAAACATATTTGTAAAAATATGTAATATGTTTTAGATTGGTCGTAAAAATAATTGTACATTTTGTGGTGTTTTTCGAAGACAAGCACTAGATAGAGGTGCTGCACTGTTGGGAGTAGATTGCATTGCCACAGGTCATAATGCAGATGATATTGCAGAAACAGTACTAATGAATGTCTTGAGAGGTGATATTGCTAGGTTGCAGAGGTGTACATCTGTAATAACTGTAAGGATATGTTAATTATATGTTTATATAATTAAGATTTTCATTGTGATGATAAACAATAAAAATCAATACACATTTTTATTCAATACAGACAGGTGCAGATTCTATTATGAGATGTAAACCACTAAAATATGCATATGAAAAAGAGATTGTTATGTATGCATATTTTAAGCGTTTAGTATATTTTTCCACGGAATGCATATATGCTCCAAATGCTTATAGAGGTTATGCACGAGAATTTCTAAAGAATTTAGAAAAACTAAGACCATCAGCTATTATAGATATAATACACTCGGGTAAGTATATAATATTGTACTTTTTTATGATATTTTATTTATTATCTAAAGTAAATTAAAGAAATTATAAGAATTATTAACATAATGATATATTAGGTGAACAGCTGCAAGTAAAAGATAGCATAAAAATGCCAGAGAGAAGAAATTGTACTCGATGTGGATTCGTTTCAAGTCAAGAGATATGCAAGGCTTGTGTTCTGTTAGAAGGTCTGAACAGAGGACTGCCAAAACTTGGTATTGGGAAATGCAGCAAAGCTAAGAAAATTATAAACTTGAATACAAGCAATGCAGATAAAAGAAACATCGCACACACAAGATCGCAAAATATAGATTTTTAATGTTTTTATAAATGTGTTTTTATAAATTTAATAACTATATACCATTTACATTATAAATATATAATATAAATGGTACACTATATTTTTTTACATAAAATATCTATTTGTCTCTAGTTATTCATTCAACTACTGGCACATTTGAGGTAAGTTAGTATAGGACATCTATTATATACATTTTCTTTAAAATATTCAATTTATATTAACATTTAACTTGTATTTTTCCTAAAGATACTCATCAAACCTTAACACACATTATTTATTTAAAATTACTTGATAGATCATATCGTCAGAAGAATTCTATTACAAGAATTCTTTTATTAGAATGTCTTGTAAATATTCAATTTTTAAACAAAATATATACACATTATAATGAATATAATTATTACAACGTGTGTATATATATATATATATATATATATATATATATATATATATATATATATGTATGTATGTATGTATACATACATACATATATATGTAATATTTAAATTATAAAAAATATTTTCCCTTATTATTTTCATATCCTATTTGTTTTGTTATTATAGTAAAAATATTCCTTTTCTTATTTTGTTACAAGATATTTATATATTCCAAAATAAAATTTATATAATATATGCAGCTGTTCTTTGAGTGATAGGTGTTCTACAAATTGGGCAATTATTATTAATGCTGTTTGAGCAATCTTCACATATGCATACATGACCACAAGGCAACAAAATAATTTCACGTGCATTTGTATTGCATATCACGCATATTTGATCTGCTCTAAGATCCGTATCTCTAACTCTTTGTCGTCTTTCTCTACGAGAGGTTTCAAGGCTACGTCGCAACTCTTCCGCCGTTCTTTTCTGCTGCTTATCTTTCCAATAACGTCTCATTGCAGTTCCACCAATTAATAATCCAACCGTGCCGCATATTATGCAAACTATTCTGTATTTTAAAAAAAGATATTTTTACATAATTAAATATTTTATATATATAATTTCCTTTTAACTATTATAATTTTATTTCTATATACCTATATATTTTTCTCTGATCATCAAGTTTCCGTAGCAAAGTAGTAATTGACATGCTTGTTATATAAAAAGGAGATCCATTTAATGGTGGTTGCAAAGTAAGCCTGTCAGAATTAGTCTTTGACTTTGAAAGCTCACCTATTACTGTAACAATTGAGTCCACACGCAACATTTTCTCTGTAGTTTGCAAACCACGCTGACGTATTCCTAGTAATATATATAAATATTAATATATAGTTTATGTAAATAGTTTAAAAATTAAAAATAAATTTTATATAAAAAGTACATGAAGAATGCATTATTGTGCAACAAATATATAAAGAATAATTTTATAATATTCAGTTGTATTCTCACCTGTTAAGAATCCCCATATATGATCTATTACTGTAGGAATAATAGGCTCATAATGATCAGAAATTACATCCAGGTTTAAGATATTGGCAGATAAAGGATCTATTACTTCTACACTATAAGATTCGTTTTTTAAAACAAATGGTACTGTATTAAATACTTTCTGCATTGTTCGTTTTTGATCAGACCTGTATATAGTTACAATATAATAATCATAATAATGTAGTGAAAAGAATTATTAACATATAAATTTTTCTTACCAAAAACCAGCAGATGTTCTAGCAACAACATGTTCTTTGACACTAAGCGTTTGTATAACTCCAAAAACATTTTTTTTATTAATGCTTTGTAATGGTTCTCCTAAAGGTTTTACAAGTCCTCTGACAGCAATATAATCTATTTTATTCTGTGTCCTATTATTTAAAATATTTCCCAAATCTGACCCAACATTACACAGTTCAACATTCTACAAAAAATATTTTTTCAAATTATCTCCAATATTTAACATATTGTTTCTATAAATTAAACGTCAGTATAACTAAAACTTATAACTTTGATAACATCTTTTCTCTACCTGAATCGCCTTAATCGCATTTCTGCAATAAATATATTGTTTCAAACAGATAGCAAATATGACAGTGTCAATTCCAAAGGTTAATATTTCACCCAAAAATTCCATGATTAGATTTTGAATATATTATCTTCCATTTCTATGTCGTTTTACTCTGAGTCAAATCATTTTGAATAACATCATTCACATCGAGGTATTTACTTTTATTTTCCAAACTGCAAGAATTATTTCGAATTTATAACCTCGCAGGGCACCTTTATGCACTGCGATCGTAGATACCAACCTTCGTATAACTTTGGTCGCAACATAGAAATCTTCCTTTCCTTATGATAGAAGAAAAATCCCTAAAAACCAATTTATTGGGTACATATTATCTTACAAGATATTTTAGATAATATGTGACCATACTGGTTTTGTATACGTGTGTGTCAAGTGTGTTAAGCAATTGGAAAGCATCCAATATGTAACCAATAAACTGATTTTGTGTATGATTTGTCAAGATGTGTTAAGTAATTGGAAAGCACCTTATGTTATCTCGATTGTCAAAATCGACAGCCGTTAATCTCGAGTTAATCGAAAGTCTGTTCTTTTTAGATGAACCGTCTGAACTGGTATGTCACTGGTGCAATAAATTAGAGTGAGACAAATATATTTGATTTTAGATTAGAATTGAGATTAAATTGAAATTTAGCCAATCAGAGCAAAATTCACTAAGCTCAAGTTTGGTGAACTTTGCTCTGATTGGCCAATTTTCAATTCAATCTCAATCTTAATATATAGTCTGATACGGGCTTAACTTATTGCACTAGTTCAGGCAGTTTAGCTAAAAAGAACCTCGAGTCAGACCTCGAGTTTGTCACGACACACTTGTTTCGAGGCATTTCGAGGTATGTACGATTGCGTGATTTGACGTATTTGATGAATATCGGATGTATTATATGTAGAACGTAAACAGTGATTAAGAACAAGATCTCGTAGGAGATAATATTTTTTAACATCTTTCATCATGGACACGGACAGGCCGCTTCACGAAGATTGGAAAAAACGGGTGAATACGAACTGTCATTTATCAAACGCAATAATGAGAAGCATTACAAATGTTCTGTTATTGCGCGTATACACTTAAGTAGATTAGGTATATCTTGATGGATTTCAATGTACAGAAAGTAATATATTGGAAGAAATACAACTGAATATATTTATATCGATATTTCCCAACATATAGTTTATATTATTTACATTTAGTAACTACACAATGCCCTTATAATTTTATTGATCTTTAAAATTTATTGTACTTCAAATATGTGGTAGTGACTTTATATTGTGTATGTAATACACATATATGGTTATTAAATTTTATCCTAATTAAATACAGGCATTTGTGGGACCTTTGCCAGATAGTTTCTTAAGAATAGAGGAGCATAATGCACAACTTCAACAGGAAGCAGCAGATCAACAGGCTGCCTTAGCTATTCAACAACTGCAGATGCAAAATATGCCAATGGCTCATGATCCCCGAGTAGGCAGACTTAGTGTAACGATTGCTCAGGTAAGAATATTTTTTTATTACCTTCTCAATTATCTTCTCACGCTAAAAAGCAAAATCTTTCTAGGCCAAATTAGTAAAAAATTATGGAATGACAAAAATGGATCCTTATGTAAGATTACGAGTGGGACATGCAGTATATGAGACACATACAAACTCAAATGGTGGGAAGAATCCACATTGGAACAAAGTCATTCAATGGTAAGGACATATTTTGTTTTTACATATTTGTATCTCTTAAATATTGGAGTATTTGTTATTGTAGTCTACTTCCACCTGGAGTCACCCAAATATATGTAGAAATTTATGATGAATGTTCCTTTGTAATGGATGAATTGATTGCTTGGGGACATATAGAAATTCCACCACATGTTATACAAAAAGGTGAAACACATGAGGACTGGTACACACTGAGTGGAAAACAAGGGGATAATCAAGAAGGCATGATCAACTTAGTTTTCAGTTACTCGGTACGAACAATAAATATATTATTTATCTTAATTACATCTATCTTTGTTCAAATTTTAATAATAAACAGACTATTATTATAAAATTAATTAATAATTAAATTTAATATCTTTTTGAATATATATAAATTTGAGGAATCTTTTTTTAAAAAAATATTTTTATATATTTCTCTTTTTTTGGTACAATTTGTTCTTTTATAGAATAAGTGTAATCCATACATGGGCTCTTCTTCAATAATGATGGTACCTTCTGCAACAATGTTTGGTATGCCATATGCTCCAGTAAATGTTTACACAACACCTCCACCTGTTGTTGCACCAACGGTTATACCGAGTTCTTTGCCAAATGCTGAAGTTGAGTTGAAACAGGTATTCAACACACAATTCGTTTATAATTTTGTTTGTTGCAATTTTTACCATGTACATTCACGATTATAACTATACTTTGCAGATTGCAGAAATGTTTCCAAATGTCGACAAAGAAGTTATCAAATCAGTATATGATGCTAATCATGGGAAAAAAGATATTACAATTAATTCATTGCTTCAAATGTGCGAATAAGTCCTAATCTCTATGCAATTTGCCATATTTCATTTTACTATATTTTCTGTTAATAAGTATTATTCCGTTGAAAGAATGTAATAATATTATTAAGGAGATACAATTTATAATACTTCCATACATAATGATTAAGGCTAGAAAATTCTTTGAATATATAAAGTGCCGATATATATACCCTTTTAAGAAAACATTACTTTTAATGTAATATTCAATTGCTTATTTTTAGTCAATTTTGTTATATATGATATAATTATTTCAAAGTTTATGCTGTCTTTTTCCTAATTTTCCGAAAATATATGTATTTTTACTTTCAAACACGCGACTACAAACTATATAATCTGTTCATCTCTGTATATAACTTATGTTATATTGCGTGTTTTACGAAGTTGTAAAAAGATATACGCTTAATCGATATATCGCATACAAATTGTAATAAATATTAAGTATATGTAATTCGTACAATTTCATTCATATCAGATAAGTAAGCTGACAGAGTATGTCAGAGAATATAAAAAATTTTATACACGAATAATGTCACAGCTGTAGCTCCAATGGTAATTAGTATTGAATATGTATTTCTTGTTGTTGCGTTGCATGGTGGATCGTTTGCGTTGCTGGTAGACTGACAGGCACATACCTCGATAGTATATCCTTCAGTCTATATAAAAACAATTTTTAAGTATCCACATAATCATGTAATTGTATCTCATTATTAAACGATATTGATTTGTAGTCATAATTATATAAATTTCATTGTGAATAGCTTGTATTAGCTTGTAATACATACATGTTGAACGTAACAGCCTGATGTAATCGCCGATGTCTGGTCTTCGATGACTTTTCCGCAGAAATAACTGGCGTTCACCACTACAAATTATATACGTTTCGACTGTGAAATCTGATTTGGTTTTCTTTTGTTATTTTATAAAATGTAGTTTTACCTGCGTTATTGTACGTATATGTATATTTTATACAAACGTTATCGGTATTCAATTCGCAAGAGTATTTATTTGGGTTTTCTGCCCACATCTCATTCGTTTTTGGCGGTGAAAAGCCTAAAAAAATTGCAAAGTATTATCATTGAGATTAACGATAAAAAGTCAATAATTAACAGTCGAAGACGAAAGTTACTGTTATAAAACGGCTTCACGCAAGGAATATCATTAGTGCAGTTGACAGTCTTGTTACTTGGGCCTGGCCATGTAAATTGGAAGCAGTACTTTGCACCTAAACTTATTGCTACATGAAAAATAGATTGTAATTAAGAATGGACCATATGAAATGTCGATAAATCTGTGAAGCATTCGACGAATTCAATTAGCGTATTAATATTTTTCTCTCATCCACAATGTGATATAAATTAAATCAAATTCTCTCCATATTTTTATATAATAATTTACATGTCCGATGTATGTGTGTTTACGATAATTATGATATAGACTGTTTTGATGTGCATATGTATATATATGTACGTAGACGTACATACATACGCGCTTAGGTGTTCTTAATGATCAATTCTTATCTGCTGATTATCAAATGAGAAACTGACAACAACTCAAAAATAGTCCATGAGCTTTGAATGAATGTATTGCTAATAATAACGGCCTGAAAATACACAGTGCGGCGTTACATGATATTTGTATTCTCTCAGTGTGCAATATTTATAAATATTATTGAGGTATAATGTCGAATATACTTGTGGAAAGTAAATATATTGCGTACTCAAAAATATGTTGCAAATATAAATCACCAGCACTATTACTGCATATGTTCTCTTCATTTTCGCGTATTTTCGTGTACTAACACGCACAATGGTGTCTCAGGTATTACTCACGTTGACGATACTATATTTGCTCACGCTACGATATTTGAAGCTTATCTGATAAATCCGATCGTGACAATGACAGCCATATCCTAGATATCGAATTGTGAGACAGTCGTTATCAGTATAACACAATATCGTAGCTACTAGAATCAAAGATATGGTTTTTCTTACTTTTCTTATCTAAACGGAACAATGGCATAGTTCATACAATGATAATATAAAAAGTTTATTGTAACAATAGCTAATTTCTTTACAATTTTTGGCAGATATAGCATTTCATGCATTTCTCTCTTTCTCTCTTTTTTCTACGCTACTATATATATCTCTTTTTAATTAAATTATTATCGATCGCATATCTACACACTAGATAGACGTTAATATAAAAACACATTTATTATAATAAATGTATAAATATCCTTCATTAAATGATGTGACTCTTATAAAATTTTAAGTAGATCATTATAAGTAATTTGTTCAATAGTAATTTTATGAGATTACATCTTCAGAACTCGTCATGCCTCGTCAATGCCTCTCCGAAATCTGTAGCTTGAGACCCGACGAATATATCGTACTTCTCTAAAATCTCGTCCTTTGTAAGTTTGTGATCGGCGTCCGTGTCCGCTTCGTAAATCAAGTGTCGAGATTCCGCTTCCGCATGATCGAATTCCGCAGGAATGATCCACGTTTTTACCTGTTTTGAATCAAAATTTACATTCAGATATAAATCACCATTATCAGAGATCAATTAATAATTGAAAAATACAATATTGTACACTCTACATTGTACAGAATATACTCTTTGTACAACAATCATATAAATAGTACTAAGAACATATGAACACAACCAACCTCATCAGCATTCAAAAATCCATCACCGTCTTTGTCTCTATAGGAGGAGAATTGCTCCTTTTCGTTTTTCACCCATTCAGGTTCCTCTTCACCTTCATTGCCTTTATACATATCACCTGTAAGCAAGATAAAAGTTTTTGTCAGAAAGAACCACTTACATTCAAATTTTAATTTAATTTTTAGAAGCAATAAAATGATTTCTATTTACCAATATATTCTGCAAGAGATATCTTTCCATCTCCATCTTTATCGATATCCTCCATTGTTTCTAATACTATCACATCCTTCATATGCTCTGCCTCTTCAGCATGAAGGAAGGCAGTAAATTCCTCCTTGGTTAAAGCATCATCACCATCTAAATCAGCAGTAGTCCACCTTCTGCGATCTCTTTTAAGCATAGTGAGGTAAGAGAAAGAATCATCATCTGACTTGTCCTGCCTTTCCTTCTCGTGTTCATCCATATCTCCATAAACCATTGCTCTATACTCTGTCCATGACAATTTCTCTTTTCCTTGTCGATTATGAGACCTCCACTGACGCTCTACATCATCTCTAATGTAACGTTGTTGAGTGTACATTATCCAGTCTTTGAGTTCCTCTTGTGTTACATAGCCATCATTATCCTTGTCAATTTTGTCAACAATGATACCTAATCTTCTGGTGCTTTCTTCAGGAGTAAGCTGATCAAAGGTTTTAGCTTCTTCTCCAAGGAAAGCTTCATGATCATAGGCTGGATTGTGTTGTGAATTTATATAGTGATCTTCATTACTCACATCCTAAAATATCATATATATATATATATATATATTCATATTGAATATATATTAATCTAACAAATATTTATATTGTGTATCTATATTTTTTGTTTTTTATGATGTTAATTAGAGATTATAATAATTAAAAATTATAATAAGTTGCTATAAAATAAGAGCAATATAAGTTTCAAGTATACTAAATGTCAACAAGTCTATTCTGCAGGCATTGAAAAAATTATATTTATTATATATAAAATTATTAAATATAAAATTATTAGATATAAAATTATATTTAAATATTAAATATTGGCAGAATGTATAAGACCTTTATTTAATAAGCTGTATAAAATATAAGTGCTTAAAAATCTCAAGTTTTTTCTAACCTTGCTCAAAATGCGATGTTCGTTGTCCGGCTTCGGAATCACCGTTGCCAGGACGGAGAAACCGATTAGAATTTGGAGGTACACGAGTTCTCGCATTTTACGAGTGTGCCGGTGTAAAAAAAAAATAACACACGCAATATGTAATAAATCGTGAAACTTGGCGTCGGAATAGAGAGTTTCCGAACGTCAAGGCGAGCGATGTTTCTCACCGACGACGTAAACGACGAGAATTTTCTCGTGAGTCTTCAGCTTCCACATCAGCAAGCCCAACGAAACCAAACGCCACACCCCCACCTCTTCTTCATTTTGTGCTTATGGGAACTGATGCTGAGGCGCGTCCGCGGACGCTTGTTGGATGTTCGGCGGTCGAATCACCTTACGATCTATATCCTCCACGTGGACCGTAAATAAGACGATAACCATGATTGGAAAATATTATTAGAACAGTTTAACGCTCTTTTCCACGCTCTATACAATTATGCCATACATAAAATTATTAGTGAAGAGAGTTGTAGTTTATTTTTATAATTGACAATTTTTTAATTATAAAGAGTTAGAAATAATGTGGAATTATTGTCGTTAGAATTAGAGTCGTAGTTAGAGTATTTAGACAATCTAAGAATTAATTTTTATCATTTGTAAATAATTGAATAAAACATTACTCAAACATTTGCACATTATGTATGAGGATAACTAGAGGAAAAATTCAATATAGAAATCATGTATATAATCTCAACTTACAAGTGCTTATTCTATTTTCTATTGTGAAATTTATATTGAAGGTAATTTATATGTTTTAAAAGCTTCATTGTTCCAAAGCATTCTTTGCATACCATTTACAAAAATTACATTTGGGAAACTGAATGACAACAGCAAACAATTCTTGTATTATCTATTTTCTATCTTTACTTCTATAATGATGTTTGTAATCTGTTCTTTTTTTGTTTTTTGGGTATTCCAGTCCTCCTATATTCAGCCCTTTCGTTCAAATATTGTTCTGTACATTCTTTAATAAAGTCATCATTGTAATACCATTTTTCCATGCACTTTTTCATCTTCTCATTTTCTTGCCTACATTTTATGATCATTTTCAATCCGTTATTCAGGCAGCACTCATTGAATCCTGTGGAAAAGAGATAATTGTTTCACATATTATATTATATAACATATTATTCACATGCTGATAATAAAATAATTACCATGAACTTCGTCGACACATTTCTCCGCCTTGGTTCTTTCTCGCATTAATTTTGGTATTAAAACATCCTTTTCCACCTTCCTTAAACTCCGATCATCAGGGTCACCTGGAATTACAGTACAGACAGAAATTGGCGCAAACTGTTTCGAGATCACAAAAAATTGATGAAATGTAACATGCAAGCAATATTTATTTTTTGTGTGTGTCAACAGGTTTGGTTCATCGCAAATCCTATTGGTTGTGAGATTCATTATTCAACCTGCTTCAAATATAACCTTGTTGACAATTTTCAATTTTTTTGTAGTACTTTAACGATCAACTTTTTCATTGTCTTGTAATATTTGTTATTCATAAGACATTAATCAAAATAAAAATTTTACCCAAACCCTTAGGTCCCCCTCTTGACTTAGATACGTTATATACTTCCTCCTCTTTCATTGTTATGATCTCGATGGAGCGCCCGCGAAGGTAGCCAACAGACTGCGCTCGTGATTATGCACATTTGAGACTTCAGCGGCGACGCGGCGAGGAATGTTCGTTCGGTTAATCGTGACGAAAAAGGGATTCCGTTACTAAAAACAAATTGTCGTAAGGATGTATTACGTCTTAATTAAATGTCGAAATATCGTCCGGTAGTTCCCAGAGAGATTCGAAATAGCGTTTTTATTCTAACCTCTAAATATTTGTGTATAGTACGATGACACTTGAAATTTGTAGAAGTTTATATAGGTAATCGTTTGTACTTTTCATATGTTTTCAGAGTATAAAGCCCAATTGATATAGCAAGATGGATAGGCTATTACGGTTAGGCGGTGGTATGCCAGGTCTAAGCCAAGGACCGCCACCCTCTGATGCACCTGTTGTGGATACAGCCGAACAGGTATGTTTTATAGAGATATTTGTATTATGTAGATATTGTTCGTCCCCTTTAATGTTTCTTTCTTATCATCTCTGCTCTGAACAGGTGTATATATCATCTTTGGCTCTCTTGAAAATGCTTAAACATGGTCGTGCTGGAGTACCGATGGAAGTGATGGGTCTGATGCTGGGAGAATTTGTAGATGACTATACTGTCCGCGTTATCGATGTCTTTGCTATGCCGCAAACGGGAACGGTAAATATAACACAATGCAAAATAATAATAATTATATAATTTGTTGACATTAGAACTAGGATTAAATATTTGTAAGTAAATTTTAATATTCTATGTCTACACACAGACAACGTAAACTGTGTGTCATCTATGCAGATAATATGTAATGTATGGACATTGTTTAAAGAACGTATGGCTTATTAGAAATTAATAAAGAAAAGTTTATATCTTTATCTAACACATTTACAACAATTCTGATGTAAATTCATGAATGTTGCTCCTTAAACAAATTAGAATAGAATTCTTTGATGCTATTCTTTTAGTAAATGTTAAATATAGAAAAAAGTAAACATTGTTTTCCTTGCATTATGCATTTTTTCAAAATCCCTTCATTTCAACTACTCTGATAGAAATCATTAATCATCATTAATCGTCAGTAGTTCTAGTTTTCTTGAAATTTACAGCTCAACCCTGCTAAAAATCTATATTAAATTCTTTCATTTTGTTTCTCACTAGAGAGTCAAGCATTCGCTTGTTCATGCATATCTGGCTCAGTTCGACTCCCATGTGTCCAATTATAGATTATAAATCTAAGTTCTAATGTTAAGTACATGCTTATGTGTGTGACAATGTATCTTTGTATTATCACAGGGAGTCAGTGTAGAAGCCGTCGATCCAGTGTTTCAAGCAAAGATGTTGGACATGTTGAAGCAGACCGGTCGGCCGGAAATGGTAGTGGGTTGGTATCATTCTCACCCGGGATTCGGCTGCTGGTTGTCCGGAGTAGATATCAACACCCAGCAATCTTTCGAGGCTCTCAGTGAAAGAGCAGTAGCTGTTGTTATTGATCCTATACAATCAGTAAAGGGGAAAGTTGTTATCGATGCATTTAGATTGATCAATCCGAATATGATGGTGAGTATAATATTCGTGTTTATTGTACCATGTTCTCTATTTTTGTAACAACGGCGCTATGTTGATTGCAGGTTCTGGGACAAGAGCCAAGGCAAACCACATCGAATTTAGGCCATCTACAGAAACCGTCTGTGCAAGCCTTGATACATGGACTAAATCGACATTATTACAGCATTAGTATCAACTATCGTAAGAATGAGCTGGAGCAGAAGATGCTGCTGAACTTGCATAAAAAGACATGGATGGACGGTCTTACTCTCGCCGAATATTCCGAGCATAGTCGACTCAACGAGAACATCGTTTCTGAAATGCTCGAACTTGCGAAGAATTATAACAAGGTAAAACAGTGTACAATAGATATTCTCACAACTTCGTACATATTACTCGAAACTTATATACTGGGTATTTCCAATATTCTTGCGTCACAATAATGATGGAACCGGTATTCTCTTCGTAGGCCCTGGAGGATGAAGAAAAAATGACACCCGAACAATTAGCTATAAAGAATGTGGGCAAGCAGGACCCAAAACGACATCTCGAAGAGAAAGTCGATACGCTAATGGCTACAAATATTGTTCAATGTTTGGGAGCTATGCTCGATACGGTTGTATTCAAATAATTTGTTTTCAAATACATCACTCGGAATATATATGATATTTAAAGGAAATATACATCTTTTTAAAATAGAAGTATAATATTTTGTATGCCTGATTCACAAGTAATATCAACATAAATAATTAAAGATATGTGCATAATAAATTCCTTACATTTTTATTAAAAATAGTACGTTATATTTTTATATAAATCTGATATAGTTACTGGATCAAATATCATGCACTTGTGCAAAGCATAATATATTAATAAAGTATAATAAATTTCGTAAACTAAAAATCCTACAGTACAAAAACTATTAATTAGATGCTAATTCATTATAATTGAAGTTGAATTTAGTATAATAATACTCTAAAAAAAATATTACTGCTAAAAATATTACTCTAAAAAATTATCTTTATAATGATAATTTTTTGTACAAATAGATATATACTGAATTATATATATCTTTTATCATTTAGGTATATCTTTACTATATATCTAAATATTATATAATACATAATTTTATTCAAGTCATAATTAAAAAATAATCTTATATGTACAGTGAACTCTCATTCTTAAGAATATAAGTGCAATATCGAAGTTTTAAAATGTACTTGCGCAGAGTCTGGAAGAGTAATAGAAAAGATCCAAGAAAGGAAATCTACATTTTTCCTCTTGTCTTTTGAAAATGCAGCTAAAGTTGTAAAGGAATCGACAAATAACTATACGATATACGAAAAGAAAATAGTTTTGATATAATCATATACATCTAAATTTGTGTAATTACTTTTTGTTACGATGCGTCGCTGTAATAGTTTCCCGCTAAACGATCGCGTAAGACAACACACCACTATAGTGATTCTCTTCTGTAATATGCATTGACAGCTAGAGAATACTTTTTATGGAACAATTATTTCATTACATTTATTTTTTTAATGGCATTAATATAACATCTAAATGCTATATAATTGGAGATACCATCATTATTTTGTAAGTATCTAGTGCAACATCGTAGCGAAAAAGTACATACACACACACACGGACACAGACATGAAATTATATATTTTATGTAATAGTTCATTTTTAATCTTATAGGATGAAATGGCCACATGATGAATAAATGGCTTTCATCTATTGAATATACTTATATAAAAATCTTTTTATTATAAAATAAAAATTTTAAATTCTCTTTTTGTAATATAAATTTTTAGCCTGATGCTTCGAATGGTTCTTCATCTTGATGTTTTTTCTTTTTTTTCTTTTTCTCTTTCTTTATGGAAGAATCCTATAATGCGTAAAAATTATGAAATAATAGTATATGTAATAATAAAATATGTTTGTATATGTACATATACATACATACATACATAAAACTATATAATATCTAATTGTGAATTTTTCTAATAAGAAAAATTGATCTAATTATCCTATACTTACATCTTCCATCATTGTGAAATCTTTGCTTTCCTCATCCAGCTTCTCCTTCTTTTTCTTTTTCTTCTTTTCCTTTTTTTCTTTCTTTTTATCCTTTGGGGATGATGTTTCTTCGTCTTTCGCTCCAACGGACTGTTCTATAGATACCTCTAGGTCTGTTGCACTTACGTCACTTTCCCATTTCCGTTTTTTACCAGTAACTTGCTCAATACCATTATTCTCGGTCTATTAAGTTAGAGAACCTTCAGTGAAGAGAATTAAGCAGCTACTCTGTGGTTGGCTGGCATAAACATGTACGGACATTGCGACGCCAATGCAAAACCATATATATATGGTTTTGCATTGGCGTCGCAATGTCCGTACATGTTTATGCCGGCTAATCAGCTGATCGCATCACCATGTTGGCAAATTTTCTCTTCTAGAGGAAGAGAGAATTGCCTCTCTATATTAAGTACCTCATGATATATAACATTAACTTACGAAATATTATAAATATAATATAATAATATAATTTTATTAAGACTGCCGGCATTTTTTCATTAAAAAAATGTTTTTTTTTTCTAAAAAATTTGTTTATATAAGTAACATACACATGGCGCAGAATTTTGAGATTGGTGCAGAGCCACAAAAGTGGCTTTCCCGGTAGCCTAAAGGTTAAAATGATTATAACTTACTTTGATTGATACTGTTGGTTCGGTTCCAGAATAATAGGTATAATTTTGTAACCATTCAGTTGGTGTGTTTTCATTTGGCTTTCCATATTTATCTAATTTTCCTTCGATTATCATACGTTTCTTTGTTGATGATTTAGGTCCCAAACCCCACTTTCTCGGATACGCGTCTCTCTCCATAATTACCCTTTTAGTTCTTGCGGCGATTCCATGATCACATGCAGCCATAGTTGCAGAGGTCATCAATGCTATGGCTGAAAGTATACGAATGATATTAATTAAATATAAAAGTGATGAATTGAATATTGTTATATATAATTAAGTACATGATATAAAATATTAAATAAAATATGTTTTGTTATTATAATTTAGAAAATATTTACCGAGTGCTACAGCTTCGCCCTTAGTGGTTACAATTACAATTTCTTGATTCACTTCTATATTCGAGTCGTACATCAGAATGCCTGGTAGCATTATTTGCGCTCCGTAACAAATTGCATTTACCTAACAATAAAAATATACAATTTTATTGACAACTTTAATAACTGTATAAGAAACAAAGAATTTAATACATACAGCACTATCCTTTATGATGATTCTTTTGTGTTGCACTAATAATGCTTCTAATGGTTTTATTACTCTCCTTAGATACGATTCGTCTCCGTGATTGTCATACAACCACTGGGCATCAAGGATATCATGCATGGTGACCATATTGTCATTTTCAGATTGGACGCCGGAGCGAATTCGTCTCAGTTCTTGCATATTACAACCAATACCTAGGAAGAGCCCCAGATGAACACACAGTGTTCTAATGTATGAACCAGCTTCACAATTAACTCGAAACACTCCTATGTCTCGTTGCTTGTCGTAATCGAGTAACGTGTTATCGTATACTGTCCTAACGCGAAGCTGTCTCTTGACTGCCGATATAATCGGCGGTCTCTGAAACAGAGCACCTTGCAGTTTCTCCAATGCTTGTTGTACCTACAATTGTATTAATGTGAATTCTCAATATACATATACAACATGATACAAAATATATGCTATACAATGTAAAATATTAAATGTGTCTCAATGTAATATAGAATAAATTACTAGAAACTACTTTCTAAGATACCTTTATAAATATTAATTTCATATAAAAATGTTTAAGACACAAGTAATGTTACATTGAAAATGTTACATTTTAATCATCTTAGTTTTTTCTAGGTAAAAATATCAAAAAGTTTTAAAGGTCATTTCAAGTTTTTAAAATAAAAAGCTTTATTTTTTATCAGTTGTAGAAGATGGAAAGATGAATTCAATGATCTATAATATCTTGACTATGAACCAATCTTGAAATGGAAATAATATAAAGTAACAGGAAAAGTAGTAAGTAGTTATTTATTTTGTTAAAAAAATTATTGTTACTATTATTCTTTTTGTTTTTCTGTATTTTTTTCATTTAAAGATTACTTCATGACTCACAAAAGGTGTTATAGATTGTTGGATTTGTTTCTCTATCCTCTACTATTACACTTACAGCTAATTAGAAATAAGGATTTCTATCCTTACTTTTAATTAGGAAATAAGGATAAAAAACTTGAGATTCAAAATTATGTTCTACCTTTAAAAAAAACATGACTAAAAAATATATAGCTCTTTTAAAATTATATTTCTTTTTTCTTAAATATTTTTATGTAAAATCAATATTTATAAAGAGATTTTAGAAGATAGTTTCTTTGGTAACTCACTGTGTATCAAATGATGTAACAAACTTACCTTCTGTATACTTTCTGGGCTATCATGAAGTTTGAATACAGCAACATATTCTTTACCAGCAGATTGTTGTGATTTAGCTAATCTGGTTGCTCTGTCTATACAGACTATTAGACAACCTGATACTTTAGGATCCAATGTACCAGAGTGACCTGTCTTTTCTACTCTCAAGATTTTCTTTATCCAAGATACTACTTCATGTGACGAAGGATTACATGGCTTGTCTAAATTGATACAGCCTGACTTTATATATTCAGATATGGGGCGATTAAGTGGAGTAGAACCACATGTTAACGGAGTAAAATGTTTGGTACGTGTCAGCATTTTGTCAAAATTCTACAATAAACAGACAAGGAAATAATGTCTATTAATTAGTTTATGACATTATACTATTAGTCAAGTTCATGATTATATATCTTGATTTTATATGTTTTTAATATATTTTTACCTTAAATAACAAAGGCCAATCTTTACAGTCAAGCTTTGTTATTTCATCAGAAGGTTCAATCTCGCATTTTATCTCCCTCTGAAGCTCACCAAGAGACTTCTTCTTGCTCTTTTTCTTATGCTTATCTGTAAAATGCCGCAAAATGCGATATAAGGTAACTTAACCTATACCTAAATTTCAACTTGATGCTGGCGAAAACGAATCAGATTTGTTTAATTAGATATCAAAACATGTTTATTATATAATCGTTTTCGATCAGTCAATATTTTATGATATTTCGGACTGTACTCTCACTGTAAATAATTATAAATTGAAGTGGACACGTGTGTGCAATAAGATATTATATAGCAAAATTCATAACAGAAAAACGACAATTCAATAAATTACTTATAAGTGAAATGAAAACAAGAAATCACATTCAAAGCAATATGTAAAGTATATTTATGAGAAACGTATAAAAAATAATAACCTTCTTCTGCCATTTTCGAATCTTTCACGACACGTGCTTGCCTTCTTCTTGATATATCACTACTGAACACTTATACGAGGTTATGGCTTCTGCATACAGAACGCGGCAACGCTTGCCGCGTGGCGAAGTTCGTGCAACACAGTGCTGCGAGTTCGCGATATTTTCTAGATGCGCATGCGTGAATGACGTAGCAGCTCGACGTAAGCAGTTTCCAATGACGGCGTTAGGTACGAGTAGACAGTTCTTAGGGACATGCACAAAAACTCGGCCGTCTGTCTGTGTTGTTTGCGAGTGGTTAGGTTAGATAGGTAGTGAAATGATATAATAATAAATTAGTATAATTAGTATAGTTATAATAATTAGTATAGCTATGTAAAATGTGATATTATAATATGTATATATAGTACATATTAATAAATAAAATGTGATAAAAAATGCAATTTTAATATAAAGTGATATTATGATAAAGAAAAATTATAATATTGATAAAGTTATAAATTATAATATTATGATAAAGTCCAATTATAATATTAAATTAATTAAAGAAAAAAGTGCCGTATTGAAGAAAGAAATGGAGAAATCAACATTAGCCTTTGTCATCAAGTGGCATCGAGGCAAAGAAGAGGAAATGTGCGAGAAGAAAATTCCAATATGCATGGTTAAATATGAATGTTTTCAAAGATTGGTTGGCTGCAGAAATTACAAAATAAAAAATATATTTATTTTTACTCATAAACAGCATTCTGTTTCTTCCCACAAACTTTCTTTTCTCCCTACAATCCTTTCATATTTTCTTTTAGGTGAGGGATCTTACGATACCTTAAAATAGATACGGCGCTGAGGTTACCACAGAGTTTGCTCAATGCGCGTGCGCGAAAATATATCGCGAACTCCCAGCACTGGTGCAACAGCCAATCAATATGCTTCTTTTTGTAAAGGTCGTTCTACAGTATAGCGTGTTCGATTGGCCCTGGGTTAATCGTTCCGAGAGCGATTAAGGCCATCACACACAAAATTCCGTAAGACTTAAAACTTAAGCGTAAAGAAATCGACCAATCCCAATCAAGCACTCGGCCCTCCATTATTACGAAGAACCGAATACTCGATTGAGATTGGTCGATTTCCTTACGCTTACGATTTAAGTTCTTACGGAATTTTGTGTGTGATGGCCTTTAATGACGTCATAAAGGCTGGTTTATGATAGTAATCTATTAACTTTATGCCGGAACCGTAAAAAATTGACCAATCATAGTCGAATTGTAGAAGAATGATCAACTATACTTGATCAATTTTGTACGGTTCCGGCATAAGTTAACGGATTACGACCATCGTAAACCAGCCTTTAGTCTCTACTAGCCAATCATAAAGCTTATAAGTATTTGTTCGACTAATAAACGTAGGCTGAATAACCTAGGGTGCGTTCAGATTTTTCATTCGGGTGCACTCTATTACTAGAAACACTATAGTATATGTTACATATACTATAGCACTTTTAGTAATAGAATATACCGGGTATGGAATCTGAACGCAGCCCTAGGGATGCGTTCAGATTCCCTACCCGGGTGCATTCTAGTGAGTTAGGGCCGTAACACACAGAAAAACTTAAGCAGTAAGACGTAAGCAATAAGCAAATTGACCAATCAAGTCGTTGATTCTTGGACCGTAAGAAGAATCAATGACTGTGATTGGTCAATTTGCTTACTGCTTACGTTTTACTGCTTAAGTTTTTTGTATGCCACTAGCCTTACTGTAGTGTGATTCTTTAACTCGTTATTGTAGTTAACGACAATTCATTGCGCAGCTTTTTCATACTGTAGAAAAGCTGCGCAACGATAACGAGACTGTCGTTAACTGCAATAATGAGTTACAGAATTGCCCTACTGTAGCCCTATTCTGTAACTCGTTATTGGAGTTAACGACAGTTTCGTTATCGTTGCTCAGCTTTTGTATACTGTAGAAAAACTGCGCAACGATAACGAGACTGTCGTTAACTGCAATAATGAGTTACAGAATTGCCCTACTGTAGCCCTATTCTGTAACTCGTTATTGGAGTTAACGACAGTTTCGTTATCGTTGCTCAGCTTTTGTATACTGTAGAAAAACTGCGCAACGATAACGAAACTGTCGTTAAAGCCCGTATCAGACTACGGATTAAGATTGAGATTGAATTGAAAATTAGCCAATCAGAGCAAAATTCACTAAGCTCAAGTTTGGTGAACTTTGCTCTGATTGGCCAATTTTCAATTCAATCTCAATCTTAATCCGTAATCTGATACGGGCTTAAAGCTGGTGGCACATAGAAAAACTTAAGCAGTAAGACGTAAGCAGTAAGCGAATTAGCCAATCACAGTCGTTGATTCTTGGACCGTAAGAAGAATCAACGACTGTGATTGGTCAATTTGCTTACTGCTTACTGCTTAAGTTTTTCTGTGTGCCACGGCCCTAACTCCAATAAAGCGTCTTCTACAATGGCAGTAGGAGTAGTAGTAAAAAATAAGCAGTAAGTAAATAGACCAATCACAATCGATTATTTTTGAAACGTGAGAATGGAATTGGTCAATTTGCTTACTGCTTATTTCTTACTACTACTCCTACTGCCATTGTAGAAGACGCTTAACGAGTTATAGAATCCCAGCACGATCCTATGCGGATGACATTGTCATCTTTTATAGGAATAAGTCCGTAGCTAGCATTTGTTTAAAATTGAATTACAATTTTTCTATCATTGGCCAAAATTTACAGGCACATGATTTACTGATCGCCCCTCAAAAAACTAAATTTAATATTTTTGCAAAATCATAGAACTGACTCCTAACTTTTCACATGAAATGAAGAACTCAGTCCTTCTTGAGTCGGATTGCACCAATGTCAACCCAGGTGATTCTCTAGATGTTCCCTCCATTTCCACTATACTTCGTTCACGTAAATCCTCCCTGCTATCCCCTTACTATCAAGAAATCCATAACTTAGAACCTCTTAGATATCAGGGACACTTGAATTTTCCCGTAGCTAATAGATTTATGGATATCTCTACGGATATCATAGCGTTCTCAGAGTTGAGCAAATTTCGGAAAAAAGTAGGGAATTTTTATTATTGCAAACATAAAAAATCTCAGTCAGCGATATGAATCGTAGGGCTGCTGCTATACTTGATCATAAAAACCTGAACTGTATTATTTATACTGACGGCTCAGTAATGCCTGATGGCAGGGCTGGTTTCGGGATTTTCTTCCCTACACATAATATTAAAGCATCTGTTCCCTGCTCTCGCTCTCGGGTTATTATGCATGTGGAAGCGGATATTTTGCATAATATATGCAATTGAACTGTGTTCGAACAAAGTTGGCATATTGTCCGACTCCAGGAGTATCATATCCAATGTTTCCAACCTCAACATTTCAAAAAGGACTAGCTATCTTTGTCATAAAATCAGAGACAAGTTAATATCTGCTTCTCAATTGGACATTCATATAACATTAATTTGGATACCCGGACACTGTGGTTTCATAGGCAATGAGACTGCTGATCAACTTGCGAAATCAGCAGCTTTCTCCTCTCATGATACATGTCACACTAACATTTACTGTGGGGATCTTATTGCTAATATTAAACGTGATTTCCAA